TGCTGTTGTACTCATGTTATCTCAGGGTAAGTCCACTTCATCATCTCCATATAGCTCCGCTGAACACAAACACTATCTTAGAACTAGGCATACAAGTCGGTTGCGCCCGTACCAGGCTGCGAGCCGCTCTCCCAGCCGCTCTTAGCCGCCGGTGGGCCGCCGCCGGCTATTGAGTGGCTTGCCGATGCAGCCACTGGCGGCCCGTCGGCGGCCCGATTATATACCGGACGATCCCGAATCAGGTATATCGCACCTTTATGCTATGTGTTACGCTATTTGCATCCATATTCCGGATTCGCTATCAACCCGAGATGTGCTTTGATATTTTAGCTATGATTCATTGTACTGTATCAGGCCAAAAACCGGACTTCCCCATTGTTCCATATATTTATCCATATTTGCTCTATCACTGGGTATATCTGCGGAAATTGATATTCAAATATGGTAATGCATTTGTTTCTATTTGATATTCCCTGACATTACCGTTGTAGGGGATCGTCTGTGGCTCAGCTCCCATATGGGGAGTATATGACTGTATATGGTGGTTGTGTGGAATTCACAATATTGTATTGACATATGGGACTGAATGCCACCGCGTGTCATATTATCGGTTGCTCGATGTGTAAGGCAGGTGGAGGGCAGTCGGCATATAACGGTCTGCCGCGGATCGCGCCCCCTTAGTAGGGGTACGCATATTCAACATCACGTGATTATTCCCACGGCCACCTCGACAGACTCACCGTTTCGTACCCATGCCATCTCTATGTAGCGAGGGAAAAATATATGATATGGCAGGATTACCTGCTGGTCCTGATGCAACTTGAGTAGTCTCAGATTTTTTGGCGCTCTCTTTCCGCTGTAGGAGCATTAACTTCGTTCGGTACATGCTGCTGACATCAGCAGCTCCGGCCGTCCCAAAAGGGGAACATGTTGAAGCTCTACCCTTCAGAGCTCATTTTGAAGACACCACGCTCGGCAGCATACCTCAATATGGCTTAAAAACATATATGTATTGCTACTCATTACTTCTACCAGCCCATGGGGGGATGTATTATTATCAATATACGCTGGAGCCTATCATGGTACAGAATAGGCTTTATCGGTCGATACAGCACCCAAAACAGACACTAATTGAGCACAACTGTGGTGTCACTTCAAACTATGTACCGGAAGCTCATTAATTCTTGCTAGAGGGTCGCGACGTGCTGGGGAACCCGTTTAATCTGAAGATTCCATAACGCTAATGAGGTCACGTGATTGGAATATGCGCACCACGCCAAATGCCGCGCGACTAGATGCAGCCTAGCCAGTTACTCGTTCGAGGGCAATCGAGCGCATTAGCGCCCAGCTCACCCCGACAAAAGTGGAGTGGCAGCTGCGGCACGCTCCCCTCCTTCTGCATTAGGCGGTTTTGATTGGCAGGCGCCCCAGCAGTAGGAATATGAGGTGCGTCTATCGTTCTGCAATCAGCGGGAAGCAATTCAAGAGATGCCGAAGAGCAGAACAAAAACAGGCCCTGCCAGGAATCGAACCTGGGTTACCGGAATCTCCGGACCGTTACGTTATATGATTACGTAATCAGATGTTGTCAGAATCCGATGTGATGGACCGCTACACTACAGGGCCACATGAGTTGGCCTTTCATCAAAGCGGCTTTCGACCAAGGTACTATACTTGTGCTTCGAGGTTGATGTTTCCATATGAAGCCAGGAATATTCAGAGGCTGAAGCCTTGGCAAGTAGGTTGGATAGCCCCAAAGTCCATGCGAAATTGGCCAGCACCGCCGGTGGACAAGGGCATGGAAGCAAAGAGCGGCGTATGCACAATTTTATGATCGTCACTTTTCATACAAGGAAGAATGAGCGGGAACTCGCCATGAGATCTAGTCGTAATGCAGAGAGTGCCGGCGACACGGCGAGCAGCACCTTAGTGTTCGCACAAATTAGAGGGAGGCTCGTACACCTGCTCATTCTGGACGAGGACATAGTTGGCCCTCTCCTCCATCAACCCTTCTCCTTCTTACTTGGCCTCATCCAACGCGATGATCGCTCCATCTAGCGCGTACGACAATTAGAGCTCGCGGGGAAGATTCTTCATACCCGGCACGCGGCGGACCTCACGTATGTACCAGTCGTGTTGGTAGGGTTCACGAGGAATAGACAGATAATCTTGCGATGACCAGGCTTTGTAAGGTCAACCAACACGGCGAAACGCGGTGTTGCCAGATGTTCAGGAAAGCGAGGCACTTGCCCTCCTTCGTGACCACGCCGCCGTCCGCATTGATGCCATACGCCTCCGCGTAGCCCCTCCTGTCCCCGGGCTGGGCTGACATGTCAATGTCCTCGCAGAGAGCGGTGCGGAAACCGAGCTTCGACTCGGTCACGTTGGAACAGTCATAATATCAAATGCCGGTAGCCACGATCCGTTCGTTCTCCATTCCCTCGACGTGCCATGACCCACCAGCGTACTCTGGCTTTTCGGGAGTCAGCATAATATTGGCCATCTTGATGATGACTTGTACGACGCGACCCTTGAGACTAAAGACTCGGAGAACCTTCTCATCTTCGTCGGGTGCCATGAATGGGTCGGGCTCGGGAATAAAGGGTCTCTGGTTGCGTTTCCAGTGGTCCAATGCATCCCAGAAAGCTTGCCCGACCTCCTGCTTTCCATCATATTCTTCCATAAAGTCCTCCTCTTCAGGCTCTGGCGTAACGCGACCATGGTACCACCCATAAGGATCAGTTTCTACAGCAAAGCTTGCTGGGGCTGAGAACGTCCGAAAGCACCCGTTCCCAGAGCGGCACCAAACGCTCGACGATCGAGTTAAGCGTTGCATACAACGACTTGCGGTCCGGGTGGAGATTATTGATATACGAGACGTTCATAACCTCGCCCGTTTCAGAGACCTCAAAGTCGGTAGGAAGCCACTGGTGCTGCTCAGACAGGTAGTACGGCGACTCATTCGTGTGATGAATTAGATCTGGCCTCTGCTGAATATATGGTTGGGACGTACCATCGTCAGCGTTCTTCACCGCCGACTTGCCGATGCGGAAGCAGTACAGGGAGGGATGGATCAGATCCAGCACCTGTTTATCATTGCTGGATGCCAGTCCTTCTCGATATCCGGAACTGACTCCAGCGCGGCAACCCTTGTGAGTAGCGCCTGTCTTAGCTCCGGGAAAATGAGCTTATACGACTGACAGACGCTGGGTATATGCACTGCGTGATAGACGTTCAAAATCTTGGTGCAAAGCATAACGCATGGATTGTCTCATCTCGACGCCCGTCTTCTCGTCGCGTCCGTTTGCCAGCCACCTGAGCCAGTTGAAGATGTAGCCTCGCTGCACACCACTAATCTTCGTACGGGGCCAGGTCTTCCTCTCCGGCTCGTCAGCTTTATCGCCGTCCTTGACGTCCGGATTTTCAGGCCGACTGCTTTACAAGCTCATTGTCCCGCTCGAGCAACTCCCTCCGCCATTTGGCTACGACCTCATCGTCTCGCGCCTTCCTCCATCATTCTGGTTTCTCCAAGATCTCGCCTGCGAGCGCTCGTATCCGAAACTCGACGAGTATCCCCAGTTGCACTTCACCCTCCTGCTTCAGATTGAATGGGTCGGGAAACTTTACTTCGTCCATCGTTCCTCAGAGCGGGGAAAGTTAGTTAGGACGTCTACATCGCGGAGCAGACGAGCTGGCGAACGGAGAAACGTTCGTGCGGTCATAACGGGATGATAGGCTTGTTCGAGACTAGGCGAATTTGTTTTCGGTGGGTCGTGCCTGACAGCTTCGAGCGGTGAGGCCGGTGATGCCTCACTGTCGCAGTGTCGCCTGTTCACATAGGGGCTAATACGCTCGGCGTTGACCAAACAAAGCAATATCCCGCCCTCCTGCACTGACACAACTGACGCATATACCCTGCAGACATACGACATTGTATCCTGTTTTATTAGGAACAAGGAGGATAGACCCGAACTGAAGGGCCGTGGTAGGCTGGGCATAGGCAGTCGGAGAGAAGGACAGACGTACTTGCACTAGCAGGAATAACAGAGCTTCATCCACCGCATAATTATGGGGGATACGCACGCAAGCATACGCAGCACTACCTGCGGGACTCGAGGGAGTGGAGAATTTGCCGCCTCTCTTCTGGAGAGAGCCTAGACTCCCCAGCGTATATGACGGTAGTGAGATTTGGGCATATCAGATTCCCTTGCTCGTCGACCTCGTCAAGGGTCGAGGCCAGCTTCGCAGCGTTAACATCGGTTTCCAATGCCCTCAAGCGGGAATACTTGTGCAAATGGTCTAGCCAAAGGGGGGATGCGCACAGTGGTTGGCGGATAATGAGATGTTCTGTGTACTGTGAGAAGAAGGATGCCAGGGCTGTAACCAATCTTGCGGCATAGATCGAGCAAACGATGACGGTCAGCGCCGAGCCGCGCTCTGCGCCATCTTCGGCGTACACTTCGAGTCTTCCGGTAATGTGGTCCCCTCCTAGAGACCGTATATGTGTGATGTGTGACCGAGCAGCTTTGGTTAGCAGCGGGGTACACGCTGGAGGAAAGACGTCGGACACCTCATTATACTTCTCTCCCGATCCCGTGAAAGCGAGGGTTACTTGCGCTGACGTCGGAAAAATTAGGTATTGAAGCAGGTATTTGAGATCCTTGGACCAGTTTTGCAAAGTCAGACGACGAAGTCGAGAGAGCATCACAGGCTCATATGCAGAATGATCCTCTTCGTGCAAGGGTCCCGCATCGACAACCTCTAAAGTCTCCAGGGCCGGACAATTCTCGAGGATGCACAGGAAGGTCTGCATGGAGGGCGCACACAAACGGTCTTGAGCATGCAGCGATAGATGGACGAGACCGGTATAGATGCCAGAACTCCAATCGAAGAATAGACAATCGAGGGCCAAAGTCTGGAGAGGGACGGCTCTAAGGATGGATGCAGGGGCAGCAATGGTGCTACCCTCCGATACCCCTGCATCCAATCCGAGACAGAGAGAGCGTATACCAACGGGACCGGCACCTGCTACCAAGCTTTGCAGGAGGTATTCAATAATATTCCTTTGCCTCGAGTGTATGCGTAGACTGTGAGTATGAGAGAGGTGTGTCGAGATGAGGTTTGCGGTCTCGGAGAGAGCGTTTATAGAAGAGACCTCGTGTGAAGGCGGAACGGTCAAGCAGCGGACTGTGAGGTCGACCATTGCTGCCCCAGCCCGGGCCAGAAACTCCTTGCCCCAGGCCAACGAAGGCAGCTGAAGGACGACATTGCTCCACAAGCGAGCGTCCCCCAAAGAAATATTACGCCATAGCAAGCAAGTGCGCGTGATCGATAACCACGTCCTGCCGCTTCGAAGATGGTGCACATTGCTGATGGGTTGCGAAAATGCGACAATGCGGAATATTTCACTCCAGATCTCATTCGGGAGGACGAAGATGTTGACATGCGTCATTCTTCTGCTTGAACAGCTTTCTTCTGGGACCTGCATCTGATCCAGATTGAGCGAGCTGACAAGCAGAGATATATGTGACGCACCTGGTGAAATTTCATGCGGAGGGGTTGGAGGGATTAGACACCCCGACGCGTCTACGGGTACTTATACATACCGTCAAGATGAAGTCCAGCCAGGAAACAACAAGCAAGATTACGTCTGGGCCAGGAACACGAGATTCCTCGTCACGGCAGCTAGCAATCCAGAACGGATCGTTCACCGACGATCCACAGTACAGGGGCTTTGGACGGATCACAACATCAATCCAATCAGGCAGTTGACTGGGTTACTCAGAGACAGCGTCCTACTGATATCTCTTGTGATGGTCTGGTGCCGCATTATGAGCGGGACGTATACCGCCACAGGTCAGCGGGATCTGGCTATACAGAACGTATAGCTTCCACGTTTTGATGACGCACGACGATATCATCGGAATATCGTCAGCTGGTACGTCACTCACATGAGGCTCGGTAGCAGAAGTTGCATAAGCAGATGGAGGCCCGGATTGACCAAGGAAGCACCGCTGATTGCAGCAACAGCGAAAGTTCGGAAGTGTATTCCTGCTCATCGTAGGGATGCACTTCTGAGTTGAGGCTCAAAACTTAGAAACAATGCGTCATGTTGGAAGGATCGAACCTGTATAACATGATTAGCTACACATGACATCAATCGATTTACCAGAAGGGAAGATTTGAAGTCCTCTCAACTCTAATGTGAAGGGTCACTCAGGAGGCTCTAGACGACATATTACGCCACAAGCATCATTCGACCGCACGACGAACACGACGAGATAAACCAAAAGAAAAGACCCTGCCAGAGAGGTAAGGGGATCGAATGAAACCTCACTTTTCCATAGGGATAATCGAGCATCATATCTCATTTCTTCCTAACTGTCCCCTGCTCGCTCTTGAGCGTGCAATACAAGAAGTGCCGGCGGGGGCCAGTTCCCGGAGCCGGGACAGTGACACCGACAGCCGACCGCAGCGGCGTAGGCTCCGTACCGGATCCGCGTTGTCCCAGAGAGAACATCCGGTCAAACACTACGGCAATTGAGATCAGCAGTGTACCATGATAGCTAGAGATGGAGCACGCACGAGTAGCCACAAACGCCTTCGCGTGCGTCTGACAGCTCAAATGGGTCAAGGACAGCGGTGGACTGATACCCTCGAACGTGCGAAGGTAACGATAGACCATGGAGGGTTGGCAAGGTCCTGATGACACGAATGAACAACACATCGATTAGATTCGAAGTGGGCACAGTTTGAATATGTAGGGCGACTCACCGAAGCGGAAGCAAGCTTGGTATGCCTGCCTCCACTTTTCCTCGAGTAAACGTGCGCACGTCGTGGAGTCAGGACAGGTGGCGCACTGTATACAACCCCCAATGCACCCAGGCATAATCAGAACTCAGGTCAGACGCAAGGGGTAACTCAACTCACGCATTCGTACTCCTTCGCAATCTGTATCAAGCCCAACTTAAGAACCCGCTCCAAAAACCACGTCCGCCTCTTTTCGAGCTTCAGCAGGGTCTCCTTGCTCAACGTGCCGAGCTCATCCTCTTCCCACCCATTCGGGTTGTCCAGTACGAACCGACTTGCCTCTCGGAAGAGTTCCTCCTCGCCGAGTACCTCAGCAATGCGCAGCGCCTTGATCGGGCGACCTGCTGCGTGACTGAGGAGGAAAGAGAGGGTCGCGCGGGTGAGCGGTGGGTGGCAGAGTTTATGCGATAGGTGTATCAGTGGTTCCGCGTTTGCCCACGTTATAGTACACTGTAAGCTGGAGAGAACTTAGCTTGTGTCGCTCCAGAGGTAGAAGACATGCTTACTGAGGGTAGACGAATTTGAGAAAGTCGTGGATCGTGCTGGCCTGAGTATGCATGTTCAAAAATATGTTACACGGTGCAACGGGAGGAATCTACCTTTTCCTCTTTAAGCACAATGACAGCCTCGGCTTCATGCTGCTTGCCCTGGGTCTTCCGTCTGCCTCGCTCGGTAGCGTGAGCGTCCATAAGAGACTTTGCCTTTGACTTCGCCTTGCCCTTCTCGCCTCTGCTACTCTCAGGCATAGAACTAGAGCTGGAGCTCAAGTCATTCAAGCTAGCAGAGCTTGTCTTCCTCTCGTGTCCACTCCCTCCTTCTAGCTTGACCAGAGCGTATTCCCTTCCTTTCCCCTTGTCCTCTCCCGTGTCTGTGTCCACGTCTGTATCGTCATGATCCAGGTCGGGGTCCCCTTCTGCGAACTTGATCTCGTCCTTAGCATGCGATACGGTAATGGTAGATGAAATCGAATGGGGCCTTTGGGCTTCTGTCTCCGCCCAGTTACCCGACAAGGCCGCCTCGAAGAAAGGGGACGCGAACACTAATACTTCCTTGTGTGCCCTATCAACATTCGAGTCATTTAGATACACAACCATCCCTTCTTTGGGTTCGAGCTCACCAGAAGGTAGTACCCTCGACGATGATCTTCACCGTGCCCGGAAATCGCGCATTCAACGTAAACGTTTCGTCGATGTCTATGCTGCCCTCATCGTCCACGTCGATGCTCAGCTCCGACACCATGTCATCCATAGCAAGACGCGGATCGCATTCCTCTAGATGCCATGGCGGAGAGCCAGACGCACGAAAGATGCCCGCCGCCGCCGCGTGAGTCTCCGTCGGTGAAGAGAGCGAGGCTGATGGGGCGTGGGTGGACCGCGAGTTCCGCGCGATGAGAATGTGCGGCGGGTGGTTAGAACTCATCACAGTCCACGGCGACTACGGGCACTGTCGCTCCGCTGTTGCACTTGAGAGTGATTTGTGTCAGTCGGGAAGGGGGAACGAAGTACTGTAGACGGTCAGAGCCACAAGCTGTGTAATATCATGCATCAAGAACTGACAACGTTCCTGGTGCATTATTTATTTACTTGGGAGAACGATACACATCTGACTCAGTACTGCCAGAGATACTTTGGCATTGTATATGCCTTGAAGCGCGTACCAAGCGCGTACTAGTATGTCCTAGGAAAATATGACTGCTGTGATTATTTCTACCATAGCGCCTTGCTTGTTACCGGTACCGAGGCCGCATTCATACCCTGTCTCATGGTGTCGGCAGTGTCGAGTCAAGCGTGCGAAGGAGTCATGGCGCGCAAGTCATGGCGGGATCTTCCTAATGTGGTATTCGTCGGGCCCGCACCCCTTTCTTTCGCTCACAACCTGAGTGCCGCGGGTATGTCAATAATCGGCGGGCAGCTCGGCACATGCGGGCGAGACACGATCTCAGGGGACTTCTGCGCGTATAAAATCAGCGGCCAGACGACCATGCTGCGACGCAACTCCCGTTTCCGCACCTCGTCCAGCAGCCTCCGAGATGTCGAAACTTGAATTTCCCGACCCGTTTCACCTCAAGGATAGGGACGAGATCCGCCTGGAAACGCTGGTCGAGTTCCGCATGCGCGCCCTGGCTGGAAAGATCATCGAAAAACCCAACTGGTGGAACAAAGTGCGCGACCCGCTCGTTGTACGCAAGTGGAGGAAGGAGTTCCGTCAGATAGACAAGGTGCTCATTGCGAAGTTCTGGACGCCGCTCAAGAGAGGTCGTTATGAGCCACGCATTGAAGATGATGCAGGCGATGACGACGGGGACGAAGAGCAGGTAATGCCAGTCACGGTGGTGATGGGAATGGACGTGCCAATGGATGTGGACCGGGATGATGCCGACGGAGGGAACATGGGCGTCGACGAAGCCGAGAGTGAAGACGAATACGAGTACGACAGAGACCACACAGACAAGATCCCGGGCAGAAGGAAGTTCTGGCCCCGGACCAAGGTCACCAAGGCGCAGCTAAACTACATTTTCGACTGGCTGAAGTGGTTAGCGGATGTTCGCGATGTCGAGACAGGAATCGAGGTTTGTTGGCTCCTTTCCCTTTTCCATACAGCCCTCAACTTACGAATTTATCAGGCAACCCACATACCCAATGTCTACCAATCATACGGACTGATTCCATCGGAGTTGCGGGCTGCTCTCCTCGACGGTTCCCGTGTCCTCGAGTCGGTTCCGGATGCAGAGAAAGACTGGCATCCTGGTAGTAACAACCAGGTGCTCGACCTGATCCACCCATCACTGCACTGCTTCCGTATCGGCAAGACGCTCGTGAGGAATCCCGAGACTGGCAAACTCTATGTCCCCTCCTTCGACGAGTATATGCTAATGAGAGAAGATCTCGACCTCGGCATGTATCGCATACAGGGCCAACGCTATTCTTTGTCCGAACAGCACCAGTGGCTTCCCACCGACTTCATAATCTCCCAAACCGGTGAGGTCAACAACGTCTCATACATCAATAACCTCCATCCGGATCATTTCAAACCGCTGTACGGCACGATCAATTCGGTCCTGGCAAGGTTTCTACTCCTTTGGGAGCGGGTGCTCTCAGACACTCGGAACCCCAGGGACCCAGTGATTCAAGTCGACCCGTACGGATGGTACGAAAATGATCCGCGACGTACTCCTGAGCCGCAGCAGGAGGCATTCAAGAAGAAATCCCCGGGGCCTGGAGAAAATCTCAACTTAAATCCCTTGTCAGCGTACTACGAGGCTCACTACCAATGGTCCTGCAGGAGGTTGCCCTTCATTCCCGATCCGCCCCCGTTTTCCCCGCCCAACCAGAATCAGAAGGCACACTTCAATCTCAAGGGTCGGACCATCCAAGTTATCGTCAAGATGGCGAACATCATGTTGACTCCCGAAAACCGAGAGTACGCTGGCGGCTCTTGGCACGTCGAAGGCATGGAAAATGAGCGGATCGTGGCGACCGGCATCTACTACTACGAGTCCGCCAACGTCACCGAGTCGAAGTTGGGCTTCCGCACTGCTCTGTGTGATGACATGTACCTGCGTTATGAACAAAGCGACTGGCTTGGCTTGGCCATGGCATACGGCCTTGACGAATACGATGGCACGTTGAATCAAGAATTGGGTTCGGTGACGACGAAGGAGGGAAAGTGCCTCGCGTTCCCCAATATCTGGCAACACCGCGTCTCGCCGTTCAAGTTGATCGACCCCACGAAGCCCGGTCACCGCAAGATCCTTTGTTTCTTCCTCGTCGACCCGACTAAGAAAATCCTCTCGACTACTGTTGTTCCGCCCCAGCAAGCTGACTGGTGTATGTGGGAGTCCGAACGCGCTCCCGCCTTGAGGAACCTACCTGTGGAGTTGTTCGAAATGGTGACGGATTACTTGAAGCCTGATGCCGAGGGCAAGGGCGGGGTCATTACCATGGAGGAAGCGAAAGAGGAAAGAGAGAAGCTTATGGAGGAGAGGAGGAACGCTCTGATCACGCAGAACGAGAGGGTGTACGAGGCTGAGTTCAACATGTGTGAGCATTGAGGAAGGCCCTGGGGCTCCTTTGTATGTACTAGTACTTTAAGTGCTGCTGGTAGTGCTCGTGTACAGGAATAGCACGGACCATTGATCGGAACGTTTTCCAAGAGAACTGAATCGACATCCTCAACACCGCTCTCAGCGTCCTACGCCGCGGTTACTGTAATGCTCCCCAAACATCTATTTGATCAGAGAGCTCGAGATTATTACAACCTCCGACAACTGAGGCAGGTGATTTATAATAATAAAGATACTATACATCCACTAACGACATCCAGTATGCAACGAGGGTATCTGGTGATGCAATCGCAGCTCAAGCCACGGGAATATGAGAGATCATTCATCATGAACCAACCGAAAAAGAACGTATACAGTAGGTCTAATGCAAAGGGCAGGGGCGCATGAGGGTCCGAGGACCCTAGAAGGCAATCAGGGAGAAAGAGTTCAATCTCGCAGGTGAGGAACTAGCTGAAACTCGCGAACACAGCCGGGGCATTCTCAACCAGCCACTCTACAGACATGGCCTTCGCCCCCATGTCGCTGAATTCCGCGCTAGGATCAGACGATCGCATCAAAGTGGCTGAAACATAGGATATTGAGCAACAAGCCCCATGTAGTACAGCATGATGGAGTTGACTTACGACCGAAGACGACACCTATATTCCTCGCACTCATGAGGTTCACCTCGCTGTGTTCCATCACGCTAGAGAGATGTCAGATACACAGATACAGCGGAATTGCTTGTTGGCACTCACCGGTGGAGATGAAGCATCAGCATCTTCAATGTCTCAAAATGCTCATGAGGCAACTGGGCAAGTAGATCCGTTACCACTTCCAACTTCTTCTCGGGATCGCGAATACCAGCAGCAGCAACGAACTCGTCGTGGAGCGAATATGTAAGTAAGGGATTGGGTAATGATCGGAAGTAGCTCTTCAGGACAGAGGTGACAGAGCATATATCGTTGAAGCGATCAGAATCTCGAAGGTCAAAAGAGTAGTCCCCTTTCTCAAATAGCTGCGTGATCATCTTCGATTGCCCGGATCCTCCGGTTTTGCGGTAAATTCCTTCGAGGTCCAGGGCTACAAAGAAGTCAGATGGGGCGGAGACAATCAAGCGGACCCCGTACCACTTGCTTCCACAGCTGCTATGCATTTCTCTACAATGATCGGCACAGACCGTTCACCATCTTTAGAGTCTGCTTGAACTTGTTCTATTAAATCTCGTCCGAACATCGATGGTGCTAAAGAACAGTAAGTGTACAGCCGAAATATACAGGTCTAGAAACTTACGAAGAGGGGCGATCTGAGCGGCGGGTTCCTCGGAAGACTTCATGTTACACGACGTCTGAACATGACGAACACAACGTGGATGCACAGATATGTTGCAATCTTGGATTCCCGTCAGTAAACTTGCCTCGGAACATCTGATCGCACGCACTAGAGCATCGATGTTGAGATCCAAACATCTTATCCCCGCAATGATCGCAGCGAGCAAAGCGTAGAGTACTGAGCGGTACGAAGTTATGCACGACACGTCCGTTACCCCGATTCGACTCAGCATCGGTTGACGCTGAGATAGCTTCTTTATTAACCTTGGAACCAGGCCATTTAAATTTACCAGGCTTCAAGGTCGAATGCTGTGGTGTTTCGGGGATATCAATCGTACTTATCTTCACCATACTATCGTCCGAAAGCGTCGACGATGTCGTGATAGACGTGGTCATCGTGCCTCCGGCTGTCCTAGGACGATCAAAGGAGCTGCTCTTCTTCTCGCGAACTGCAGGTGGTGCAGTAGCTTCGGACGTCACGGACTCCATCTGGCGAATGTACTGGTGATTGAGCTGCGCCAACTCTTCATTCCGAGCGCTAAGGGAAGCGGTCTCTTCCATGAACTGCTCTCGGAGAGCTTTGAGTTCAGCAATTTCACGGTTCAAAGCCTCCTTCTGCTCCGTAAGAGGCACCAGTTCACGAGCATACTGGCTCTTGATGTTGTCAAATCGCACTGAGAGAGTTCTGCTCATTGGGCTATCCCCAGTCACGTCCAGCTTGGGAGAGCTGAGGTCCGGAGAGCTATAAAAGGCGTCAGTGTCAGACTGTAGGTGCATGGAGGAAAACAGGTATACCTTTTAGAGGCCGAGAGCTCTTCCACCTCCGCCAAGGTAAGATCTCTCTCCACCTTAAGCTTCGAAACGTCGCGCTCCAGGCCACTGAGATTGTTTGACAACTGTTCAGACAGTTGCCGCTGCATCTCCGCTCGCTTGCTCTCGCTTGTGATGGCGGAGAGCCGAGCTGCCTGCCCTGAAAGCAATACCCGAAGGCGAGTCACTTCGGATTCAGCCTCTCGTCTGGCTTTCACCTCCCGGTCGTATTCCGCCTGGGCAACCGTCAAGCCATCCATGTACTGCTGACTTGCCCGCTGTTAGGATTTTCATTTTAGCATCAGGTATTGATACTGAGCCAGAGTACCGCGTACCTGAATATTATTCAGTTTGCCCTTGAGTGTCGACTGCTCTGTCTTTTTCTGCTCCAAAACCTTGTAGATCGCTTCCACGAACTCTTTGTCCAATTTTACATGAGATGCGTTGCGCTCATTGGCATCCAACAAGACCTCTTGCAGCCTACGGGTCACCAACTCCTCACTTTCTCGGGCAATCTTCACTGGTTCAACGCCGGGTACTGTCAGAGTCATACGAGGATTGCCATGGCCCGCTTCGGCAGACTCCGTGGACAACGATGATCTCGACTCAAGACCAATGGATTGCGAGTAGTACCCGGACTCTGAGGATGACCGGGCTCGAGTGGGTGAAGGTTGCGAAACGGACCGTCTCTCCAGGGATAAACGCTCGCCGTTGACTAGGTGTGAATTGGAATCAGATATGGACCGTTTCCCTTGAGGCCCAGACGACCACGACGAAACCGAAGAGTTGGGCGAGTGTCCGGGCCGTTTGACGGACTCGGGAACAGGGCTTTGCTTCTTCCTGTCGTCTTCTGATACGTTAGCTGGTGAAGGTGATGGAGAAGTGGAGGACGACAATGGTTCCCGGAAACTCGCGAAGGACGATTTATTCGTGGGCGTCTTGGTCAGCGACGAATCGAGGAACGAAGAGCTCGCAGCAGTAGGCGGCGGTGTCGGCGCAGAAAGCGATTTCCCATCCTCTTCAGCAAGCTTCGACAAAGGCTCTGACGACCTAGACGACCCCTCAATCGACTTGAGCAGGTCCGAAAAATCGAAATCCGGCATGTTCATCGAGATCCTGATCGGCGGTAGCGCAGGCGCAATGAAGGTCGTGGTGCTCATCCGCTGTTGCACGGGCTCTTCCTCATCGTCGGAAACCGACCCTTCAGCACTCGTAGTACGCGAGATATCTCCCGGCACCCGAGAAGTAGTATCGACATGCAGTGGCTCGACACTCGGGCGGGCGCTGGGCTTATCCTTCGCGTCCTTCGGCGGCAGCGCGGGCGGCACGTCATCAGCATCGTCCTGCTCGCCACCCCTAGGACCCGAGTCGCCCTCCGCCTCCGTATCCGTCCCGCTCTCCACGCCATGCGGCACGTCCACACGATGCGAGGGCGAAGCGGGCGACGTCGGGCGCGAGCGATCCGAAAATCGCGACGTGGGCCTGTCGAGCAAGTCCATGTCGAGAGTCGACGGCGACAGCCTACCGCCACTCCCCGCCGTCGACGGTCGTACGTCGAACGACCGCTGCGGTCGTATGTTTGCATGATGCGCCCCGAGACCTGGGGACATGCGTCCGTGCTCGTGAGCGGCAGCACGCGCCACACCTGCCGACACCTGCCCGAGACTGTTAGTCCGCGGCGGAACCCGCTCCAAAGTTATGCTGGACTTCAACGGCGGTCGCATTGGATCGGGTCTAGGACTTTCGTATGAAGTAGAGGGGGCAGCTGTGGACGCCGCCCGCGACCGGCCATACTGATCCACGTTGCGGTCTATGGCAGAAGAGATTTGAGAATTGCCGTTCACGGAGGGGTGGGAGGTATCGTAGTCGTTGAAGTATTCTCTAAGTGGGGATGGTGTACGAGGTGAATCGCGTCCATGAGACGGTTGTGGCTCTGACCGAGCGGAATGTCCTGGCGGGGTGATTGTATGCGTGGATGTGGTCGGGGAAGAGGTACCTGATGTCGGTGGGGGACTGGTGGTAAACTGCGATAACCCAAGGCCAGGATTGATGGAGCGTCGTTTGTCCGCCCGAGAACTACCTTTATTAGGCACATTCAGACCTTGAATATTAGCACTCAAGTCGGCGTCGATACTGATATCAACTGGGAGAGCGGAGTCGTCACGACTCTTCCTACGTTGAAGCAAGCTGCCTGGGCCGTTGGATATGGATGGCAGAGGGAGAGAATCCATTCGGGTCCTCGCGGAGGTGGGTGTAGTGGCAGACAAAGATCCGGATCGTCCGGGCGTACTAGGGCTAGGGCTAGCTTCAGCGGAGGGCCGACGCGACACAGATGGCGACGCTGACTTCGACTGGTACGATTCAGCATGGGCGTCCGGAGGCGCAACCGTGACCGAGAAGGGCACCGGCGAACCCCTCCCATGACCATTGCTATGCTGGCTCGAGGATGACGGATAGCCCTGCTCCTGTGCCTTTTGTACGTCCGTCAGAGATCTTAATGAACCCCTCTTGGAAGAAGTACGCTCGGGCACGGAAGTCAAGACTCGGTCCTGGGCGGTCTGAGGTCTATATGGTGAGCTGGACGAGGGTGGGGTGAAAGGCCGGGTCTGCGACGAGGGACCAGCCTGACGACAGTAGAATCGAAAATCAGCATATACCTGATATACTTGCAAGACAATCATCAATTATACTCACCCTATTATCTCTGTCTCTATTGCGCTGCTCCTCCTGAACACGCTCCTTCAAAGTCGCGGGACTATCTCCCGCCAACCTCTCCAGCTCCTGCCTCGCCCGCTGCAACTCCCGTTCCCTCTCCCGCTGCTGCTCCTTCTTCCGCTCCGCATGCCGCCGATTCCGCGCCACGCGCTCGTTGTGACATTTCATACAGTATATACCCTGGCTCGTCTTCGCAAACACCATGTCGTCAATCAAGTTTTTGCAGATGCGGCACTTGAAGCAATGTGCGTGATACGCGTCGTCGCCGGTCATGATGGCCTCGTCGAGGATGGGGAGGTGGCAGACATTACAATTGTACGAGCAGTTGGAGCATATTGGGGAGCCGTCGGAGAGGAGGAGGAGGTTCGTGTCGGCGTTGACCTGGTTGCCGCACTTGGCGCATTTGAAGCATTGGACGTGGAAGAAGGATTGTCTGGGGTCATGGAAGTGTATAAATACAAGAATAGTGATTTATGAAAGTGATGATAAAGTTGAGCTTCCTGATCGTGGAACAAAGGCTGTGGAAGTAAGGACGTGGAACGTTCACTCACCCAAAGGCCACGACCACTCCTCCACTGTCATTCACCACCGACTTGTGACATCCCGGACACATGCTATTCTCACTTACATTGGAGGTGTCGGGGAACGATGCGGAGGCGCTGGAATGGCCATTGGCAACGGCGGCGGCGCTCATCGGGACTTGGGGGCAGGGAAACGAGGTAGCGCAAGAATAGTGACGGTCGATCAGGATAAATTAGGGAAATACAGCCAGCTTACAGACGCCCGTGCGCGATAGTCTAGCTTGTCGTGCACGTCGAACTCTGGGGTGGGATTTACTGGGGGGGGGCCGTCGGGAGGTGAGGGGGAAGATCAGAATGCGCGTTCGGAATAGGGGTGACTGCGCTCGCTGGCGGCCGGAGGTCGGGCGCGTCGGCGACGGAGACGACGCGTAGAACGGTGCTCACGACGAGCGGCAGGACGGTCCAGAGCCGCCAAGGTGCAAGAAAGCGAAGGCAACCAGATTTTGGTCCCGGCTTGCGATGGCGTTCTGCCAACACGGTCGATACCCTGTCACGTGGCGACCACTTCCCGTTGGTAGAAACAGACTACAGCCACACTTTACTTACCCTTCGACTTGTCCTCTGTCGCGGCCGTCGTCGCTGTCGCTGCAGCGCTGCCGGTGTCGAGAACGTTGCGGATGTATCGTCGGTCGACGATGTGCTTTGGGACTTTTGATAGGCTCGGGAACGTCGGCAGCGTTTGGTACTACGGCAATGGGCGCTTCCCCTTGGCTTCTTTCTTCTCAGTCTATCCAGGATCCAGGCCTGGCACAGTCAGCAGAGCATTAATGTTCTGTCCCTTGACCAGGCTACACGTGTTGACCCCACAACACCTCATCAAACCGACGTAGAGGCCTACTGAGCAACTACTGAGGGCTCGAGCGTATGCATTTCAACTATTGGCGAACAGCCACGCAACGCGACTGTTTCTCTGATTGTTCCACGTTTACTGCCGTCGCGCTGTCCAACACATACGTTAACAGAGGATTATCTGCATTGCCTAGCAGTGCTGCATCAGCTGCATCCGTCACCCGCCACGATGTGGCGTCCATCAAGCTACCAAACATCACCGGTGAATCTCATTTGCTCTCCGTTCCGTACAATATGAACCAGTGAATTGGCTCTCACTCTGTTCGGGTCATGTTGAACTTGAAGCTTGATCTCCTGCGTCATGGGAAGCCGGCTCGTTTTGGTCGGTGCCTGTCGAGGAGCGTTCCTTGGTCCCGTTCGATCACCCGCTAAATGAAGGGTACCCCCGGTCTCTACATATCCAGGATTCAAATCAACCGTAATTCGTCTGGCATATTCATGGGGACTGGGCACTCGCGATGACAGTCATACAGTGTCCCGGAAAGCCTACACTCGCTCCCGCGGGCGGTGTTGCGGTGGCGATGATCATCATCTGTCCTCTTGCTGCTTGTCAATCCAATAATACCTCTCCATCGTCGTAATCCGTACGCAGAGCCGGGGATCGCTGATGCACCTATTATTGTTCCACCCTCGTCAGGGGACCGTTACTCTGTATAAACCAGACTCGTGTCTGATATACCGTGGTCTCAGTCTATTTCAATCGAAGCCGCTCTCATTTGACAGTCCTATATGAAACCTTGAGTCATAGCTGACTTTGTATAACCGACTCCACCTGTGTCTTGGGATCGTGCGCTATCGTGAACGTCGTGCAGACTGCCTAGGGTGTAATACACTATGGACCCACAACCCCACGTTTGCGGAAAACCTGCCCTAAACTGGCTCGTGCACTCGCCGCCGACCCCTATATAAACCAGTAACGCGCATTTCCGTTCCCCATCTCTTGTGCTCGGGCATGTACTGTCGCCAGTGAGGTCCTTACCGAGGCACAGTCTTTTGCTGATTGCAAATTACACATCCGAACACGTCCTTTGGCTTCGGCCTCAGGCAATTTTTGGAAAACCCTCTCCGGGTTGCGCGATTGTATCTTGGAGACGCGAGTTCCAGGAGTCAGTTGACTTTATGGCTGCCGTGGTTCCAAAATACTGCTTACGTGCATGAGTTGAGGGGTGTGTTTTGTCTTGGAACTGTATAGGAGGCTAGGTAAATGTATAGACTATAAAAATGCTCTCCTTTGCGCTTTGTTCTGCCACTGCAGTGTGTGATGGAAACAAACTCCTGGCTTACAACTTGCATCTTGATTCTGCCTTCCTGCTTGTTGTGAAATTCATGCATGAATGGCTTTGATCACGATTTCAGGATATCCGTGCTCTGGGAAGTCTCGCCGAGCTGCTCAACTGAAGACGCACTTCGAAAAGCTGCTGGAAGATGCATCGTACACAGGCCCGAAGCTGAAAGTCACTGTCCTATCTGATGATAGCCTGAACATCGACCGCAGCGCATATGACAGTGTGTACCCAGCGCTCTGCTGTTTCAAACGACCTGACCAAACGACTAGGCAGTCGCTCAGAAAAGCCAGCTCGAGGGGCGCTATTCACCGCCATGCAGCGGGAGATGGGTCAGGACACGATCCTCATCGTCGATTCATTAAATAACATCAAGGGATTCCGGTACCAAATGTACTGCGCCGGGCGGGAGCTGAAGCTCAGGATGTGTACTGTGCGTATGTCTCTTTGGCTTGATGGGGGTGCGAGTGAGATGACGCTGGACAGGAAGTAGGTGTATGTCGTCGCGCCGCCTGAGACGTGCAAGAATTGGAACGAGGAGCGACAGGATGGAAGGAAATACGCACCCGAGACGTATGGCAGTTCGACCGTCCCGTGTATGTGGAACTGACGACGAGCACAGGCTCGATAACCTCATTATGCGCTACGAAGAGCCATCGTCGATGGTCCGCTGGGACTCGCCACTCTTCACTGTAACTTGGGAGGACGAGGACGTGCCCGCCAGCGAGATCTGGAAAGCCGTTACGGAGGGGATCGTGAAGCCGCCGAATGTAGGGACGCAGTCGGTACGCTTTTCCCCTCACGATTTTACTAGCGGCCGGTCTGAAGAAGGACGTCTGCTAGGTCCCCAAAGCACCAACAGATGCCTTGCACGTCCTCGAGAGCGTCACAACGCAGATGGTCTCCGCGATCATGAGCGCCCAATCGATGAACCCGTCCGTCGGCGGCCCAGTCACCTTAACCCTCTCGCCCATTCTCAAGCCTCGCCTCGTCCTGCCCGCACGGAACGTGACGCTCTCAGAGCTTCAGCGCCTGAAGCGCCAGTTCGTTACGGTGCATAAGAAGGCGATGGTCATCGGGACGACGGAGAAGGGGCAGGTCGAGTTTGGAGAGGAGGGGGTAGCGGACAAATTTGTACAGTATTTAGAAGAGAATTTCAGACCTTGAAGTGCGCGCTCATATCTTGACCCGGGCATATTAACTATCTGCCTACTAAATGCTATAATAGCGTTGTCTGTTTCGCAATTCGGTCCAAAGCCTGTCTATCGTAAGCATACATCTGCGGGTATATCATCTGTGTAATGCGTGATTCGTCCAAGCATCATAATCGTCTCTCGCTCCCAACCAACAAGCCATTTCCACACAGCGAGCCCTCGAGAGCCAAAAACCATCTGTACAAGTCCTACATCCTTATGGCCCGCCAGAAAGACGCATACCTGTCGAGCCATCAGTCACGGTCTTTCCACTGATACAAGTAACCAAGTACGCACATATTCACTCTATCGATGGGCGCCTTCGACCCTCTGGTGGAAATGATGGTGACCGTAAAGCCGTTCCTCTTAAATCTTCAATCGGACGCGCAATCAGACAGGAGTCTAACGGTCAAGGTCAGGCAACTTACACTTCGCGGTACCACGGCTTCTTCCCCGCGGACCGCCACAGCACGATCCCACCGGGCGCAAGCGCGCGATGGAGCTCTCGCACTTCCTCTTCTACTTCCTTCGATCCTGGCGCGAACCAGTCTAAGTGGTCCATGATGACTGCGCGAGTTAACGAAGCAGGGGACAGCCCGTGGAGCACGCTTGGGGAATGTGAGGATAAGGCAAACCAAGGGCGAGGGAGAGGGGCACGCACTTGACGAGGGAGTCCGTATGGAGACGGAAGGCATCCATGGCTTCGCACCCGTTCGCTTTCAGCGCTTCAAAGCCAGCCCGTGTGAGATATGCTGGACACGAATCCCGCGTGTAGTGGCCCAGGAGGCACTGGGAGAACGCATTCAATCGACCCTCAAATGAATACTCCGAACCACTCACAAGTAGGTAGAAGTAAGCTCCATCTTTAAGGGAATACGTCGAAGTAATCGAATCAAAGGTATCCCGGACAAACTCGTACGCAGACCCATCTTCGAGCAGCATCTTCCTCTGGTTCATGGGCACCCCAAGTGCGTTCCAGCAGAATATCGGGTTCTTCAAGAGGGCCACCACCACGGGGTTGAGTAGCACAGGCCTGATTTTCTCCTTCCATATCTTGTCTTGTTCTTGTAAACTCTGGGCTCTGCATAGACGCTCCACATCTTCAGTGAGCCCGGTGATACGAAATAGAAAGCGGGCAAAGCGTAGCGCGATCCCGCTGTACCCGTGGCGGTAGAACGAAGACGAGAATGCATCATCGTTCAATCGCCAGAATTGATAGGCGCTGGATGAGAGGTAGGGGGATATGGTGGATGAGAGCAGGGAGGAGAAGTTGGGGTGTCTGCCCGACCCGAACATGGCGAAGAAGTCATCAAAGTTTAGCGAATGGAGGGCGGCTAGTTTAAGCTCGAACAGGTGGCCTTGGCTGTACAGGAGAACAGTGTTAGTCTATGGTTACGTTGAAGAAAGTCAATCGTACCAAGGGTTCATGTCCACGCAATGTATCTACAGAGCATGAGTTGGGTCTTCCTCGACAAAGGCACGCCGCTTACTCTCTTCGGTTTGGCATTGATAGCATAATGTAGTGCATTATCCCCGGCCGAGGTGATAATTAGCATCGAGTCGTCACGCGAGAGCTTGAGGTATTTCATGTCCTCTACTGGGTCTTCCTAGGTGGCCCTGAGAACGCAGGTCTCTTGGCACAGACAGAGCCGGTACGTACCCAAGTGAAGGAATACATGAACGTCCGGAACTCTTTGTGTACAGGGTGTTCATAATAAGGTAACCGCCAGGGCTTAGGTGCGATGTATTGAGAGATAATCACGGGCAGCACGAATACATTGCAAGCTCACCATCTTGATTTGGTAGTGGAATGAACTCAGCGGTGGGGTGATATTCACAACCGTGTCCAACCTGGAGGTGCTGCTTTCCGTCGTTTCGTTGGCCAGGGGAATGGCGGGCTCTCCGATCTCAAGCGAGGGTATATGCTCGGATTCCTTGATAGGGTTGGCCGCCATGAGCGATCGAGGTGACGGTGAGCAATTCCCGACTGTGTTCCCGCCTTCGACTTCGAACGCGTGGCAGAAGGCGGAGACGTCGCAGGAACGTGAGCGTCCGAGCCACATGTAGTATGGGCTACGACAGGAAATTATGGTAAGATATCGTGAGAGTTCTAGAGATAAAAGACCATACATCCTGACGATGAACGGCAGCACGAAGCGGTTCCGACCATTGTAGCTCTTGACCTGAATCAATGCTTGTAAGACAAACATACCAGAGCGGGAAAGGCACACCTTGGACTCACAGTACCAAACTTGTACTCCAGGTAGTCACGACGATGGGGAGAAAGCGAGACATGATCAAAGTCGAACCAGATCTGCCAGAACCACCGGCTAAGCCAGCCACATTCCTTGCTGACCCCTCCAATCGCCTTGTCGTGTAGCGAGGGTTGTTTGCCGGAGGTATAGAAGTCCACTACCCCGATGAGGCCGTCCTCAGGGGACAGGACGTAGTCAATCCGATCTATCAGGGTATAGAAACTCGGAATCTGACAAGGATCACTTAGCATAGCATTTCCTGCTGAAAGAATATCGCTTACCATGGAAAGTGAATAGCTCAGGGTGACGAAGCCGACACTTCCCTTGGGATCGGCGCCCTCCCATTCCGGTAAATGGAACTCGCTCGCGTCTTGGCACAGGACCGTGACGTTCGTCCAGCCTCGCTTCTTGAACCGCTTGCGGGCCACTTCCAACAAGGGCTCGCAAAGATCGATGAGATAGACCGCGTCGAACGAGGAGATTGGGAAGTATTGATCCATCGCCTCGATGTTATAACCTTGATGTGCAAGAATTTAGATCAGCCTCGGGTGTACGATTATGGCGGTACTTACCTGTCCCACCGCCAATGTCCACCCACACTAACCGTTTCTTCGGGTGCTTTTGACGCAGAAGACGCAGGTGTGCAGCGGAGAGACTTAACATTGTCTCCCGACCCCGAAGCAGGCCGTTTCGAGTGGCGTCATACACTTCCGCCTGGCCCTCATAAAACTTCGCCGCAGTCAGCGGGTGAAGATGGATAATAGAAGATATTCCTACTAACCTTATCCAGTCGGGCTCTCTGGTCGGAAGTGCCTATGGGCCGCAGAAAACAGTGCCACACAAATTTGAGTTGAGGCCTGAAACTATAGTACAGTGCTCGCAGCGCATATATACAGAGCGGAACTGTGACGACCCATCTGCGTCGACAAAGATAAGAAAACAAACAAAAGGGAGACTGAGCGATGTGCTCACGAATAGAAAGGGTATTCAGGGAAAGCCATCCCAGTGGGCAGTCGCTCCAGTGAGGACGACTAAGGACGAAATTTTGGGATTATGCATCTCTTTAAGACTTTCAGTTACTTCAGGGGTTCCTACCAGCACTGGCAGTAATATCGATCGTAGGCGGATAAGATGGACGTGGAGGACGTCAGTAAGTCGAACGTTCGTCGCAACAATGCCGTTCCCGGATGCACAGGCGGCAGTTGAAGGGGCACCCTCAACGAACGTGGTGGAGAAGAGAGGCCATCCAGCATCGTGACAGTCAACATAGGGACCAATAGAGACAGTCGGGTGCGCTTCGTGAGGATTGTGCGGATCGGAACAGCGACTGGACTCGCTTCTCCCCACTGGATCCCAAGTTTTGTGGAAAGCGATTGCAGCGCCTCATGTGATTTGACGTACATCAAAATATTCGCAATAATTTTCTGAGCTTTAGAGACGTAAATGCGGACAAGCGACTTCAAAGGATGCCCACGACCTTCCTCGCACGTGTGTCCTGAAGCCCACGTTACAGAGCTTGCGGTACGCCGAATCCTCCGATGAAAAAGAGGCCCAGATTTTTCTCCAAAGTTTTCCTTCCGTCAAGAAATGAGCCTGTACATAAGTCCTCCGCGTGAGGCTGGACTCCGAGTGCTGTGTAGACGCCGCGGCGGCGTTGGCTACGATGAAGGCGAGGCGTTCAGTATCGTCGAAGTTGATGACGGCACCGCCACCGATAGACGCGTTGACGCGTGACGTAGAGTTCGATCCGTCGCCGTTGCTGCGACTCGCGTCAGGAAGGAGGACGGCGGCGACGACCGCAACGGCGGAAGTCTGCCACGTCGACCAACCTCAACCAATATTGCTGAGGCTTGCAACTTTCGAACCTTACTAAAATGTCTGTCGACGCGGTCTTGGAAGTGGGATACAAACTGCTGGACAGGGTACGTGCGGTAGTGTTGACGCGCATATATGCACTGAACGGATTGATAGGGGGTTATCCCGGACTTTGTGATTCGACCTGTGATACGAGCACTGTTAAGGCAGAGACTGCGCGAGATTAATTACGGATCGTTTGAAGCCAACCATGCAGCAAAAATGAAATGGATAGAAGAGGTGAAAGCCTTGGACACCATCGCTGTCCTGACCGAGAAAGCAAATGAGCAACACTACGAGGTACAATCGTGCTTGAATATGCTCTTGATTTATCTGCAACTGTCTCACTTCTCGGAATGTGCAGGTGTCTACTAGTTTTATTATGTCGTGTCTGGGACCGTACGCAAAGTACTCTTCCTGCCTCTATCCCACCGGCAAAGAAACGCTAGAGGAAGCGGAAGTTTTGATGCTAGAAAGTTATTGTGAGAAAGCAAAACTAAAAGATGGACAGGACGTCCTCGATCTTGGCTGTGGTCTGCATCCTTCTGACTTTGAGTGACGAGCACCTGTCTGATTGCAATTCCCGAAGGATGGGGCAGTTTATCACTGTACCTTGCTCAGGTACATTGCACCCGCTGTTAGAGCGAATGTCAGAGACGTTATCTATGGCTCTCTAGAAATACCCGAAGTCGCGCATAGTCGGTTTGTCCAATTCAAGTACCCAAAAGGCGCATATCGACTCCAGCGCGAAGTCTCGCGGCCTCTCCAATGTGGAGGTGCATTCACTTCCACCTAGATATTCTTTGCTTTCAGAACTGATATTTCCTCTAGATTATCACAGGCGACGTTAATCATTTCGACTTCGGAGGCTCGAGACAGTGAGTATATGCGCCCATTGCATGTCTTCCGAGGGCCTGCGGAATGAGACAGCTAATTTGTCCTCGCTGATAGTTTCGATCGCATATTATCCATCGAAGTCCGTACCTTTCTCTCATTAGTAGTGCTAATGCTAAAGTATGAAAGCAGATGTTTGAGCACATGAAGAACTATCAAGCCCTCTTGCGCAAGGTGTCCACCTGGCTCCGGCCTAAGTCAAGCAGCGACAGTGACAGTAGTGCGACGCACTCCGTCAATGATGCTAACGAAGCGTTGCTTTTCGTGCATATATTCTGCCACAAGAACATGCCGTACCATTTTGAAGAGGGCGACGGGTGGATGGCGCAAACCTTTTTCTCTGGTACAACTCCCCTTCGTTGCATTTACACTGGCCTATAACTCCCCGATCTTTTGCCTTTCAGGTGGAACTATGCCATCCCACGACATGCTAGTGCGTCCCCTCTCCGCATTAGTCACTCTGACCGCGACCTGACCCGCTTGACTTAACCACATCAGCTATACTTCCAGGACGACGTGACCCTGGTCCGCAGCTGGTACCTCTCCGGCGAGAACTACTCCAGAACGCTGGAGGACTGGCTGGCACGCCAGGACAAAAATGCCGAGCAAGGCCTGGCGGAACTCGAGAAGGATGCCGTCGCGAAAGGGTTCAGTAAAGAAGACGCCAGGAAGACGTTCAATAGGTGAGTGTATACCGGAAGTGTCTCGTATGCCTTGTATGCAAGATTTGATCGTGTAGGTTCCGGGTGTTCTACATGGCATGCTCAGAGCTTTTCGCCTTCAATGGTGGTCAGGAGTGGGTACCTCGGTTTAATATGATGGGACTTTCTGATGACCTCGCCCATGTAGATGGGGCGTCGGGCACTACCTATACAAGAGGAAACAGTAGCAATGGAGGTTGCCCTAAATTATCTTGGTATACTCGGAACGCTCGAGATGTAGAGCACGAAACCCGATGATAAATATATGTCTGTGAGATACAGGAGACCTTGTGGGGATAGCTAACTAACTAGAGGCAAAATGCAATGTGATATTATGAATACAATTTAACGACGGCAGCACGACCTATAATCCACTCCAGAGTCCCTATTATTCCCCCAATCCAGCCCACGCAACGACTGATTCGTGGAGCAAGCGCTACTGCTTGCTCCGTTCATATGCTTCCAGGATCTTCATCAACTCCTGCTGCGCCGCGTCTACCCGCCGCTTGGTCCTCTCCAGGCTCTTCAGGTCAGGCAACTCGTCATCCGAGAGACTAATCGTGGATACCCCCTCCTCGTCCATCTGGTCTATCTTTCTCTTCAGCTTGCGCTTAGTGTCTGCGAGCTCGTTCTGGGCCATGGAACACTCTATCCACACGTCCATATACCGGTCGCGCATGCCTGGGCGATCCTTCGGGGTCGGGTGCGAGTCGATGCTCGTGGGGGGCGAAGAGGCCTCCCGCCCCCGTTTGCGCGATGGCGTGGAGTCTTCCTCGTCGTCGGACGAGGTGTAGATCGGGGAGCGGCGGCGAGACCTTTGCCTGCTCAGTCCGTCGGGGTGCGCCGACCTAGAGTCGCTGCGCGATACGGAGGGACTGTGTTCCTCGCGCTTGACCCTCTTGACAGGCCGCGGCGAGGTGTCGCGTTCCCTCTGCGCGCGCCCCGCCTCGCGCTCCCTCCTCACGGCCTTCTTCGCGGAGAGAGACTGCCGGTCACGTTCCCGTTCCCGCTCGCGTTCCCGATCGACCTCGCGCCGTACCCCCTCTTCCGTCTTCCGCTTCTTGGGAATCCGCTCAACCGGCTCCGGCGCATACTCCTCGTACTCGCCCTCTTCCTCCTCTTCCTCCTCCTTCACAGGGCGCTTCTTCCTCTTAAGGGTCCCATTCCCAGCGGGCTCCTCCCTCCTCGCCCTACCGGCGCCATCCTCACCCTGCCTCTTCACCCTACTAGGACCCTCATCCACCTCCCGTCCCTTCCCTTTGTCCGCATTCGCAGCCGTCTTTGGCCGCTTAATCGACCCCGCCTCCTTCTTCACCGTGGCCGGGGGCGGCGCAATTGGCGGGGCGGGCCTCGCAGGCCCAGAAGGCGCGGGCGGCTCCCTGCGCCTGTCGCTCCTTGCATCCACCGGGCCCGTGCGCCTCCGCTCCTCCTGTGGCGTCTCCGACGCGCGGAAGCCCGAGCCGGGCGTCTTCCGTGGTGGAAGGGGGGACGGTTTCCTGGGGATGGGCGAGGGCGCTGGCTTAGGAGGAGGCAAGGGCGATGGGGCCTTCTTCGCCGGAGGAAGCGGAGAAGGTGCTTTTCTAGAAGGAGGAAGTGTCGACGGTGGGGGTCTCGCGGGCGCACGGCTCCCCTCGTCCTTCGCCTGGATCTCGACCTTCACCATGCGTGTCTTCACCGTCGTCCCCGTCCCCGATCCCTCCGCCTTCTTTTTCGTTGCCGGCTTCTTCTGCACGGACGCCTGCGTGGGCGTGTTGGTCCCTGACGGCGCACGGCTCGTCGACACCGGAGGAGTGGATATGGAAGGCTCAGGCAGGTGGGGGACGCCCGTCGGCCGCGGTCGAATGTGCGTCCACGCAGGGTCGGAGTCCGGTATTTTGAGGTCGAGGAACGCTGCGCGAGCTTTGTCGAGCATCGCTTGACGTGCATGGGAGCTAAGCCCGGGGTAGTCGTGCGGCCGGACCTCGAGCCACGACTTTTTCTTCAGTTCGTACTTCGGTCCATCCCTCGAACTGGTACCAGTTTTCTGCGGGTCCGCGATCTAGACGCAGAGTGATTAACCCCATGAAGACACTACCAGCCTAGGAGGAAGCAAACACACCTGCACCAGTATCTCGCGGAGGGCCTGCCGGGCAGGAGGTCCAGCCTGCGGGCCCCCGACCAGCTTCAGGACTTCATCTGCTTGCCTAGGCTCCGTCGCCAAGCACCGCACCATCTGCGTCCTCCACCCCTCCAGCGTCTCCTGCGAGAATCGGGGCGCGGGAGACGCCGCACCACTCGCTGAGGCAGATGGCGCACCGGACCTCCGCGCCGGCGGCGCGGGCTTGCGCTTCCCGCCGTTAGCAGCGTCGGGGATGGAGTCGAGGACGACGGTCTGACGTCCCGAGCGCTGCTTCTCCGCCGCGGCGGTCTTGTCGCGCAGCTGCTCCGCGACCTTAGCCAGGTCGCGCTCGACCATGAACTTCCCGATGACGTTCCCAAACAGCCTCAGCGGGGTGTTGGGCTTGCTCGCGGTCGGCGCGCGCAAGTAGAGCTCGGTGCCGCGCTCGGCGTCCTGCGGAATCATGGAGTAGAAGGAGTCCTTGACGCGAATGCCCTGTGGGGTGGCGCGTGTGGGTTAGTAGGAGAGGATGGTGGGAGGAAGACTAACCATATTGCCTGGCTTGAACTGGAAAGTCATTTGAGGATTATTGAGGTCCTCGGGCGAGAGAGAGTTGAGAGTCTCTGAAGACATCCTCACTATCATCACCTTCCGCGGTTTGGAGGGTCCAGAGTCATTGGGCTGCGACGGCCCTTGGAGTGAGAGCCGCACATCGGTCGGTAAAGGCATTGTTGCACAGAGGAGCAGCGATGTCGCGCGATTTCAGAGACAGGTTATTTAAAACGTAGAATAATGTTTCCCGGCGTCGTTGCAGCTGTGGTACAAGTCGATAGTCCACCGTTCGCGGTTCACGCCACAGACAGAAGGTGGTGGAAAGTGGTCAAGCGCCAGTGAGCCGTACGCGCCTGCTGCTATCGCTTCTTAACGTGCCGATCACCCGAGTGGCCACAGACAACCACAAAGGCTGCAAGAACGGAACAAAAGATGTGGCCAAGGCGTCGGCGGCGGCGACGTGGACGAGGACAAGAGCGCCGACGCCACCGTGCCATTGGCCTCTGCCCACAATGCAGTGTCCGCTCGGTGCCGATCAGAATTGATCCCGTCTGTCCAATCGCAGCCCTGTGGCTGGGTATTACTCACCGGGGGAGTACCGTACCGTACTCTACATGTCTGGACAGCATTCCTGTCTATCCTCTGAGTGTCAAGCGGACTGAACTTGGACGACGCTCGGGGCACATAACAAAACAGGAGAAATAAATAGAGTCCTACAGGCCTTCTGAACCGTGAACGGACGGCGAGGCACAAATTCGCAGATGGGCTTGAGAAGAGGACGAGGTGCGATGGAAGATTGTATAAATGGTCATCATATCAGAGCAGAAGGCCCATATTAGATGGGAAAGCGCGCGAGTGCACAAGACTAAGACATAACCCGATTTGGAAAACCAATTTCCATAAGAAGCACTTTCGTCGTCCGGGGTTATGCGAGGGCGAGAACAACAATGCCAGGCACCCGAAGACGTTCACCGCCGTAACCTTCATCCGTTGATAAGACACACTAATTGGAAAGAAATTATGCAGGTGTGCTGGCAGGAAGCAAACACAAACACAGCGTGAAGCATTGAGAGACGAGAGTCGACGCCACCAAACCATTCCTTTGACGAACTACAATACAAATATGATTTCCCCTGCTCCATTATCATATACCGTATATGCCATACAACGTACCTGAGAAGTTACGGCTTAAAGGAGGCACTCGCGGCAGAAGCCCGGACTCCCCAGCTAACAGACACGTCCCGAAGAGCAGCCGGTCTCGAGTTTGAAGTGCTTAGATGGAGGTGTGCTGGTATACACGAGGACTGACGCGTGGCAGGGTGAACGAGAACGAGTTCTTGCCGCAAGTAATCGCGCAGAGACGGTCTGGAGAGGAGGCGAAGCAGAGCACAACTTCGTCAATGCGGCGGTCGCCGCGAGCTGGTAGCAATGAAAAGGGTTCCCATGAACGCCGTCTCAAGCAAGGCGCAGAATGGACTATATAACTCTAAGTCGAACAGAATCGCGGCAGAAGCTCGGAGGTGCCAGAGAATTGTACGGGTATGCGACTTGCAAGCTCAGGAGTGTTGAATGGGCGGCGCAGAGAGGCTAGAGAGAAAGCGGAGAAGAAGGCATATTTAACTCGCCCCAGAGGGCAGCGACCAGAGACGTTCTGCGGCTGACCTTTCTCGTCCTCGAGGGAATCAGTCCGTGAAGTGACAGGGCTATCATTCTTTCACAAAGCTCCGCGATGATAGGGAGACAGGACAGGTGTTATCCAACTCATATGCATGAGCACTTGCGGCCACAACGAGTGCGGCTTCAGAACGCCAATGTGTACCTGCCATTAGTTTCATAAACAACCGGCGGATCTCTGGAGCGGACAAGGCAACGTGTAGATCATTCCGAAGGCCTATACACCAGCGGTACGTACAGGGCGCCAAAGCTGAGTGATGTTGGGCTCGGCAGTCAGTTTCAGCATCGCGTCAGACTGAAGCACGGGATTTGTAACCCGATACAAGTCCTGTGGTGCTTTCTTCGGAGAGCCTTCGGAGAGCCTTCGGAGAGATCTTCTGCTGTGCCCTCTCCGCTCGGAAAGACGTCAGGAGGTACGGCGGTACCCCAAAGCAGAGAAGGTGAAGCAATAAAGGTTGCTGTCCATCAAGATATGCACAAACAGATCAAGGATAGCTTAGAAACGGTCTCTCCGAAAGTGGTCGGTGCTCCGAGTCGTAGTAGTGTATGAAGTCCATTCGGCAGAAATGCAGAGGATCGTCGTGAGTCCTAGGGTACATCGCAGCCAGCACGTCGTAAGCGACGTCACTGGAGCCTTTCCAGACGAGAAAAGTGGAAGGGCACTAGCGCAACACGATGATGCGTGTTATAAACGAAGCCCTGGATCCTTAGCAAGCCTTACGCTGCTTTACGAGACTCATGACAGATTACGTGATAGGCGCCCACCAATACGGGGCGAAGCGGGGCGTTGTGTGGGCGAATCTATCCGAATCCAGCGATTCCCTCCGAAGCAAGTTTGTTCGATCCAACAACATCGTTGGTTCCGGACGCTCTGGGTGACCGAGATTATTAAGTCCTGCCATACCCCAGTGAACCTTTCGACCAAAATGGAGGAGCGGGGCTTGCGGGGACACCCCTTCTGCTCATATTTACCCGTTGCAGGCACGGGGAGCGTTCACTTTCTTTCCGTCATTCTTACCTATCGTTTGACTCCTACAGCCCCCGGTCTGGATTACCCACCGCCCACCCCTCTCGTTTTCTCAGCCTGCATTCACATTATACTGCGCTATCTCAATATTAGTTAGGCTCCTTCGCTTCCCACCACCTTGCTGCCAACTGCTTCCGATTCCGACGATATGGCGACGGCTACCTTTGAAGACGAGGGTGCGAGAGGAACTCTCACCTTCAGGATGGGCACCGCAGGTACACTGACACCCAAGAGCGGCGAGGGCATCCCCAAGGAGGGCGTTCAAATGTCTACAGAATCCATGCCACCCCGCGGGCCGCCATCCCCTCACCGACCGATTTACCATCTCTCGTTCTTTCACTATGACTTCGCGCGGTACCGCCGCTCGGCGGTGGTCACCATGCTGATTTCCATCGCCATTAACTTGGTGGTGGTCTGGAGCTGCGGCGCTATATTATACGGCGCCTTCTACCAGCAAAATTACTTGGGCAAGCTCAAGATTTACATAGTCGATTTCGACGGAGATAATCTGGGACAATACGTTACCGGCGCGTTTAACGCCTCGTTGCAGACGCCCAATCATTTCAAGCTCGTATATCAGTCTTTTCAGAATAATGAAGATGTGCGCCGTCATATCTACGAAGAGCAGGCTTATGGCGCCATAATCAGTAAGTGATATCTTGTGGTTGTCCAGTATCTTTATTCACAGAGTATCCAGTTAACCGAGGAGCGACACAAACATGGAGAGATGCCATCAGCACGGGCAACTCCAGCTACGACCCCAAGCTTGCGGTAGAGATGGTCTCAGAGAGCGCACGAAATCCTCTCACTGCCGGGAGCCACGTCGTCCCCGGTATGACGGCCGTTCTCCAACCAGTACTCGTGAATGCTTCGCAGACCGAGGTCTCCAACTACATGAACGCCAACGTCGGAAACAATACGGCTCTGCAGAACGTATTGAAGTGCCCTCAGTGCATTTCCGATGCATTCTCGTATACGCCCAATGATATCTTGCCCGCGTACAACGCTGCAACACTAGGTGCTCAGCTTTCTGGTGCAGTCTTCGTGAGTGCACTCGCCTCGCTCCCCTGTATCTTCAATTATTCACAGATCTTATGATACTTTAGCTTATCGTCTTTGTCTTCGCTGTGACCGGAACGTCCTTTGAGCTCGCCAACAAAATTGGAGAGCACCTGGATATATGGCACACCATCGCCTGGCGAATCCTCCACCCCTCGCTTCACTACCTATTGATCGCTCTGTCGCTCACCGGCTGTCAAGCTGCATTCGGTGTACCCATGACATCCCCATGGGGCGGGAGGGGTTTTGTTATCTTGTGGATGTATGTCGCGCCTTTTGAACACGTTCGCGACCCTTGCTAAATCTTGAGATAGGTTAAATTGGTTGTGCATCTCAGCTATGGGTCTCGCATTGGAAGCGTTCTGGACGATCACGGGCTGGTGGATCCTGAACTTCTTCCTAAATTTCTGTAAGCACGAAAGTTTGCTGTTTCATCTCATCGCACTCTCACACCTGCCATAGACGTCGTCTGGAACCTCGGCGGTGTGTCGTACTCGTTCGAGGAGATGCCCGGCTTCTTCAAATATTACTACGGGTTCCCCTTATTCCATGCAGTGCGTCTTGATACACCTTGCTCAACCCCTCACTCGACTGACGTGCCCACTCACATCGCTAGGTGCAAGGAACCCTTACAGTGGTCTATGGCACGCGGAGTCATCTGGGTTCAAACTTCGGAGTCCTGGTTGCATGGAATGTCGTCTCGATCATCGTATTAGCTGCCGCGACGTATTACCGCCTAAGCCGGAATAAGCGTGCCGGCTTCCATAGGCTCTGGTAATGCCGAGTCAATATCGTGCCCGGAGTCGGACTTTGCTCAGCGGTCGCGCGCTACTATCTATACTTCTGTTTGCCTACTACAAGCACTTGCTGTAACTTCCTCCGATTATGTATAATAACCGCATTTCTGAAAGGGAGGGATTCTGCGCATGCACAGGCCTCTTTGTGCACGCGCCCAGGCACTAAAATGTGCTCAGCCCCTCCTGTGGCATACAATCGGCCCAAGTAGGCGCCAAAGATCCGCGGAATACTAGGTGTCGTCTGCTATCACATGTCTATCAGTGATCTGCACTATCTCAATTGACACTTGTTGTTTGCCACCGTCCCTTTCATAGACGAGCCGGCTGCTCGCGTGACATATGCAGTATTCTGAAAACCGTGATAATAGTACATATATGATGATACAAGAAAGCAGGACCTCTTCCTCATCAGTGCAGCGGTGCCCTTCGCACATGGAGGAAGACACGGACGACTGTCCAACATAAACCAGGGCTAATGGGAGAGAAGATAGTCCTCCTAGTGTATCGCAACTCAGTCAGTCTCCGGCGAGCCCAATAAAATACGACTGATTCACTCGCCTTGCAAGCATGCCCGTACAAGACCAACTACTAGTCACTGATTTTCCCATCCGAGACGAGAGCAGCCAGAACACGGCCTGCGGCCTGCTCCTTGGCGGCGCCTCTGCTGCGGCCGGTGCCTCTTCCCCACTCGATCTCGTTGACTGCCGGTACAGAGTGAGCATGAAAACGCGTAGAAGATATCCTGCTTCATACGGTATGCTATTGCGGTCCATGTGGGATCGTGAAGGGGACCTTGCTGAATCTCCTCCCAAGTGAGAGACCCTAGCGTTCTGTACTGTTGCAACACATTGTTGAGTTTCATCCTCTGGTCTGAAAATGGAAGGGTGAGTGTGGAGCCATGCTCTTCATATGAATATGCTCACGGTCTGACATGTTTCCTGCTAGGTCGACGTGAATACCGCTTGCTAGACGATACCGCAGAGAGATCTGTACCTTGGTGTTGCCATTTCGTCCAGAGTCACCAGTATTTTTATATTCCCCAAACCGCTACAGGGTCTGGTTGCATCAGGCTCTCAGTTAATGGTCTCTGCAAACACTGATACTAGTGGAAGCAAAGTCAACGCATATAAGCTGAATATATTGATCCAGTACTCATCGTAAGCGGGACTGGCTCTCATTGAAGCCAGCGGTGAAAGCAAGGGACCCTTTCCACGCCGTGGTATAACGTTCTGGATCTTCGCGGGACTCAAGTTCGACCCATTTGTACCACTTAGATACCACTATCAAATCCAGTGCTTGAGATCGAAACGTAGCTCGATGCGCTTGGTAATTGCAGCCTATCACTAGGCATACTGCACCGATCAAATGCTCTGTAGCGTGAAAATGTCAGACCTATGCCCTCGTGCCCGAGGCAGCGCTCCGGGCGAAGCACCACCGGAGAAGTATGCGTAGATCTAGACACGCTGCTGCCTGAGACACATACTACCCTTATGGGAGATGTTGTGTCAGGTCCATAGTACTAGTAGGCCTCCATTCCCCGGAGTCCATACAGAATCGCGACACAGCTATGCGTCTGAGTGTTCTCCTTGTACCTCCACATCTGGGGGATAGATGCAGTAGCCCAGCAGATGCACAGTGATGCTCTTTTTGTATACATGTAGTAGGAAAGGGCATCGGACTTGAAAGTCACCTTCTAACAAGGTTCCAGCGCTTCTCAGTCTAAATGCACTGCGGGTACTTACTCAAAGACCCTGATCATCGTCGATTGGGTGTGAGGTTCCAAGACTTCATGTTGGGACTACAGCAACCTTTAGCGGCTATGCGCGAACCGATGGCAAAGCGTAGACTCGTGCGTAAATATTGCAGTACGAGAAACGGGGTTTGAGTACTGTAATACTAATAAGCGAGGCGATTGCTTGTCATGGTCACGGTGCTAAGGCTCCGTTCGGTTGCACGGCCGCGTCGCGGCGCTCTCAAGGCGCCACAGCCAGCTCGGCCGCGTGGCAGTGCTTTTAGTGAGACGCGATTGGCTGAAAGACTGTTTTGGCGTCGTTGGCCGCGACGCGGCCATGCATCCGAACGGAGCCTAAGTAGTAGCATTGCCTTGCCTAAGTGTCTGGAATTACACACGCCGCGGCAGGGGTAAGCGGACGGTGATGAAATGCTGGTCCGGTGGTAGTTTGCTATAACGGTTGTGTTGGTTGTGCACATCAATCGTATACTAGTATGAGCGGTCCACGAGGTCCCTGGACCGTCCCTGTTTTGTCCGATCACCCGATCCGGTCACTGTTGCTTCCATTGGTGTGCCGATCTTTGCAACTACAGTGCCTTGCATAAGAAACTGAACATCGCATTTCTGCGCGCGTTGTTTGTCCGCGCCAAATATACCCTTTCGGGTATCGGCAAGTGTGCGGCAAAGACCCATCGAGAGGGAGGGTAGCTAGGCATACAGGTCGGGGCAGAGTATAATGATTTACAGCCCTTAGTGTAGTTGTAGAATATACATTTCATGCATTCTCTGAAGCCTTTCGAGCCGTCTCGGGTCGTCTGCGAGTCCCTGCCCAACAAACGGTCCCGCGAGAGGCCTTCCGGACCTACCCGAAAAAGGTATATTTGGCGCGAACAAACAACGCGCGCGGAAATGCGATGTTCAGTTTCTTATGCAAGGCACTGTAACTGCCAGCTAACGACAAAAACGATGGAGACTGAAAATATCGCGCTGGAGCTCGGGTGACAGGGAAAGCACCAAACCGGTAGAGAGACCCCATGCGCGGAACGACGGCTGTGGACTGCGTGCCTGAGGCCCATCGTTTCTATTTGTAAGTACTGACAGGAACCTTCTCCATCACTGTGACTCCATCCTGAAAGAGTCTCTGTCGCTTTGTCGTCACTTAGTTGACAAAGCGATAGCGGTTTTTTTACCTACAAATGTCGTTCCAAAGTCATACAATACCAAACATTGAAGCTAGCAAGTACGACGACCAGAGGGCAGCAACTGCTGTTTTCAGCGCCCTTCTCGGAGCGGGGAGGACCGCCCTTGCTGCCTTTGGTAGCAGGTGTTCCATGGATCCAGCGTAAGAGATTCGGACTTCAGCTATCGTTTCGTAGTTATGTAGCTGTGAGGTCAACGAATAATAAGTCACGTATCCGATTAATAGTATCTATAGTATTCCGTTCCCGCCCGAGGACATTACTTAAAGGAAATGATCACACATTGGGGTGATCATACTTTCGTCGCGACGCCTATCACGGCGCTGGATTATATTCGCATGAGGCACCATACGGGATAGGTCGACCAGTAACGAGAATGCCGGATTAGCGGATTAGTCCGCTGCAGAGCCAGTCCTTTTCTAGATATCGGATGCACCTACAACGACTGAAAAGATTCGCAACAGAATGGGGATTCAAGTTACATATACTCTAATGAATGTATAAGTACTGAATACAACATTTGGCACAACCAACCCTTGCCGGGCAAGGTGCATCCTTATACTTACATGAATCAGGACCAAAACGCAGGTGTGCATAGCAATAACCTGAAAACTGTAGACCTCATTACAGATGTCAAGCGCCGCTGATCAAGGCTGCTAAAGCTTTCTCGGCAGCTATCTCTTTAGCAGCGCCCTTAGTGGGCGCAGTGCCGCTATACTCGACGCCTTTGACTGACATATTCGCTGTTAACGTGCTGTAAGAGCCCTGGATGCACAACTCACTCAGAACTGTCGCAGTCCATTCGGGTGCATGGCTAGGACCTTCCTGTTTTTCTTCCCATGTCAGGGGACTGAGTCTTGGGTGGCCCTGAATATAGTTATTCAGAGCCATACGGTGATCTGCAAACATATCCCGTTAGCTGACTTGTACAAGCGTATCATGGTGGTATCGCTCACGCTTCTGTGGGTCGGTGGAAGTTGACTGAGACATAGCAGAGAATTATATGTGAGTGTAGTTTGTGGAGATGTGGGGTCGATTATGCAGAGTCTGCCGAGGTAGGGGGACGTATTTATGTGCTACAGAGCTACCCTGCAGTGCACGCAGGACCATGACACCCGAAGGGATGTCGTTTACAAAGCTATCACGCCTCCATTCCAAGAGGCTGCACAGAGTTGGGAATCCGCAATGCTGGAGAGCGAGCCAAAGATGTTTGGTAATTTCATCGATGTCCAAGGATACCACAAGGCGGAACTATGCAGGTCGACCACCCGGGTTCCCCAGCACGATCGTCCCGGTCGAGTAAGCAACGAAGCCCCTAAGCAATATCCATCGGACAATGGAAATGGTTCAGTGATCCCCGCAGTTCCCTGGAATTCTCGAGCTGCCAGTGCGGTCTGATTGACATAGCGGTCTGATCGACAATGTCAAGTTCCTGAAAGATGGTGAGCAGTAGCAGTAAATGATGAGAGATCAGAGGCAGGAGGAACATACCGGAATCGCTGAAAATCGTCGAGCGGGTCGGACACACCCGTTCCTCGGCAGACATCGAAATACATCTTTCGGGATCATCCTCGTCGTCGTAAGACGCCCACAAGACGACGCGGTTGCAGAGATAGCACTCACGGGAGCTTCGCCGTGTGTGTGTGGGGGGGGGGGCAAACAAGGTCAAAGCCGACCAGGTTCGGTAGCTCGGTACCGCTAGACCTCGAAGATGGGTCATCGCAAAGCGATAGATATAATACCCGACGATCTCGTGGTCATGAACAGACGAGTTATAACCAGATATCATAGCTTTGTCTCTCGATGTGGCTTGCTGAACCGCGTCCCCATAGCGAACACACACCCATCCTCCCGCGTTCCTGTACACACCCGCAAGCGCCGAAACTTAATCCCGCAAGTGTTCCTGGTGGGGTTGAAAGTCTAGATACAAGTATCCGAGCATTCCCAGCTTTGCGAATAGCGTCTCAGCGCCCGCTTGATTCGGCAAGAGCACCTAAACTACCTCCGCGCCACACGGCTATAGGGACGGGAGTCGAGGAATGAGGCGCACGGGCAACGGATTTTAACGAACGGACATATTCTTGTCTTCAATGCAAGGCCCCGAAGTTGACCTGGAGATTTGCCATGTCTTCCTCCACACGAACTCGTATGCGTCAGCTCAGCGGCGTACCGAAGAACCGATGCTCGCGGATATCGATCCAATACTAGTTCGTCCCTTCAGCTGGCGGATGTTGACATAGATCCCCTGACTAGAGTGGATACAAACCAAAAGAGGAGATACGAGCGGGTAGCGCATGGTATGATCATCGATTATGGCCAAATGCAGTTAACGTCGAACTGAGTACTGTTGCGAATCGGGGGACTCGGAGACTCCGCGAATATCCCACGAACCATCTTAAGCTTGCCACACAATTCCACAGACACCTATCCAGCCGTTTGCAGATTGATGGGCCCACTTTTCAAAAATCATTTACAGTCGGACCACGTCGGACAAGCAACTGTAAGTCCCCGAGAGTCGGAAAACCAGACCATTTGGACTTCCCCACCTTCTTCCGACGTCCCTGGCACCCACTCCGACCCACTCCGACTATACGCGATTTTCTGAATTGGTGGTCTATCGATCTGCAAACGGCTGCAGTAAGGAGGCAAATTGTACACGATTCGCCCACTATATTCCTTTTATTTTTCCTGACAATTGAGGGGTGCGATAGTTAATCATCCATGGGTATTTCCACATTCAAGTTTCGTCTGTCATGATCATATGACAACCTCCTCGAACTTGAAACCTGAGATGTACCCAACCTTTTAAGTTATCATTGTGGAAAGCTAAGACTCTGTATGGCTACATGTTAGCAGCAGGCAGAACAGGGAAGCATAAGATGGGTGGCCATAAGCACACCAGGCCCAGACACATACACAAACCGAAGGCAAGGTCAATTGCACGGACTAAGGAACAAAGGAAATACAGTGGCTCAGTCCATAGTCAAGCTGTTTGTACCTATTTGTCCCAGTGGCTCTGCATCCAATACAACCAAAACCTAACACTACACTCGTGTCTCGTACTACAAGAAGCATAGTATTATATTATATTACTTAGCTTCCGAGGAGCTCAGTTTTGCGTAGAGCTGGTACGGACGTGTCAGCTCAGCACTATCTTCACCACAACATGAACCCCTGCGCTTAGTATGAGGATAGAGCAGCCAAATCATACAGACGTCATCCACGAGCTAGCTCACGAACAAAATCTTATGCTCCCGCCCTGCCCCTGGCACTGCATGCCCATGGGATATTCTGGATTCTTCGTCAAGACAAGTATCGGTGCATTTACACAGTACAGCAATAGGCATCAATACCGGGACACAGCTAGCAGGAGAAATGACATGGCGCTCCGACTGATCAATCAATATGTTAACTCCTACACACATGCAAAGCTCGAGGAGTCGTTTACGTTTCCCCCGCGGTACACCACATTCGCCGGATACTATAGACATCTCAGCTTTCGATTACGCCGGAACATGCACGGACGCGCTGTACGCACCTTGCAGATCGGCCTGGTAAAACCAATCCCCTGGGACTGTTGATTATTCTGGTAATACGCCGCGATGAAATAATCAGGCGCGACCCCTTCTTCCACCCAGCTTACGATTGCAGATACGACATTGTGCACGGGATCGGAAGATAAAGGGGGTGTCGCGGCAGCTGCCTGACCAGCGCCACCAAAAGCATTTGCTCCGTATCCTCCCTACAGAACGGAACATTAAGCATACTGCATCTGGTGATTGCCGGTACAGCGTAGTACTTACTTGGCTGCACAGTAGTTGGGAGTGATGTGTATGTTATGCGGTGACGGTCCGACGTGATCGACAAGACGGACGTACCAATGCTGCATCCCCGGTACCGTAAACAGACGATAGTAGTCATCGATGTTATACTCCGTGTTGGACTGCATGAAGGCGTGCACGGTCTCATAATAGTGTAGAGAGTTGCCGGGGCTGATGAGCTGATCGGCCCAACCAACATAATGAATGATCTTTCCATTCCGCTCGGGTTCAACGAACGCCGTGATGTTGGTCTCGATGGCCTGTGAAAGTCTCAGATGGACTGCACATATTGAACCGTCCGTGATAAGCACTACGGACATTGGCATTGGCCGGGGACAGCTCGTCAGCGAACTGAACGAGACTATAATTGAGCGTAGTAGGGTCCCAGGTAGTATCACTGCAAGTGAAGGCATGGAAAATCCCATCCCAGTCAAATATCCCAGGGAAGCACTTACTTGAGGATGAAATATTGGAAGTAGTCTTGCGCGATGGGCAGAACCGGAAAGCCCAGCAAGCCAAAGGTATAGCCTATTTCACCTCCGGGGTAATAAGGACCGAAAATATAGGTTTGGTTTGTCTCGTAGTAATCCGAGTAAATCTGATGCAGTGCCTGTATCTGGGATAGATTCAGACATGTCGAAGTATTTTGACCCGCGCGGCACGCGAGCGTCTCAGGTCGGAAGCTTACAGGTCACATGCGCGTCAAGTAGGGTACGTACATTGAGCATCAGAACACTTACTTGCACGCGAGGGGATTGCTGATGACGCCGTCCGCCAGCTAAACAGAAGATAAGGTCACATAGCTATAACACAGCAACGACAATGGAAACTGACCCCATCCAGCGCGTCACACTGCCGCAGCACCTCGTCGTGAATCACCCCAGTCCACAGCTCAGGAGGGATCCACTGGGGCGAGCCGACGGGCAGAACGTTGAGATCGATATGAATAGACCACGCCTCTAGGTGACTCATCCAGTTGGCTGGCGATCCGATGACCTGGGAAGATTCATCGGATGATCAGCTGCAAGGATGTCACCATGAGACATACTATTCCATCAAAATCTTCAGGGAAGTCTTGCGCAGATTTCAGGCTGGTCGTATTGGGTGTGATGAGCAAACACATTCCACCAAATAAGGAATGTCGCCCACCCTTGTCTGCCGCCTGATATGGTTCCCAATAGCTTAGTGGATAAAGACCAACGTGAGCTGGCTTACGTACCAGTGGAGCACCCGAGATAGTACGCCTTCAAGGCGGGCTTGCCGTAGTATTGCTGGATAACCTGCTTGGCCACTCCCACGCTCAAATGCAGGGCTCTCCAATTCCAGTCAATGATCGCGTCCTGGCCACATCAATTATATATCAATCGAATGGGCAAGCATGGAGGACACACATCGTTATGTGGGCCTCCCCAGGTGCCGTCAATCACGGTGGAGCTGTGACCGGTATCTGTAGACATTCCTGCAACTGCGCCGCTACGTTTCAACCTCAACGTGATGACAGGAAAGAATGGTGCCTACATCCTTGGCTCACGGCGGCGAAGCCTAGATCGGCTACGTTGACTAGAATGTGCCAGGATCGACTCATGATGAATTTGGCAAACAGCAGTTGCCTTACCGCCACCCCCAAATCCACCGTTGCCAAATCCCAGGAAACGACCATTCCAGGCATCAGGGAGCCATACCTCGGTATTGGCAGTCTTATTCGAGGTGGAGTTGGTGGTGATGAGCAGCTCAATCCCTTCGCGACTCAAGCCTCTCAGAATAATGACGGAGAGAATGCGACGACTTACGACAGAACGCGGGCAGAGTGCTCGTCTCGATGCTCGAGAAGACATTCGTGACATTCACGAGGTCACCGGCTTGGTATTCCGTCGCTCCAATAACCGACACGCCCGTACTGTTACCGAGGGTGAAGGTCGTACACGTAGTCTCCCAAGCACGAGCACCAGATATAGCACCAAGGCCGTACAAAGCGACAGCAGAAAGAGCAGTCCGTACTCCCATGTCCGGTGAGCGCGATGCAAAGACCGAACGGCTGCCTAGTCATTACTAGCGTTATCATAATATATATACTGTAGCAACTGGTGACGATCTCACTGCACCGTTATGATCAGCCGGCCAAGTTCCACACAGTGACAACAATTTCACTGTACCATCAGCCAACCATATTCCACACAGTGGCAATAATCTCACCGTACCATCAGCTGACCATCTCCACATGTACAGAGTGGTGTGGATGAGAACAGCCGCTTGGAATACGGTGTCCGCCAGATCAACTGGATAATAGGATCATCCAAGCATCCCCGTGTATTCGATCAGACGCGAGACTCCTGCGACAGTCTGACTCTGAGTGAAGCTTTGGCACTTGCAAATAAAAGAGCGAGAGCTTTCTCGCAGATAGACGGTCGCTTGAGCAAAGAGGGTTTTTCTGTAGACCTTCGAAGACGAGCTGGTGGCTGCAGCGCGCGCAAGGTCGGATCGCCAGGCCGGCCGTTGCCGCAAATGAAAAGGTCTCAGATCCTCTCGACGCTTTGTGTTCCTTCGTTCCTACACTCGACCTACTACGCGCATCGTCGAGCACGACTGAAGCAAGCTCGCGTGATCAAATCTCTGGGGTTGGATTATAGCTAACGGCGAAGCTTGGTGTAATTCCTTCCCTTCCCCCCTTTTCAAAGGGCTGTGAAGTCGTGCAACTACTAACGAAAGATTGGTATGAAGGTCCCACCTTGGCTTTACCTTTCGAATCCCCTGCAGACCTGTTGATGACTGACGCGAACGTTGAGAGTCGTATCGAAGTGCTTACGCTTGCCACTGCCGTCCCTGCAGCTCCCATTACCTTCGAGAACTTCAAATTCAGCACTATCGGTCGTCCCCCAGCCTTACTGACTCGCTTTTCAGACCCGTCTTCCCAACTAGTGACTCCGTCCCAGCTTCCTGAGGTAAACGAGGGCGAGGGTACCCCCACACATGAAACATACTCGTCCAGCATCAAGCCCAAGCCTATGTCAAGACCGTCTCTATTGGACAGCCTTGCTGCTGCAGCAGTTGCAGAACGGGATAACCCTGCCTCCTCTAAGATGGGTACGGTAGCCCAACAGCCGAGCCGCGTGCCCCGGGCCCAGACTAGCCGGCCGCGTTCTTCTGAGTCAACTGTCGTCGAGCTTCATATTCCTCCCTCAAACCGACCTGCCGCCCTTGACTTGTGTGCTGCAGAGGGCGACTCTGCAGGCTACACCCATTTTAGCACGATAGCTACGGGTGCTTCTCGATCCACTGCACTCAATGCACCTGTTGGCGACCCAACTGCAGTATCTACTCATGTCAACCTTGGAGTCTCGTCCGATGCTGCGGCCGCCCTCCTATCCAGCCAAACGACCCAGTCGACGCTGTTCTCCGTTCTTGCGCCCTTCTACATGGAAGCGGGTAAGGAGGAAGCGGAATGGAGCAGTGTTGTCCGTCGCGCCGAGGAAGAACAGCGCGAATTTGTTACCCTTGTTGAGAAGGCTTCTGTAATCTTGGACCAACTGAAGGAAAAGGCTTGTAGGGTGGAGGTTGCCGTGGATGCTATGAAGCAGCACCGCGGCGATTCCATGGCGAGGACTGCACGTATCGAACAGGCAGCCATCTCTGCCATTGAGGAATACCGTAAGCAAATTGACCAAGCTATTCGCGCCCAGAAACTACAAGAAGAGTGTCGGCTTTCGGACTTAGCCTCCGCTGCAGAAGCTCGGCGTCTCGAGGACGCCAACCGCAAAGCAGTGGAGGCTGCCGCTGAAGCTGAAGCACGCAGGCTGGCAGAAGAGCGGCGGAAGGTTGAGCTCGCGGAGGCAGCCAGGAGGAAAATGGAGGAAGAGAAACGCGCGGCGCAACTCCGGGCTTTGGAGGAGAAAAAGCGGGCCGAAGAAATTGCGTCTCGGGAACGGGAAGCAGCACAGCAGAGAGAGCAAGAAGAAGAACGCCGGCGACTCGCTGAGTACGAGGCCAAACGAGCGGCTATAGAGGCCGAGAGGAATCGGCAGGCCGATGAGAATGCTGCTCGTATGCGCGAGAAGCTCCAGGCGAAGGTGACGAGAGAAAAGCAGGAGCTTTTGAGATCCCGAAGCGACTCACAGCAGGTGCCTCCGATTGTCAGCGCACGCGAAGCTGCTTCATGTACGGCTTCTGGGAACAGTGTGTCCCCCCCTGTTCCCTATTCTTCATCCTCTCAAGAACGAGTGCTGTCTGGCGGAGTCAAACTGGCTGTCCCAGCTAAAAGTGGAGCCTCTCCATCTCCCGCCTCTCCTTCTGTTGTCAACTCCCACTCCCCTCGGCCTGCCTCTGCTGTCGGGGCTAAGCCAATATCTGCGGGTTTGACGCGCATCGCCGCAACCACTAAATCTTCCGCCAATGGGGGGTTTGTTCCCGCGCAGACTCAGGCAGGTAAGACTGTCTCGACAGAAATGCCATTTAGCTCTATACAACTGGCGTCAGAAGCAAAGCGTAGAGCCGTGCCGACGTTCACCCCCACTTCTCGTATTACAGCAACGCCAGTAGTACAGTCGCCTTCCACCAACGGTGCCGTTGCCCTCCAGGAACCTTCGCAAGATCTGAGCAGCAAGACACAGGACAAGACCAATCAAGACCCGGTGATTACCGTGAAATCAGAGCCGGGGACTCAGGTACCGCAGCTTGCGGTAGCTGCAAAGGGTACGCAAACCAAGAAACTGACGAAAAAGGCCAAAGACGCAGCAGTTAAGGTTGCTGTAAAGCGTGAGCCTTCTCTGGAGTATACGCCTGGTCCTTCTCAAGAGCAGAGCCTTGGAACGCCTACGAATCCCTCCCAGTCTTCCGGAGTAGTGCAGGAAATGGGGAGCTCTAACTTGCCTAGTCGTGCCGCCGATGGCTCACAAGGGTTGAGCACCCCGGTATCGCCCGTACTTGATACGCCCTTTGCTTCGAATGTTGCATCATCATCTTCGCTTGACACAAGGAGAACGACTGCGCCGCCTAGTTCTGGATTGACGAGTACATCATACGCTACTTCGAGCAGCAATAACTATGGGATCGCATCATTGCCTTCACGTCCCCCAAGCCCGCAACCGCAACCGCAACCGGCACCGAAGCGACGTCCTAAGAGGCCTTCCGTGACAGTGCCAGACGCTGGCAATCAGGATCGTAACCCTGCACCTAGCAGTGCGTCCCGAAGTGCGTCTGGGCCCAGGACACCGCCCGTGCGAGAGAATAACAACGTGCGCGGAAGACAGAGAAGGCAGATGGATCATTACTCCCCGCCGCCGCGAACCGAAGGATGGACTCGCAGGGAACCCGACCACTACTCTCCTCTTGGACATAGGTTAGATGAGCGAGTCTTCACCCCTCCGGATTCAGGACGCAAACGATCTAGGGAGGGTGATACATACTGGCCGGAGAATGATGTTCCTCCTAGGCAGAGACCGCGCTATGATGACGGTCCAGGACTTAGTTATGTCGATAGACGTCGAACTCCGCCAGCTCCGGATCCGCGATATTTTGCTCCCCGGCCAACTTCTCCAGGTCGACCATGGCAGGGCCAAGCCCAATATTCCCCTGTCGACAACGGTTATGCTGAACCGCGGTATGAAGACTATCGTCCCCCTTACCACGACAGAGTTCCACCGCCTATCAGCCCTCCCGCAAATGTGTACCGTGATGGCTACGAGCGGTATGATAATCTTCGTCCTCGTGAAATAATTCCCCCGCCGGATGCTCACGACGACTATACTCGAGGCGGGAGTCTCGCTAGAGCGCCGGCCTCTCCTACAACGTCAAAGCGAGAGGGAAGACACATTGCTGTCGATACACCGGCTGGCCTTCCTGAGGCGTCAGCATCGGTAGACTCAGAGCAACCTTCACTATTCTATCGTCTCAGCAATCCCAGTCCCTCGCACACTCGGACTTCACCTAACAACCCAGGCGGCAGGAGAGCGCAGGCCAAGCAACGACGTGGCCCCTCGTTGACTGAGCGCGTCGGAGGTCGCGCTGGTGGTCATAAACCTCTTGCGGACCGCATCACGATGGCTTAGCGAGACACGGTTTCTTATAGGATTTCACTGGTACTGGCCAGCAGAGGTGTCCCTGACCTCTCGGATTTCGTCTTCTTTCTTCGAGCTCATCCACGTTTCTCCAACGTTACTCGCAACGTATTATAAAATAATGTCTCCTATAGTCACTAATAGTGGCCTATCTGCTTCACTCACGTGGAGTTGTATAATCGAATGTCACCTCTTGGGTCTTCGTCGAGACTGACTGATGTGAGCTTTCGTCACCACACCCCTTCGGCTACATAGTCCGTTGATACAAAAGGTATAAATACATGTGATCATCCGGTGAACACGCGAACTAATAGATACAGCGTTGAACCGATGAATCTCTGTCTCCGTTGCCATCAGTCTCCTCGCTATCAGACGATACAAAGAGCTGGACACAACTCACCGTCAGGCTCGTGATGGCCACAAAAACCAGGATAAAAGTGAGATAGCCCTTTGTGGGTGTGACGGCTGAATCGCTGAAGGTTGAGCTCGAATCACCAGCGCCGAGGATAGCAGCCAGCAGGAATCCCTGGAAGTATACGGTCATTAGCATCAAATAAGAATAGTACTACTGCAAACGCACGTTGGAGAGTATCCATGCCAAAAGGACCTAAGCCAAGGGGTCCGTCAACGTCCTTGCTTCGCAACAAGGAAACGCAGCACTGACATTTGTTCTGACACTGGCATAGTAGTCCTTTGCTGCTTGCTCTCGTTCTGCAAGACTCAATTCCTGGCCAGGCTTGATATTGCCGATCGGTTTCCGATGCTTCAGATTTTCCGCCGCCTCTACGTAGAGACCATTGACATCAGCTGGTTCGGCGAGGACCTCCACGTCCACTTGTTGGTGGCTATCTTGTACTACAGCTCCCAGGTCTGTTTCGACTGTCGTGTCCTGTTTAGTGCCCCAGGAGATGTCGTCGAGATTGCAGAAGGCATAGCTATGAAGAGGCGTAAATCCACGGGGATAGAGAAGAGTGGAAATCACGCACATATTTAATATGTTAATGTACGTAGGTGAGAGCAGCATATACGGGAGGAAACTCGTCAGCATATGCCAGGGGTCAAAGGCAAGAAGACTGGAAGTGGCATATACTGTGGAGCACGGTCATGAGAGCGAAGCTTCAGCCATAGACGGAGAACCTACCTCCATAGGTCACGATGATGCTGAAGAGCATTACGGTGTAGGTGCTCCCTCCATTTGCATGTGCCTGGAGAGCACACATAATGGCGGCGAAAAATACATAGACCATAAGGAAAGCAAATATGATAGCTGTTGTTTTGTATTTCCACTGTGCGCTGAAGACCTAGTCAGGTTCGTTATCCCCTCTAAATCATCGCAGTGCTTACGCTCGTGGCTTGTTGCCCATAGAGAAGACGAAGCACGCTACAAGCAGCGCAGCCATGAGGTACTGGTGTCATGAGCTCAATCAACTCCAAGCTAGCAGGGGAACATACAGCCCTACCTGGACAATCGTATTGAAATATTGGATGCCTCTCATCTTCAAGGAAGGGTCCTCGAGAGAGGCCGTAAGGATGGCCTGGGAAGGCGCGTCATAACGCCACAAAAGATAGCGGTTGTGGTCATACTCACGAAGAAGAGGAAGAAGTTGCCCTAGCATGGTTAGTTACGATGCAGTAACAAGTACAGCCCTAGCATTTGCGCTCACCATGGCGAACCACGAGAAAATTAGGTTGATGACGTTATAGACCGTTTCCAGCAGGAGCATCGTTTTTCGACCGAAACTGTGACCCGAACGTAGCACTTGTCCGACGTGGGCTATGGCATATGTCGCTGCGAAGAACGACCCGTTCAACCATCTCCGACGTTGGCTAATGAATTCCGGGAGAGCGTCGGGGACATCTGTTTCTCCAATTGCGCTCTTGACATAACGCAGCACCCTAGAAGGGGGAATCAGCGTCTCATGATAGAGGTCTGTGGCAGTTACTTACCAGTTTGAATTGGCTTTCGCGACAAGTTCGAAACACAGGATACGCTAGAGGAGGAGTCAGAGACACTCGGAATTACAATAAGGGATCGTACATCTTCAGCAAGATCTGTACGCATGTCAATACAGTGCATGGATGATACTACAGCACAACTGCTCACACATGTTGGAAGTGAATATATCCGTATCTCGGCCATGGAGGACTTCTCCCTTGAAGTAGGAAGCCAGGGGGCCCACGCCTCGGCTATCGTTCTGTAAAGCAATATACCTAGTCGAAACGTCAGCGAAGCACAGCTCCTTGGTGCACGACGCCTTACCGATAAGCTGAAAATGCTCCTGGCTACCCGGGTGTTAGTCCAGTGACTCTGCATACGTTCGAATATGTATGCCTTACTAAGACGCTAATATATCCGAACATACTTTCCGTAGGTTTGTCTAGAATATTGCTGATCTTATATTCGAAATTCTGGGCGGCGACTGCGTACAGGTACGTCATGCGCAAATCGGTGTCCGCAATCTTCGCGACGTACCTAATGGATTAAGGAGGAACTTCCAATGTTTGCCTTTGTATGCGGCTATCTCGCCACAGGCCCCTCCAACATTGGAGTTCAAGTCGAATGTCTTCCATAAGTGGTATATACTCTTAGGCCCGGGACGAGTACCGACGTCCAGGAGGACGCAAACATTCGGCTGGGGATGCGGTGAGCTCGGGACGGAGAGGGAAAAAGTAAAGAAGAGCACTGTACGCTTACCTGAAGAACCTTCGCGAACGCGTTGAAGAACCACCGATGGCTATTGATCTTCTTCATGTTCTTCTCCTTCATGCAGAACAAGATCTGCGTTGGCACGATGCCCTTCTTCCCATTATCCGGGTACTTGAACTGCAGATTCGGGTCCAGGGCAAACGACGTGGTGTACTCGAACAGATGGGCTGTGACCTCCTTGTTGTTGACCATGTTCTTCATATGATCTCCCGGTTGGTAGACGCCAAGTAGAGTTAGACAGTCCAGTACTCGTGGGTGCACCTTCTTGCGTCCGTCCGCGACGATACATACGACAACCTGAGGGCGGTCTATGATTAATACGGTTATAATACGGGCCTAGTTGGGCTTGCCTTCTTCCATGCATCTTTTCCCCATGTGCGGGAATTCTTCCGAGAGCATAGATGACTGATATTCTGCATGATTCCGTAGAGTGTCCGACAGAAAAGCACCTCATCCTCCTATAAGCGATGATCCATTCAGCAAGGTGACTTTGCATGCGACTCGATTGAATCATACTTACATTATACATCGTGACGACAATGAAAAGTTCGGTCGTCCTACTCCATTCGTTCTGCCGTAGGAAGAACCCGCTGCTCTCGAAGTCGTCCGGGTCGCATGTCACAGCAGTATATCGCGTCTTCTGCATCTCCGGCTCGTATCGAGGAAGGATCAACTTTGGTGGAACGTCCAGTTCGACAACTAGGTTACCGTTTGTCAACTGCACCCTCTTCTTGGTCTTGTTGCGTCGATGGATGCGACCGGAAGGTACAGGACCAAAGTGCATCGTAGGGAGGGGGGTGGGTGGTGTGCTAGAGAGATTGGTGGACACCTTCTCACTCAGCACATCCTCCTTGTTGGGATCATCAGCCAGTAGATATTGAGAATCATTCCCATGGTTTAGATACGTTGCAGATTTCTCGTGAGTGTAGCCAGTATAGTGCGTAGCCTCACTTCCCACGATGTAGTAGTCTTCATCTTCTCCGGAAGGAGTTGGTGATCTGGAGCGTGGAGGACGGTACGACGAACGAGAGTTAATCCCAGAGGCGTACGCTTCCGTGTCGTGCTGAAAGTGGTCGACGTAACCATCTGCCGTCATAGGTTGATTTCCAAAAGACCCATAAGAGTCCCGAGCGTGCTGTAGAGCCACCATAGAGCCACTGGGAGTATTATAGGTATAGGCTGTCGTAGGTCTGGTGGGCGGTTGAGACTGCGCCGCTCCATAGGCTTGGCCTGCATGCGTGTTCACAAGAGCAGATTTATCAAGGAAAGAATCGCTCGGTTTAGGAATCAGAGCATTCCATTCTAGCGGTTCCCCAGAGTTGATGGTAGGGAGATACGGGGCGGGTTGTGCGCGGTCATGGAAGTAGCGAGATTCAATCGCACCGTCGCCTACTTTCTTCGCGTCCGTCCATCCGTAGCCTTCCTGGTCCACTACAGTCTCTCCAGTCGATATGCTATGTCTCGATACGGACTGTCTGTCCTCTTCTACCGGGCCTTGTCCATGCGAGGCAGGGGGTGGAGGTGGAAGGTTCCGAGCAGGGCTCTGCGAGCGTGACTGAGATGTTGCCTGGTTCTGTAGATGATTAAGTGCTCTCTCAATATTTGATTGCCCGAGTGTGTCGGTCGGCGACGGTGCAGGGCCGTCAGTCAATGTATACCTTCGCAATGAAGGGTCGGCGATGGACGTCGGCCGGGACTGGTCGTTACTTTGGTCGTCAATTCGTTCGTAGGATGGAGGAGGCTTTCTTCTGGTGCTTTTGTTAGCCATAACGAGCGGTGGTAGCGATAGCCGTGAGAGGTCGTCGAAAGTTCGTTGCAAGTTCGGATTGAAACCGCGCTCGCGTTCCGTCAGACGCGTCCCGACGAACGTGTCACGTGAGCACGGGTTCGATACTTCCGAGGTATGGCCGGTGAGTGGCGTCAACATTCTTCGTGAAAGTCGTTAATGGAGGTTACAAGCAGTAGCTGCCTAATCGCAATATCTCCTACATCGCGACTCCGTTGGCGAACTCCAACCTCCCGACCAGATTACCCCCATTCGCCGAAAGCTCCTTCAAATGGATGGACATGGGATCCACCATCGTGCGCAACGCAGAAAGGATCGCAGCCGCTGTCTTCTGCAAGCTCCATAGACTTACCGTCTTTACGCGCCGGTTGAAATTTGCTTGGTTGACGTGGTAAGCCAAAGCATCGTACACCTGCAAGGCCATGGTTATTATGATTTGCCCTGATGTCGTGCTATGAGACACATACCTTCAATGCGATCTGATCGGACAAGCCAGCTATAGACGACGTTGAATACCCCGAACAGCGAGATATAGATGACTACTTACTTTCCCATAGCTGTGGAGAAAGGTGATCAGCCGCCGGACCACTGTACCGGGGTAAAGGATACTTACAGTCCATGCTCCTTCGAAGTCGGACAAATCTTGAATAACCCGACAATGAATAGGAATTAAGGTCCGATTGGCACTGAGAATAGACCGGTCAACCCCAAGTCTCGGACCACATGGTCTTTCTCGGGCACGCACTTCATAAACGCCACAATTGGCCGTACGAATGCCGAGTTCACATAAGAAAGATCGTTCGTGAACATGGGCACAGCTGCCTTGATATCCCTGAACCGCAAATCTATGTCAATCACCACCTTTGGCTTCCCGTCATCAACCGTCTCGCCGTTGTCGGTACTCCTCGTAGGAGCCGTCAGGGGCGGCTTCGCGAGCTCCCGCTGCCCCGGAATATGTTCAGCCACAGTAGTGGCAATCGCATCAATGATAACATCGAGGGCGTCCGGATCTTCGTCGCGCGGGAATTTTATGTCGAGGACTGCATCGACCTTGCCATATGTTATCCAAGAAATGGGACCCTCGAGTGTGGTCATGGATTGCAGGTGATCAATATTGACGCCATCGATGCGTAAACGAGACTGAAAGTAAATCGTCATTTAGCGACCACAGCAAAGGCTCATGATGAGGTTATACCATTCTCCCCCACTTTCCGTCCCCTAGCTCCTTCTCCGTCGTCCGCCCGATACTCTGAGGCGTATGAAGGCTAAAAAGGCAGTTATCGAACTGCCCGACGACATTCTCGGCGTTCAGGAAGTCGTAGAACAGCCACTGCTTCCGGAATCTCCTGATGTCCGCGCGGAAGATCGATGCAGTGTACGGGCGGAAGTTGCCCGGTTGATAAACGGTCACGAGAACGTCTTCGAGTTGCAGAAACTCGAGCTCAAAGTCGCCCGGCTGGGGCTTGTGCCGGAACAGCGCAGGGTCGAGGGGATGGTCCGGGTCCCATGTTACATTGCGTCGATCTGCGTCGCATTCAGTAACAAGTAGATACAATGCATAGAGTCCGTACCGATGACGCCACGAACACCTTTGACTACGGCATCCTTGATTAAGCCCTTACCATCCAACCATTGGGGAAGGGACAGCGTCACTTCGATAGCATCCACATTCAGATCGAACATCGTATAGTTCAGATCTTCTTCGCTCAGGTCAACGTGAGCCAGCGCCTCCTCCTCATCGATCTCCCCCGCCACGCCGTGTATCGCTGGGTGACCACTGATATCATACCCGAGTGCAGCGGTGTGGTCGCGGGATATTTTGGAAGGCGGGGGAACAGACGGTGGCCGCCTTGATATATATACATTTTTGAGTGAGAGGCGGGAGTCTTTCCACTTGGGTACGATGGCGGTTTCGAAGATGACCGTTATACCGGTCTCTTTAGTGAGATAATTACTGATAGCACGAGCAACATATTCTGAATTACGAGAGTGTCAGCGAAATGTGTATCGGAATTCGACATCAGCGCAGGTAGATGCATTGGTAGACTCGAAACACTACCTCAATATTCGCGGACGTACTCTGCAGAAGGATCTCTGCGGAATATGACAACACATACTGAGGAAGTGTAAATCTGTCCGTAACGCAAATAACCGTCTTCGTGATGGCTATATCGAGCGGGTCTCTCGGACGGACTCACCTTGTAATCGCAAGCTATTCGCCGTGGCAAGAATCACGGAGAAGAAAGTGGTACTGCAAGGTCATAGCATTAATTACACGAGCAGCGGATACGTTGCCGTACGCACGTTCCGACAAAGATCCAAAGCGTCTGGCTCATGAGAAACCACGTTACGAACGCGGATATATCATCCGCGTTAAACCTGCGAAACGAACGGATGGTGAACCACCGAAAGCGGATACGCAGCCTGTCCCAAAAGCTATTCGCGACGCGAAGGAAGTCTTCGCGCGTAGGCCTGTGGGGATGAGGCAGCGACCTGGCGAGTCGCTGGAAAAGTGGCGGGTAATTGTCTAACCGAGGAGGAGTGCCAGCGCTTGGACCTCCATCCGGGGGTGCAGCAGGGTCGTCAGAGGAAGCCCTTGTGCTAGTATTTGGCGGTTCTGGCTCGGTCTCTGAACGTCGGCTCTGTTGTTCAAACCGCGTTAAAGAGGCATGGAACTGGCGCAAAGAGCAACCATATCTCCCGCGACCGAGGGTAACGCCTATTGACGCGTCGCATTTCCTGACATGAGCAATGGCAACCGTATATGTGGGGCTTTGCGTCCCGTGCTGCCTAAAGAATTGGCATATTGTCGCATAACGGTCCCATACAGCATCCTTTGAGCCCTTAGTAGAAGTCGACGCGCGTGTAGCCCTTGCAATTCTGCCCGCTAGAGTCCTCGATGAAAGCATAAAGTCGTGTGCAGGAGAGCTCCTCCCGCCATGCTTCGAATTTCTTTCGCAAAGGCAAAGACGAGGCACGCCGGCAACAGCCGAAGCATCGTCACCGCCGGCTTCGGCCTTGGCCGCGGCATTGGGAATTTGGGATACACACCGCTTTACTCTTGCTTCACTCTACTTACACTCGCGGTCGTCCACAGCAGCTAACATGAGTTGGTCTGGGTAAGCAAGCGCACTCGCGTCGAGGAGGACGGCGCTGAGAAGTCTCTGCTAGGTTCAAGAAGTCTGTGAACAGGGCGGGAACCACGGTTAGCACGGTCCATCTAGCTCGCATCGATGTCCGGCTGAACTCCGGCTGCATCCCCCTAGCTCCTGCAAAAGACGGGTCAGATCGAGCGCACGGTTGACAGAGAATTTGCCGACGAGGAGGCCAAGTTCAAGGTGTCAGTGCTCTCGCCGTGGCGGGCAGAGGTGACAGCTAGCTGATCCGAGCATGTACCAGCTTCGAGAAGGAATGTCAGGCACTTCAGAAGGATAGCAAGGGGTACTTGGATGCTATGCGAGGTGTGCTTCTAAATTGATCATTATCTCGGACAATATCTGACGGGCTGCATCCTGCAGCAATGACTGCGGCCCAGGCGCGAATAGCAGAGACATTGGACGTATTCTATGGCTCTGCTGACAAGGCTTCAGAGGGCGCCATGGCTGCGCATGCTTATAAGCGAGCAGTTGACGACTTGGATACCGGTATTGGAAGGGAGCTGGTGAGCCCTCTCGTCGCGCGTCCTCGAAACCCTCCCAGTTCAGACCAGTTCTTTTTCAGGATGCACCATACCGTACAACAGTGCTGGAACCGCTAGGGAAGATGAACGCATACTTCCCGATCGTGAACGAGCATATCTCGAAGCGCAACAAGAAGGTTCGCATAGCTCCTTGCATATCCTCATCTGAACTTTGACTGAATGCCCTGCAGCTACTGGATTATGACGCCGCCCGGAGCCGAATGCGAAAGCTAATCGACAAGCCCAGCGAAGACCCCACCAAGCTACCGAAAGTGCGTATTCAATAACCTCCCCCTCGCCGTCGTGGTTGAGCTCATAACATTGCCCACCTTAGGCCCAACAAGAGCACGACGACGCCAAGGAAGTATTCGACATGCTCAATGACCAGCTCATCGCCGAGCTCCCGCAGCTGCTCGACCTCCGCGTGCCCTTCTTCGACCCCAGCTTTGAGGCCATGATCAGGATGCAGTGCAAGTTCGCCGAAGAGGGCTACGAGAAACTCAGTGGCGTGCAACGGTGCGTTTATTAATGCTGGAAACGAGGGCCCCTTGCTGACCTGAGAGTAGGTACTTTGCTGACGGCGTGAGAGATGATTACGCAGCTGGACAGTTGGATGCACAGGTTCGTCTCTGCTGCTCCTTTGTTCTGCTTGGCACTAATCTGTCTTCAGGTGGAGGGTGTCCTGCAAGAGATGCGGGAGCTGTCAATATGCGGTGCTGCATAGCCGCCTATGCGATGTATACCACAGTGATCTCAACATGTATAACTGGAGGACTTACCTTTTATCATTCATATTGCTGTACTTACAAGTGGTTACGAGGGGAGCGGAATCTGGAATGAGCAAGCCCTCCCGAAGGCAAGTCCATCGGTCCAAGTCGATGCCTTCGGGGTCCGATCAGGCTCGACGTTGCGTCGTAAGGTAATGCACATCATGTGTAGTATTAACGTACAACGCGAATCAATCGTCTGGCACGGTCGGATATCTGATACTAATACAAACAGTATACTCAAAACCTAGGGATGTCGCCCGCTCTGAAATACATGCCAATCCCAATACGACTACTCAATAACGATACCAACACCATACAGACACCCGCCACAGCCGTCTCACCCGCTCAGGCAAACAAATACTCATAGAACGACTTGGGCTTACCCGCCGCCGCCGTCCCTGCATCCTTCCTAACCTTCTGCACCCCGACCTTCCTCACCGCCGCCCGCCTCGACGCCCTGCGCGCAGGGGACGGCGACGACCCCGAGCGCGCGCGGTGGCCGGGCGATGCCCAGCTGGAGGTGACGCTCCTGAACGCGCGGTACGCGGCCAGCGGCGTCCTATCAGGGTCCTGGTCGCCCGCAAGCGACAGCGCGTCCATCGGGCGGGAGAGATCCTCCACGCCCGAGTCGTCCGCCTCACCCTCCCGATCGGACTCCCCGCCAACGACCGACCAGCCGTCATCCACAATCGGCGCGAGCGGGACGACCGCCGGCGAGCTGGGCACGGAGGCCTCCGTGATAGCCTCCAACCCCCCGCGCCGGGGGCGCTCGACGTCGGACTCGAGCTCGCGGTCGGACTGCGAGAACTCGAAGTCGGAGGAGATGTCGGACGCGGAGAGGTCCGTGACCGGCGGGGTCGCGACGCTTGCGCGCGCGGTGTGGTCCGGGCGCGTGACGTTCGGGCGCAGGAGGTGCGTCAGGCGCTGGCCCGAGGTGTCTTTGCCTTTCAATTTCAAGGAACGGTTGGATTCACCTCTTACCACACCAAGGACTCGGGGGGCTGTACTCACTGAAGCTGACAACCTCGTGGTACCGCGCGCAGCAGTGCACGACGTACCGCGCGAACGCGTCGTCGGTGATGGCCCACACCAGCTCCAGCGGCGTGCGCGACACCTCCCGGATGCTCTCCACATCGCCCACGACCCGCCCAGGAAACTCCAGCGCCCTCTCGCCATTGACCTGCGCCGCGGTCATCACGCCCCCGTTCTCCAGCCAATCAACAATCTCGTCCTCCACCACGCCGACCAGGAACTCCGCGCGGCCGCCCGCTTTGCGCAGGTCGCGCCGCATGCCCTTGAGACTGAGCGAAAAGCGTCCCGCGTTCGCGGAGAGCGGGTCCGCGCTGGGCGGCGGCGCCGCGGGGACTTGGGCGTTGCGCGGGAGGTAGGGCGGCAGCGGCTCGGGGAAGGTGGGCTGGATGGGGTTGAGCGGGAGCGCGTAGTCCTTCTTCGTCGCCAGGACTATGTGTGGGTTGCCCGTGAAGCGGGCTGGGATCAAGTATAGACGGTAACATTAGTCTTCCTGGATTGAGGTGTAGATAGGAGCATGACAGACCGTTCTCCTTGCGCCTTATCCACCGCTTGCCTTCCTTGTCGTCTCGAGTCCTCCTCCTGGCAGCTGCACTCGCCCCACCAGCCTGAGCTGACGGAATTTCCGCACGAAGATGGGCGAAGCGGTCTGATATACCCGGGTTGCGCAGGATAGAGGGGAAAGACATGGGCACAGGCCCTCCAGTGCTGACCGCCGGGGCAGAACCAGCAGTACCGGTCTTGGGAGTAGCGCCTACGCTGGCCGCCATGGTCGCCGCTCGAGGAGTGTGTGTTGTTACCGCTGATATGTCGAGCCCCTGCAGGAGCTGGCGGGAGGGGCTCTTGACCGTGACAGTACGCTTGAAGGATAGACCTCGGGCTGCGATTGCGGTGCGTCGGCTCCGACATCCGGCTCCGGGCTGTCTGTTACAGTGGCAGTGATTGCCGGAGACCGGAGACTCGTCCGGAGTCATTTGACACAGGGTTATCACGAACAAACCATAGGGTTACAACATTACCGTCGCGTAGATCATTTCAGCGAATGTTACCGGACAGTAGCGGTTACACAATCCTAGTCGCAGAGTCCAGTTATAGCGGGTATATTCCACCGATACGGCCCCTGTACTCGTAATCGCACACATGAAAGACAACCCGAGAAAGGGTATACAAAGTCTACAACCACATCAACCATCCCACTCGCTCAAGCGACGCGCTCCCTGCCGCTCGCACCATTCTTGTGCATCCCAGCGTAATTCTCAAGCTTCTCCGTAGGGGCGGGCAAGCTCTCATGGGTAGCACTCGCACTCGCACTCTTCGTCGCCTCCACCTCCCTCCTCGCCGCCGACCAAATCAACGCCTCCTCGCCCCGCTTTCCAGCATCACCCTCAGACCCCTTGGCGCCAGGCGGCACGTACGGTGCACGGTTCTCAGTAGTCGGTAAATGCGCTGCGACCTTCACCGCACGTTTCTGGGCAGCAGCCGCCGTAGGGTCAGCTTGAGCTTGCGCGGCAGTCCCGTTTCCGTTGGAGTAATCCGCGTTGTGCATCTGCCTCGGAACAGCCATGTGCGTAGGAAGTGTATGCGTCGAGAAGTTGTGCGAGACCGGGAGAGAAACAGCACGAGGAGCGAGTGTATGCGTCGGGAGGGTATGCGTCGAAAAGTTGTGCGAGACCGGAAGAGCAACCCCACGAGGGGCAAGTGTATGCGTCGGCAAGGTATGCGTCGAGAAGTTGTGCGAAACGGTCACAGGAACCTCACGAGGTGGGAGAGTGTGACTGGGCAAACCCTGATCAGTCGATACTGGCATTTCATCAGCCTTCTTCGTCGAGTGCTGCTGCCCAGATGAGTGCGAGACAGACGACGATGAAGCAAAGTCGGCCATCATCACCGACCCCGGAGTGGGCGACTGCTGAGGGACAAACGAATGCAACGGGCCCATGTGACGCTTCACCGGCAAGCCTTCGGGAGTAGGGGAGGGAGCGGAGGCTTCCTCTTCAGACTTGCCAGAACCAGTGGGTGCGGAAGCCGGAGGTGAGAAACTGGGCTGCTCAGGAGCACGTACTTGAGACACGCTGGGAGGAGCTTGACCGTGGTGGCTAGGAATCAGAACACCCAAGACCGCCTGACGCTTAGCATGAGCGCCGTGAGACGCGCTCGGCATGGACGAAGAAACACCATGGCTAGGCGGAGTGGGAAGCAGTAGATGGCCTTCATCGTGCATCGTAGAGGTCATAGCATCGTCGCGAGGATCATCGTGCCGCTTGTGGTAAATTGCAGGATTAGGGACGTGGGGAACCAAAGCCCTAGGATGAACGTTGAGAATGCCTGGAACTGCACCGGAGGAATGAGCCGTAGAAGAGCTTCTGCTAGCCGCAACTTCCTCGTCGTGCTCCGAGTGACGCTTCTGATGGGGTGTTGGACGAGTCATGTTCGGCATATCGTAGTCCTGAACGTTTGCGATAGCAGTGGCGCCAGGATGTTCAGTTGAACTCTTATGAGACTGAACCGAGGTACGAGCATCCTCCTCGCGCCTGCCGAGGTGAGTGGTGGTAGGGCCCTGGGATCCGTGCGCGTCGGGCGCCTTCAAGAGCCCTGGGGGACCAGGCATGGAGCACATAGTCGACGTACTGGCGTCCTCCTCGCGCTTGGGATGACCAGTGGACGTAGGCACCGGAGCCTCGGTCGTCTTCGCTGTATGCGCGCCAACTAAGCCTATAGCACCAGTGGGGACCGGAACCTCAGAAGAGCCGCTCCGCGCATTGCTGGCCGCCGACATCGCCTGCACCTCGCGATCCTGTATGGCATTGTGACCTTGATGCGAGGGGAACTGCAAGCGAACTGGCACCGCAGAAGCCTGGCCGGTCATAGTAGCCTCCGGAGAGATGCTGTAAGACGCGCGCTTGTGCGCAGCAGCCGTCGATTCAGGAGAAGAGTCATCCGAAGTGGTACCGCTGGGACTAGATCCGTAGTCGGCGTTCCTCACGGCTCGCTTCATCTTTCCCGGTTGATGCAGTCGGGGGAGGGCCGAGGGCTCCTCGGCGTCGTAGTGCCGGCGGTGATCGTAGACAGCAGCATGGTCCGGGGTACTGTAGCAGGCAACGAACTGAGAGTCGATACAAGAAGCGGTCGGCGACGCAGAAGACACGGTCGAGGAGTGCATCGTAGGACTGGACATTGGTCCACCGAGAGCGCTTGTCGCGGCCCAGGACAGAGCGGCAATCCCGAAGATATGGCGGCGCATGATCGTAGACTTGATGGATGAAGGTCGTAACTAAAGAGAGTGGTCCCTAGGATGTGCTGGTGATAGCCTGTGGTGGAAGGGAATAGAGAGAGAAATGGTTGAAGTTCATCTTTTACGTCGGTCGGGGTGGCTGACAGCAGTTGACACTTGCCAAACAGTGCCAAAGGTTGGCAAACGTTTGCAATTGTGGCGGGTGGTGAACCGACCTGGTTTGCACTAAAACTACGGTTTAGATCGAGACAAGGGTGCAACGAAGGCCCGTGAAGGTCTCGAAGTAAGCTGCTCATTATTCAACCTGCTCAGAGACGTTCATTAAGGATCATTACTTGTCGCCCGCCGGCGTGTAAGTTATATGATGAGTATCCGAACAGAAATCGGCTATCTACATGTCTCCTACTAAATGTTATACTATCATTGAGGGGGTTCTGCAAAAAGTATCGAATTCGGCCTGTAGCATTCCACACACTTGACGGATTCTTATCGGATCTTCCGCATATTGTGTGTAACTTAGTGATGAACGTCCTCATTATTTTTGTGCATTTGTATGCAGCCTGTGGAACGTAGGAGAGAGATGCCGGTTCATGTAGGGGGTTCTGCAAAAAGGCGTCACATGCGGTCACAGTGGGATCTCGCCGCGAGCGATGTCACGCTTTTGTCACGATATGGGCCCGGGAGATGTGCAAAGTTGCCTCTCTATCTCGACACGCTCGTTATTTACTCTATCGGACTGGTGTATTGTACTTTAGACGGCATATTCATGATATCCCAAGCCATTTCGCTGCAATCCGTTGAGAGCATCACGAGAGATCTAGTGGACACTGTTTCTTTCCCATGGCCTACAGGACCCGTTTTCTCTCCCTCTCTTCAACCACAGCAGATATTCCCATTCTGACTTGGCAGGGGGTCTATTCTAGTGTATATATACCTTCCTGAGCTTACCCAACATTTTTTGGTTGAGTGTGGAATGAGATATAAGGGGGTGAGGGGGTTCTGCAAATTTTGCAGAACCCCCTCAATGATAGTACAGCTGCATCTCCTTCAGACCTCGTCAAGTCTGGCAGGTTGACCTTGTATCCCTCTTCGGTTTGAGTGCCCTCCTCAAGACTCCTAACACCGGGTGATTTGACAGTGGTCAGTTCGATTGCATCAGCGGAGCGGTCACAATGTACCTGGAAACGAGACGTCAGGGACGCAGAAAGTCTAATGAACTGAACAAGCATACCATAGAGGTGGTAGTAATCTGTATCCCACCGTCGCTCGGCGGGTGCTGAAACCTCAGTACACCGTCACTGCGCAAGTTGTGTTTCTTAAAGATGCCAGTGGAAGTTGACCCCTGGTCACTGGCACTCGACAACCAGAACTTCCGGGCGTTGAGCGATGATAAGACGCAATTGGTATAAAGCTTCGCCAGGGGCAGATTGAAAATGAGAGGTCTGGTGACCGAGGTGACGTTAAGCATCGTGACAACGGGATAACGGCAATATTTACACAGAGGTTTGCTGCGATCCGGACGCTGTCAAAACATCGCTAAGAATTATCCGGGTATTGGACTCACCGTAGTAAGATACAAGACGAGGTTCAGTATAGCAACTACGGCCGTGATCATGCCGGTTGGAATGACCACTACCGTGCGACTAGTTAGTACATAGGACCCCGGCCATGAACATCGTACGCACCCCGCATGAGTTTGGTCAACAGATCTTCCGTCTGAGGGAAGATGGTTCTCTGCTTATGCTATTTCCATAGGTTTGAGTTGGCGCCAATTTCGCCGTATTGACAAATACCGTACCAAGTGCAGCACCAATCCCGCCGTAATGACCGTATCCGTGACGGCTGCCATCACAAGCCAGATGATGACAACTTGTTCGACCCGTTGCAGTCCGGAGAATTGCTGGGAGGTTCCGAGTATATAAGTGGAGATAGTGTGCCAGCGTTTTAGAACCCACCGCTTTGAGTATCGTTATACCTATCGCGCCACCAATTGCGCAGACTAGTCGCACCTTGAGTCTTATGGCCTTTACGGAGAGCCATAGTGATGGACGTACGAGTTGAGATGAGGGACATGATAACAATAAGGATGCCGAGCCAGAGGCGTCGAGTCAGGACCGTGATTCTCCTGGCATAGAGTTAATCAAGCACTTGGCCATCTGTGGGGGAGCACAACGAACCACGCATAGAAAAAGTGCACGACAGATGCTATGATACCCTGCACCTTCATAGGCAGGACGCACGGACGATGAAAGAATAATCACTAACCGTTGTAACCGGTTCTGAACTACGACGTCAGGAGCCGTAGAGTATACGAGAGGATGGGAGACCTACCGGCATTGAACACTAGGCGGGGTCGCAACATTCAGCTCTGAGGGTTTATTTTCCCGCCTAGATACCTGAATTACTCACTAGCGTTTGTGAACTGTATCTTCTCGTAGTTTCCGAAGTCTTTGATGGTGTAGTCATATATCATGGCCACATCCATGCCGGAGTTGACGTTGTCAACTACGAAGAGGAAGAGTACCTGCGATCCTGCATGAGTTTGTCTAGGATAACCGGCCAGTCATATGAGCCCTACCATCCATTTTATCCATCGCGTGCCCCTGTATGGTATCAGAGGATGTGTCAGATGGCCGCGGCGTAGTACGCACCTCTCGTTGGTATTAAGATACACGTACGTCTGCACCCACATCATTCCGAGCAAGAATACATTGAAGATGACACCTAAGGAATTAGCTATATCTTGACCGGCAATCATGCAGCGAGGCGTGTCCACCGACCTATCAAGAGGGCACCCAACCTGAAATATTGTGCCTGAACATTTTCAATATGAGATGGTAACATACTGAGCTTACGTTAGATCTAGCGGGTATGGCTCCGGCGCTGAAGCCATGCTCACTGGAAGGTGAGTAATATTGGCTGCTGGCTCTGCGGGATTGGAAGGGGGAAACTAAGACCTCACAAGTGTACCAGAGAAACGCATTCATCTTTCACATATATACGGCATAGCTATTCTCTGCTGCATCAAGACGCTTCTGAAGTGATATAACGAGACTTTGATAAAGCGCATCCGAGGGGCACGGGATGACATCGCGGGAAGAGCCATCGCGTTCTTTGGAAGCTCGGTGAAAAGAAACCGGCGGTATCGGCAAAGTCCACACAAAGAAAGCGCGAGGTTTACCTCTCCCGGAATATCCCAAGCTGACCTGGGGAGAGACGGCCTCGTCGTAATTCCGTATGAAGATTGGTCAATCACCGTCGAGACTTGGATTCTTCTTTCTTTGCTGCGAGCGCATCGGAAATTCCGAGTCGGGTCTGCAAATTTGGAGACGGTCAGATCCGCTCCAGGAGACTTAAGACAGGGGAAGGGTGGGAATGAATAGCGAAGAGATATCGACGTGACCCGGTTCCCGAGCAACGTTCACGTCATCGTCGTTCATACTTAGCATGCCTCAGTTATAACGAACAAGGTCTGAATAGAAGGCAATACCCAGATCACGAAGACTCGATGGCAGTTCCACACAATGAACTTTGAGGAGTACAGAGCCCAGTCGAACCACCGTTTGATAGGAAGTGGACGCAACTCGCGCGCCTCTTCCGGCTTGAATCCGTGAGAAAGTTGATTCGGAGCAGCCACAAATTCGTTACAGCGTCGGGCTCGTAAGTGCCTTATTGCTACAAAATCCAATTATTAGCTTCAGGTAAACGACTCGGATGATCCACAAGTATGCTGAAGCAGCTGCTTTGCGCCACGGGTCTCTTGAACTCCGCTCCCGCTATCTATTAAAATTCAAAATATTATGAAGGGGCTCATCTTCAGTGTTATTATTCTTTAGCAAACTTACTGCAGGTTCACCTCCGCGGGGTTCAGGGTGCCGTACGAGGCTTCAAGGCATTCCTTCGTCCGCAATAGCTTTCCTTCAAGGAAGTACAGGCTTACCCTCTCGACGGAACAGAGTACTGCCGTGAGTATCGCCGTGCGACTGTTACACAAGCTTAGCTTCAGTCGTTCTGATAGTACAGATACCTACGATACGCCTTGTACAACTTTTGCGGTAGTTAGACACGATTTAGAGGAAACCGAAAATCAGCCGTACTTCGCTGAGAGAGCGTGTCGCGCTGATCCGTGAGTCCTTCAGAAAAGTGGAGCGCCTCTCTCCGCAAACTTTTGGGCCTTGCAAATACGCTCTAATCACTGGAGTCTCTCAGGCTGACCTGGTCTACTTCCGATCCTCGGTGACTCTTGGTGCTGTCTGTGTGGATGCGTCCGCACCGGCTTCAGTGTACCCCATAACCGAATGGAGAGGCCTACCTTGACAATCCCTCTCGGCTAACTATACCTCTGGAATGCGACTGAACGGGCAACACCTTCTCTTCTTCCCTACCATCTTCGCATCGGGCAGCACCAATCTGAATCTTTCCCGGATCGGCACTGAGGGCGAATCCTTCCTGGTACAGAAGTGCTGGTGCATGGAGCACCTCGTCCACGGAAGTTACGGAACATAGCACTCCTCGTCCGATGCCATTGTCCAGGCCTCGGGCCAATGACAAAGTTTCTCTGTGATCGTTACCTTCATCAGACACGTAGCGAAGTGCTGCCAGTCGCCATCCGTTTCTATAATCCCATATTCTGTTGGCTTTATTGGAGGCCAGGGACGGCCACTCTGCGCATCGCTGGAATATGAGGAGAGACTGGTGGACCGCCGCTACTCCCTGCCATCCTTCGTTTCGAACTCTAATGCAACTGAAGAAGCTCCTGCTAGCCCCACCTGCCTTCTCACCGAATGTACACAGGTAATAATAACTACATGATACTCCGGTCTCAACGGAGGACACGGCCAGTTGTTACTGGGTATGAATAACTCCAACGTTTAGGGCTTCCGCGCTGTATCCACCCGACTCTTCCCAGCAGACACAGCGCGCTTAGGAAGGCAAGTTCGGAAATGCTAAGACGATTTCCCTTCCGACATTAATCGCAGTCCTGGAAGCCTCAAAACCACTTCGCAGTATCATGGGAATGGATCTGATGCAGCGAACGGACAGCTTCAGTCCCTTCCTCGATTCGATGAGCGAAAATAAATCACCAGAGTAAAGCATAGTTCAGTACACCTATATTACACGGATAAACAAAATTACAGCAGTCCAACTCGTACAATAAGACTTCATCACGACAGAATAAGGCATGCGACTATCCAGACCTTCCAGACAAACGTGCGCCTTAGCTTCGTTTCTCATGACACGGGTCAGAATCTCGACCCTGACTCGCGACCAGCTTAACGATCTTGCAAGTCGTTGAGGAGACGGAGAATGTTAAGGACTACAAATACAGCGGTAAGCAACCTTGAGAGTTTCCTAATATAACCCGAGAAACTCACAGAGATTGATAAAGCTATAAATCGCAAACAAGCGGTTAGACCCAATCGAACCGGTGCGAGTATGTAGGACGAGGTGCTTACTCAAGGTACAGGCTGATAGCGCCAAGTATGAACTCGTCAGGCGAAAGCCTGCTGTTGATCAGGTACGTGTCATACACGATGTAGCCACTGAAGATCAGGCAACCTCCGACAGCGAAGACGATATCCATCGTCCTGCTGAAAGGGATGAAGATACCCACAAGGCCCGTCATGACTAAAGTGAAATATAGTATAAGACACACGGTTTATAGACAGAAATATGTCACTCACGGAGAGCGATGAGGCCACCAAAGAGCCAGGGGCCCAAGCCTGAGAAGTCATACTACACATCCTTCAGCGGAAAGCTTCCGGCCTGATATGAGAATGACGTACCTTTGACTGCAGAGTAAACAGAGTCAAACCGAGGAATACTCCAAGAGTGATCAAGCTAAGCGACGTGCGTGAGTTGAGAGCCGTTTATGCGTGGCAAGAGATATACTTACAGTGCTTGTAGTACTATGATGTTGTCATAGAAGGCCACTGTCACTCCCAGAGTGAACGCCTCCATCACGGTAAAAGTGGACAATAGGACCAGGTTCAACGGGTGGCTGTGGCGCTTCCAGTACAGAAGCCCAAGGTTGATGAGGGTACCAAAGAGCGGAACGAAGAATGTCCATGGGCTGACAAATAATCAGGGTCTGAGTCGTGAAGAAGGACCGATCCTTGCTTACTGTGACTGTACCCAGAAGATCGCCGAAGCAGACTGAGAGATCGAGCCTCCAACAATACAGGTTGCAAGCTGTGCAGCTCGACATGAGCGCCTGCTCACAGAACTGGCAACTTGCAACGACTTACAATTTGGCAAACTGGAAAAGGAGGTCAGAGATAACACTTGGCACACCTCACAGCGATGGTACTCACAGAGAATCGTGTACACTTTCCGTACAAATGCGTTCCTGATCTCTAATGAGCTCTCGCTCACGGTTGTGCCATACTAACAGCCCAGTCTGTCAGTACCGCTCCCGTCCTCTGGAAGCAGCCAACGTACCTTGAAGTCGTCGGGAACATCCCCTGCCAAAGGTTGGTCATATATCGCCCCTCCTCGCGGACTCCCAAGGAGCGGCTGCGCAGCCTCCTCGTCGGGCGCTACGTGGCCAAGCTTGGGCGCATACGCCGGCGGCGGTGCGGTGTACGATGTGCTCATTTCTGAGTGTTAGGTGGTCGAAGCAAGTGAAAGTACGAAGACAAGAGGCAGAGCAGTGCGGAATGATCTATCGCACCGGGCGCAGCCTGACATATGCGCTTCCCACGCTCATCTGCGATCGAGAATCTTCCTTTCCGTTCCGATATTCCTTTTGAAGTGCTGTCGCGGTTATCTAGCCGGCTCTGGTACGTTCTGGTGGTACAGCGAAATACACTGCACTATAATCCAAGGTACGCCGTACACGGGAGAAGTAGGAAGCGCTTTTATGTCTAATCTAAGACGAGTAGTGTAAACGTTTAGTACCTAACAAGTTCAACCGATGTCCAAGGAGAGCAAAGAGTGCGGAAAGGAAACAATCAGTAGCAAGTTAGAGAGTACAAGTCAATCACGACCTGACAACCGGTCAGACACCACGGACGATTATCATCATAACATTCACGCACATTTTATAGTCCATCTCCATCTGAGCCCCGTCTGGCGTCTTCCACTTCATGGTGATATCCAAATCCCGGTTGTTCTTCTTATTAGGTGCGCATGACAGGGTGCCCTCGATCTGCTGTCCTTCGGAGATTGTTATCGTCGAGGGGGTGTAGAACACGGTCTGCTTCCAGTGGGTGTATTGCGCGTGGGGCCCTGTGGAGAATTGCACGCGCTTGTGTGTGCACTCGAAGACAATGTCGAACCAAGCGAGGAAGGCGTGGACGTCTACCAAGATGGTTAGGTTGAGCTGCACGACGTGGACAGAGTACGTACAATCGTTGCGGGTAGCCTTTAATGAGAAAGGGGCGGTAAATGTCAGGTCTTCTTTCTTCACGGTGCGGAGATCGATGTGCTAGAGGCGATGGCTCAGGACCACGATCGCGGCCAATACGCATGACAGCCTACCTTGATCAAGCAAGGGTCCGTGACCACAGACTTCAGCTCCACAGTATCAACTAATGGTTCTCGGAGGGCGATATCCTTTATACACGAGTAATCGAACCCGTAGACGTTATCCCAGACTGCCGCGATCAGCGCCTTGTCAGCAGTCGCCCATAAGCAATTAGCAGTTCACTCACAGTTGATCTTCTCATCCTTGTAATCCTGGTCCTCGATCGCGGCCAGATACAGCGAAGCGTTGTCCGGGAAAATGAGTCCTCCAGGCTTGAGATACTTGTCTCGTGCCAGGAGGACGGTGTCGAGCATAGACTCGTAGAGGAGGAAGTAGCCCATCCATTCGGAGATGATAATGTCGAATTCTTGGATGGGGAGGGTGGCTTCTTCTAGCTTACCCTTTACGAGGGTGATTTCTGGCGACACTGTTCTAGCAAATGGACATAAATGAACTATCGCACAATGACTCACTATCTTTGAACCCGTTGGCTTCTATAATTTTCGCGGCCTGGTCGATGATATTTGACATGTCGATCTAAAGGCAAGATGTCTTCTGTACTGCATGAGACCTAAGGAATGCATATCACGTACCCCCACGACATGACTCGCGCCCGCCTTTGCAGCAAACATACTCAAAATGCCCGTTCCACACCCGACATCCAGCACTGTCTTGCCCTTGAATAGATGGGCGTTGTTGATAATCGCATTGCGGTACGACCCCGTCCGAACTGTATCCTTCAGCATCTCTTCGTGGATGCCTGATCGAATAGAGCATATAAGCATCGCTTCCCAGCATCAATTGGATCTGTCCTCACCAAAGTGCGCGTACGAATCGGCATAGCTAAAGCATGCAGAGCCGGATCAATCTCTGAACATTCCTCAAGAAAGGTAGTGCGAACTAGTCTCGGGAGGTCATGTTCTCCGCGTCCTCCACCTCCATCTTCGTTGACGACGACGCTTCGTTGGACATTTTCCTTGAAGTCGACAGTGAAGACGCGTGGAAATGCGCGACAGAGAGGAAAACGAAAGGAAAAGCAAAAAGAACGAAGTGCGATCGATGCTCGACCACGTGCTGGCTGTGAAGCTTGCCGGGTGGCTGTGCGCTTCAACCTTGCCTCGGCGCGGGGCTGCGCAGCTGCGGGAGCATTCAACTGTCTACAGACTCCAACAGCCCTATATAAGAAAGCACTGCGTCCCCGTCCTCACGACCTTTACGACCACCATCACGTTGAAGCATGGTATGTTCTGTTTTATTTTCTTTTGTCTTGAGCGCGGATGTATTCATTCTGACATTACAGTATTCGAATGTGCCATCCGAGAACCCGCCTCCCTATGACGCTGCAATGAGCGAGGCTGGAGGTACGTCGACGACAACGCTTCAGACACGACCTTGAGGCTCATTTGTACATTCAGGCTCGGCCGCTCCTACCATGTCGACTGACAAGAGGCAGGATAAGGCTGCCAAGGAGCAACCGCAGGCGCCGACGCCCTACCAGCCCGATCCCGCGCCGTCATCACCGTACCAACCGACATCCCCGCCCCCGTTCATGCCGCCCACTCCCGTATATCATTATGTCAATCCGCGCACAGGGGAACATATCGCGTCGCTGTTGCCACCCGACCATCCGGAGATGGTCTGCCTCCAAGAAGGCAGGCATATCGCCGAGACACGGTATGGGATACTGGGTGCGTTGATTGTTTCAGCTGGAACTTGGTGACCCTGTACTGACGCGCCCTGCAGGTGTTCTTGCGGCGATACTTTGGTTTCCGCTTGGGGTCGGCCTCTGCCTTCTTGACCGGAAGGTGCGATGCCGTCGGTGTGGCATGATGATCGACGAGGGCCTTTGTGGGTGATGTTCTCGGGTTTCATAGCCATCTCTCCGCCTCTTTTCCTTCACTCATACTATAGCTACTTCCGCGGACTTGTCCTTGTATAGTTCCGTTCCACTGTATTTCTATAGCGAATAATACGGGGCGCGACGTAGCCCGCCGGGGAAGCCTTCCATCCTTTCATTTATGAGGCCTATGTACTGCCTGGTTCTTTGTGACTCTGGCATTGCGTTTCCGAGAAGATCAGTGAATCAGGAGCAGTTTCGCCGAACTCTGCCCTGCTGAAGATTTCGATGCTGGGACGATCCGAAGATATGTAGGTGGTTTCAGCAAGAGCCGTTAAGCTTTCTGCCTCAGAGTAATTCCAGAGAAGCACTGTCGAGCTTCTAGTCGTGGAATGACATACGCAATTCGGGCGGCAGCTTATTGTGGGCGCCTCGCTGCAGAGGAGCTGCCCAAAAGGGAATAAAGCCGGCCACGTGTATTTAGGCATTGACAGCCATTTGTGCTTGATCCAGCAGACAAGTCAAGACCTTAAGATGAGGGCGCTTTAGCTCTTGTCTCCTGCCTTTTCTCGCTCCGACCAGCTTATACCCGCTCTTGTTTGCTTTTCTTGCTTTCCCGCCGCCCATGCCCTCAATGTCCATGTCGAACCGCGAACGACGCTCCTCCAGACCCGTGATAGACACCAGCTTCGCATCGACAGACAAGTCTAGATCAGGCAGCTCGTCCGGCAGCGCGACGAGCTCCTACAACAGGCCACCGCTCGCGCCCCTCGACCCCCAGTCTGCGTCGGCAGAATTCGTACCACAACCCGCCAGTTCCTCCTCGTCGCCAGCCTCGGCCGCTGACCGCAAGGGCATGGACTACTCTCCGGACAGCACCAGTGCGCGGCCGAACATCGGGCGGCCGATTATGCACGATCAAAGGACATTGGAAGAGCAGGACATTGCTACGCGTCTGCGCACGCACAGGAAGTCCAATGGGTGAGTACTTCCACTGTTTCATTCATTTTCTCGGACGGTATCCCGGGGTCCAGGCTACTGCTGTACCGAGTTGGTTCGCCATTAACGCTTGGAGGTGTAAGACCGGTTGCGAGGAACATCTGCGGTCCACATATCATGCTCGGATACGGTCGGTCTCTTCCTCCTACCCTTGCGGCTAGGTTTCCCCTACACTGCAGTTTTCCGGGGATATAGGGCTGAGCCTCCATCATGCGCGCTCACTCGGTCACACTGTTGTCAGCCCGATCAGAGGGGGAGAATCGCTGCTTTCTGGACCACGCTTGCCGGATCTATAAAGAATATTACCGGGGAGAAACGTGGAATCCCTGTAGTAAACCCTTTTGGATCCGTGGATAATGTCCGCCAAAGCTCTGCGGTGTGATCTGCCTTTGAGGAAAGTGGTTCGCGCCCAGCAGTCTTTACCGCTGGAAAGGAAGACTCGTGCCACTGCTCCCATGTGGCAATACGAGATTAGGCGCCTGGATACCTTCCCTGACTTTCTCTGGGGAACGCGTGTTATACGGCTTTTCTAACCTTATTTTTTTCTAGCAATGGCAACACCCGCCCTATTCATCGTGCAGTGCACACGCATAATCCCTCATCTTCCTCTTCAATTTCGAGCCGTCGGGGCTCACTACCAGCCATTCACCTGCGTCCCTCATCCAACGCCTTCGGCGAGACGTTCGGTGGCTTGCCTGGTGGCTCATCATGGGCGACCGACTCTCCCCCAGCGACAACCTCCGCCTACTTGACCAACGACGACCTGTACTCTGGTCTCTCGACATTCACCTTCGGCGCCGCCCAAACCACCACACCGCTCCCCGATCACGAGATGATCAGTCCCCTCACCAGCGTTCGCCGAGGCAGCGCCGATCCAACACCGCGCCCATCCCTCTCTAGTATGTCAATTTCCCGCCTCTCAGACAGCCAGGATCAAGAGAACATCCCAGCCGACCGCGACGAGGCGGTGCGCTCGGTGCGATCAAAGATGCGCGCCGTGGACGACGGGGGGCGCCGGCCGTCGCTGCCCACGAACCTCCACACCGAGCGGAGGCACGCCGACATGTCCGGCACCTCTGAGGCGGACAACGACCCCGCGTTCGACACGGACGTGGAAGTCGAGCCGTCGGAGCAGGTGACGTCCGACAGGGTATCTGTGCACACGTTCGGTGGGGACGGTGAGCACCGAAGCGCGTTCGATTCGACCGTGGACTTGAGCTCGGGAGATGGGGACGGCTCGGGCGGCCCGGATGCGCCTTCGCAGGACGAGGAAGCCCATGGGAGTTACGATGCATTGCAGCAGGCCCGGCGAGGTAGCTTGCCAATGGACATCCCCATATCCAACCTGCATATCTCGAGCGGCGTGAACCCGCCGAGAGACAGGGAGGGGAGTATCGCAACCCTGCGCAGGGGCAGCCGAAGTCTGGGCGATGATTTGCACTCCAGCAATATGGCGGCGACGACCAGTGCGGCTGCGACGTCCTCTAGTCAACCACAGACGAGGGGCGACTGGGAGAGTCTGCACACACAGGTACAAGACCAGCCTATGGAAGATGCTGACGCGTACGACGGTTTGGACATGGATTATATTTTGTCGGGTGCTAGGCGGCTCTCTACTCAATCGTATGTGATACCGAGCGTTGCGGAAGAAGGCCGCGGGCAGACCTCTCATGGCTTCGGTTTCTCCTCGTGGGCATTCCCCATCTCCGGGGGCGCAGGTCGACGGCCCAGTACGGCCACGGTGGCCAGCGATACTTTCTACAAGCATGTCACGCGATGGAACGACACTACGGATTGGATGTTCAAGAAGGAAATGGCCGATGGCACAGGCACGAGTATCCGGTCAGGTACGACGCTCGCGACCACCGGCACGCGGCCTCGAAATGAAGGGATGAAGGCGGGCACGCAAGAGATCTGGCGGTGCCCGTACGTCGGACGGTTCAAGGTGGACAGGCAGAGTATGACGGGTGAGCTCGATATTTCTGCGGTTAATCACTCTGGACGCTAATCCATGCGATATTGTGAAAAGTAGACCCGATGAAACCGCAACAACGCTTGACTATTAAACATATTATCGATCCCTACTCCAAGGGCAATACTAGAGGCGGCCCGGGCGTAGTCATACACAAGCACTCACGTGCGATTGCCTTCTCCATTTTCCGCCGTCACGACCTTTTCAGCCACCGGCAGGGCACGAATACGAGTTTAGCGATGACCGCTAGTATCCTGCTTGCGCCTAAGAAAGTCCAGGAACAGTACACGAGCACGCGTACGACCAGTCACTTGAATACCCACGGTCTTTTAGAGGACCGACCCAGTCGAAGTGGTACTCGTGGCAAGAGCGCGACCCCGCACAGCGGTGGTCACAATACGAGGGACAGTGCCAGGAAGGACAAAGATAAAGACAAGAAGGAGAAGGGTAAAGACAAGGAGCTTGGCCTACCGTCGTCGTCGGACCGCTCTCGGGAGGTCACCCCTGTTTCCCAAGATACTTGGGCTACTCCGCATCATAAGTATCCTTCTTCCGCGTCTGTCGCTGCAGAGTCATCGACGGTGGGGTCCAGCGCCTGGACGTCCGGGTTGTCTTCGAAAAACTCCTCCCTCGACTCCACGAATCGTCCCAGCACGGCTGGCACGTCTGTGAGCCGCTCTCAGTACCCGCCCAGCGAACGTGATGACCCAATGGATACTGATGACGAGGAAGACCATCACCCGCCGCGCACATCACATGCCGAAGCTTTCGCAGCGCTCAACCCGGACGTTATGGGGCACATAAAACCTGAACGACGACCGATTGATTACGCTCATTCCACGCAGTCCTCCCGGTCCTTCGGGAAGGGTCTTCTCAGCCGGAGCAAGGGGTCACGTAAAGCTAGCGCGAACCCGGCACCTCACGCTGCCATAGACCAGCCTTTCACTCCGCCGTGGATGATGATGGCCGCTCGATCGAAGCAGGAAGAGCAGGAGCGGATCATTGCTAACATCGACGAGTCGTTCAGAGGCGTTGGTCTCCTGCCCGCTTACAGGTCGGACAAGTCGCGCACGAAGCCTCGGGATCGGCCAGCGCCGTCCAGCGGCATCAATTTTCTGGAGGACGTGCCGCAAGATTCTCTGTATATGCTTCTTCCGCTATGGCCCGGCCAGACTGACCCTGCTTCGTCCCTTTCCGCCGAGGAGCATGCCGCGCTGGACCTTAGGCTGGAGGACAGACAGTATCTCCTTGTCTACTACGTCCCTTTCGAAAGAAAGAAGACCGGGAAAGATAAGGACAAAGACCCGACAAAGAAAAGATCCAGGGCGCAGACGACGGTGGAGACATCTTCGCCGCACTCGTCGAAGAATATATTGCTGGAGTCCTTCCGGGTCTGCTCTCGTCTTCTTGGTTATGACGACCTCCGCGGCTCGGGCGTCCGCCTGCCCACAGACGGCCTGGCTGTTACTGGCCCTCTTGCCGAGGCCATCAACAGTATTCCCCATCCGACTGTCCGAGCGGAATACCAGCAACCAATGGTCATAGCCATGTGTGAAAGACGAGAAGATGGCGTGCAATTCATGCCCGATGGTTTGGAGAAACTGGGATTGTGCACCCCTGCTGCGCGCAGGGATTCTATCCCTGATCTGGACCCTGACCCGCAATTGACCGCTGTCGGAAGGGCTGCGGTAGAGATGGCGTGGCTGGGTTGCATGGCGTTAACGAGCTTTGGTAATGTCTGAAATGAATCATCTTTACGAAATCTACTCCAGATTGAATATTTATTGTATCGATATATCTCCCTCGCTTCCCTGCGCTTTATCCAGTGTAACCTTGTTGAAGTCAGACGGAAATTGTCGTCCCTCTTCCCGGAGGCGACATGTCGGAATACCTGTAACATATGCCTATGTACACAATAGAGTGTGCAAAGGGTAACTTCGTATAATCATTGTTCCGAAGTCTGAGGATAGATAACAGTTCGTCGATTCCTGCAGGGAACTGCAAGTCCGGCAAGCGCGGGCCGGGCACCATGATACCTTTCCGAGTTCCATTGACCAACGACCAGCTCTATCGTTATGAAAGGATATACCGTACGCGTATTATCCCTCTGGTTTCCACGTATCGATATCCCCTTCTTTCGGGGAAGTTGACATTTCCGCTAGAAATCCTTACGACTAGAGAAGAGGTGAATACGCGGCGAGTGGCTATCGTCGGGTCAGGTCTCCTGATTGCCCGGTCGAAATACTGGTGCCGACGAACACCCTCGCATCATTACCTTGCTTGTTACTAGTACTAGTAGAGGGTGCACATACCCGGAAGGCCGGTGCCCGTTCTATGTAAAGACGGCGCATGACCCGGCCGCAAAATCCCGGCACTCAGTGAGATATGGCAGCGGACGTCATCTCACTAGTAAGCTCTCAGCAAGACTTACCTTCTACTGAATGGACACTCACCGCCCCGAAGCGCATACGCAGGAAGAACGGGGCTTCAGGAGACGCCTTACATCCTATGGCGACAAGGACTTTGCCCTGTTCCTCCGCAAAGCCTTCATCAAAGGCGCGGGGTACTCCTCCGATGCCCTCGACTGCCCCATAGTGGGCATCATCGACACAGGCTCAGGGTATAACCCTTGCCATGGTAATGTCCCGCAACTTGTCGAGGCCATCAAGCGGGGCGTCATGCTCGAGGGGGCGCTGCCCGTAGCGTTCCCCACCATCAGCCTGCACGAAAGCTTCGCGCACCCAACGAGCATGTGGCTACGAAACCTCATGAGCATGGACACGGAGGAGATGCTGAAGGCTCAGCCGATGGACGCGGTGGTGCTGATTGGGGGGTGTGACAAGACTGTGCCAGCGCAGCTGATGGGAGCACTCTCCGCAAACATACCGAGCGTACAGCTCGTTACTGGGAGCATGTTGACGGGGTCACACGGCGGGAGGAGGGTCGGCGCGTGCTCGGACTGCCGGGCGTACTGGGCACGGTACCGTGCCGGCGAGGTGGACGAAGTGGAAATCGAGGAGGTCAACTCACAGCTTGTGGGCAGCGTCGGGACGTGCAGTGTCATGGGGACCGCGTCCACGATGGCTTGCGTTGCGGAAGCACTGGGTATGGCTACATTGGGGAGTGCCAGCCCTCCTGCGCCCACCGCGGCGAGGATGAGAGTCGCAGAGAGGGCCGGTAGGTTAGCTGCGACGGTGTTATTGAAGGATGGTATGAAGCCCAAGGATATCCTGCGGAAGAAAAATTTTGAGAACGCGATGAGAGTGCTCCTGGCCATTGGTGGGAGTACCAACGGTGTCATACATTTGACAGCCATAGCCGGGAGGATGGGTATAAAGCTGGATCTGCGGGACTTTGACAAGCTTGGTGAGACGACGCCAGTACTAGTCGATTTGAAACCCAGCGGGATGAACTACATGGAGGACTTCCATCGGGCAGGCGGTGTTCCAAGGGTACTGCAGGAGCTTCGGGACAGGATCCATATGGATGCGCTGACTATTACTGGACGGACTCTGGGGCAGGAGCTCGCAGCGTACCACGGTCTGGATTTCGAGCAGACCATCATTCGCTCTGTGTCGTCACCAATATATCCGACTGGGGGACTTGTACCCTTGTTTGGCACGCTAGCACCGAAAGGTGCTCTGATCAAGGTTTCAGCTGCTTCGCCTAGTCTTCTCGAACGCCGTGCTCGCGCGGTGGTCTTCACCTCTGCAGCAGACATGGCCGCCCGGATAGACTCGCCAAAGCTGGACGTCTCCGAGTCCGATATCTTGGTTCTCCAGAATATAGGGCCCATCGGAGGACCCGGTATGCCCGAGGCTGGGCTACTCCCCATCCCGAAGAAGTTGGCCAGGAAAGGCATCAAAGATATGCTGCGTATCAGCGATGGGCGAATGTCCGGCACGGCTGGTGGGAGCATCGTTCTCCATGTGTCTCCGGAAGCGGCGCTGGGCGGTCCATTGGCATTTGTGAGGACGGGAGACGAGATAGAAATCTCGGTCATAAAGCGAAGACTAGATTTATGTCTCGACCAGAAGGAGATGTCGGCGAGAAAGGCAGAGTGGGACGAGACGCACGGGGGAGAGCTGGATGCGAAGAGGGGACGAAGGGGCTACGAGGGTCTTTACATGCGAGAGGTGACGGGTGCTGAGGACGGGTGTGACTTCCGGTTCTTGTCCGGAGAGTAAGCAGAAATAAAGGTATAATCACAAAGCCTTGGGAAATGAAGGCAGGTCCCTACGGCGGAATATTTCAATAGCTATTTTGCTCAAGGTCCGCATGTAACATGCATACGTCTCGAATAAGATAGCTGCTGAGACACACCAGAGGAACCTTGGGTGTTACAGCGAGATATGAGACGGTAAGTTACCTTATGAGCTGCTGATGGTCGTACTCTGTGTTCATATGGGAGGTCGTGTTTGTCGAACGACAGCATATCTGACGGTACCGGTGTAGTTCAAAAATGTTACCTAGATAGCAGCTAGGTAGCTCGAAGATCCACTTGTACCAAAGAAAGCGCAGACGCATTGGTCTCGTCAACTTGAACCAGAGCGAGCATGGAATACCCCCATAATAATCGAGTCCGATTTCGGGTTTGAGGATGAGCGGACTGCGTAGTCCATTTCCCACGCAGTGTCCGACTCTGAAAATATCGAGACGGCGTTCAGTGGTACACATTCTGAACTGTTCCCTCCCGGACAAAAAATGGTGTCTTTTCAGTGAGTAATCTGTTTGCCTTCTACCGAGGTAACACGATCTGATTGTACTTGCCCCATCTTAGATGCGATGGTCAGTCAGTGTCTGCCCACTTGCCCGCACTGCATGTTTGTTGACAAAACTCTTAGGATGCTCGGACGTCGTCAAAAAACCTAAGCTTGATCAGCACGGCGCTCGCTGCCAGTCCTCATTCACATGCGTTGACTGCCATACGACTTTCTACAAGCCTACGGAGTGGAAGGGGCACACTACTTGTATAAGCGAAGCGGAGAAGTACCAGAAAGCTCTGTACAAGGGTCCCAAGGGTGTACGTCCTCCACTCATCCCTCTTATCTCTCCTAGCTCATGCGTGATGGTATCAGAAGCAACAAAACGGCGGGAACCGCAATCAGAACCAGAAACCGGCGGGTAAGTACGGAAACCCATCCTGGAACCAAAACCGTGCGGGCAATCAGAGGCCCCGTCATGAAGCGACTGGTGCTAACGGTACTCCTCTTGGCACTCCCGTTCGTATGTCGCCTGTGTCTACATCTCCTCCAGCTTCCGAGCCTGCACCATCGCCGCCTCAGAAGAGCACAAACGGGGAGGTAGCGGCTGCCAATGGAATAAGCGAGAAGGGGAAGGGGGATAAGAGGAAGGATAAGAAGAGGAAGTCGACTGGTGCAGTGGGAGAGGTATGTTGGTTGCCGTTTTGTATCTTGTGAGAGACTCATTGGACATTGCCAGGACGCGGGTGGGGAGGTCGCATCAGAACCGCCATCGAAGAAAGCCAAAACGTCTGAGGATAAATCTGTCCCAGACGAACCTCAACCTGTTCAGCCATCGACATCATCTCCCTTGGTGGACCAGGCCGATGGTCTGGTGAAGAAGAAAAAGGACAAGAAGGATAAGAAGAAGAAGAACGATGTGGCGGCGAGTACAGAGGAGCAGGCCGATGTCAGCGCGAGTGCAGCGGCGGATAAAAGTGCCAAGGCGGACAAGAAGGACAAGAAGAAGCGGAATTCTGAGGTTGCGACCGAGCAGGGAGCGGAAGAGTGCAGCGAGAAGAAGGAAAAGAAAGACAAGTCGAAGAAGAAAAACAAAAAGGATAAGTCGGGGGTTGAGGATGCGTCAGACGCGAAAGGGGTATCTGAGGGGGTCATTGACGCCTCCGTGGACGGTATCTCGGAGCACCTTTCCAAAGACGACAAGAAGAAAGCAAAGAAACGGAAGCTGAACGAGACAGAGGGTGCAGACGTGGGTACGGAGCCAGCAAGCGAGGAGCGCAAGAAGAAGAAGGCCTCCAAGCAGGACGCGCCTGACGACGCCTCTCCCAATCAAGGGGAGGGAGATGTCAAGTCGAAGAAGGATAAGAAGAAAGATAAGAAATCGAAAAGGGAGAAAGCGGTTGAGGTGTAGGGAGACTCAATCGTATTTCCGTCTCTTTACCCGAGTTTTTTGGCTACTCATCTACTTACTGCTATCCGCGCATTGCTATCATATATACGTCTTGCATCTCAATAAGCACTTTGCATGAGGATTTCATTCTCGACTGCCAGTCCCACATCTGCAGTCTTGTGGCCACAGCATTCCATTCTGCGAAGCCTCGCCCGCCACCCGCACGTGGCCGTGGCCGGCTTAAATCGATCCAGGGGCAGCACGCCCTGCACTCCTCCCTCGTCACCCTTCTCTGCCCACCGATATGCACGCAATACAGGTGTGTAATTAGAAACGTTTGCGTCGGCGATAGTCTGATTATGTCGTGGTCTAGCAACAATTCTGGTCTGTCCGGGAATACCTGAGCCCTGTGTGTATCCTTCCCGTGCCTCATGTACAGAGATTAGAGTAGCTGATGCGCTGCTTCCAGGTATTGAGGGAGAGTAAATTTAAGGAGCATGGTCGGATTACACCAGGTGCGCAATCTCTCCTTCGTATAGCGACCTTACTCAAGCGACCACCCGCATTGCTTAGAAGAATTTGTTGCTGCCGGTGATTTCCTAACCTATAAGTTCCCCGTATGGGCCTGGTACGTCTAGTCCATCCCAATCTAATAGCCCGGTCTTACCTCGTGCAGGGAGAAAGGCGACCCGTCGAAAGCTCGCGACTACCTCCCCGCGGACAAGCAGTACCTCGTTACGCGCGGCGTGCCCTGTCTGCGGCGCGCCACCTCCCTCGTCTACACCGACGCGGATGAGGAAGCCGAGCGCATGCTCTCCTTCGGCGACGAGGGCAAGGAAGACGAGTGGGTCGAGACGCACGCGGGGCGGCCGGCCCTGAGCGAGAGCGCGGCGAACCCGGGCGTGATCGATGATATCCCGGACGACGACGCGGCGGGCGGGGTAACCGGCGGGATAGCGAGCATGAGCCTCGGGGGAAAGGGCGCGGAGGAGACGCCGGATTTGGACGAGATTCCGGATATGGAGGAGGACGATCTCGAGGCGGGGGATGAGGCGACCGCGGCGCCGAACACGGCGCAGGCCACGGGCACTGGCGTAATTGATTCCAGGTGTGCTCAGCCTTCTTCTCTAGAGCGTAGGATCTGTTACTGACGGCGTTATCAAGCCAAGTGGAAGTGGCCAAGGGTAACCTCCTGCAAGTGCGGACGTACGACGTGATGATCACGTACGACAAGTACTACCAGACGCCGCGCATCTGGCTGCTGGGCTACGACGAGAACCGCACGCCGTTGACGCCGTCGCAGATATTTCAGGACGTCTCCGCGGACCACGCGTTCAAGACGGTCACGATCGAGCCGTTCCCGCATTCCGCGTCGCTGCAGGCGGCGTCCGTGCACCCGTGCAAGCACGCGAACGTGATGAAGAAGGTCATCGAGCGGATGAACTCGACGGTCGTCGCGGACCAGCTGCGCCAGTCCTCAGGACCGGTCACGCCTGGGACGAAGGAGAAGAAGAAGGGCTGGTTTGGCAGGAAGAGCGCGGGTGGTAAGGAGACACCGCAGACGCCCGGAGAGGAGGACGATGTCGAGGGCATGCGTGTCGACTTTTACCTTGTCGTCTTCCTCAAGTTCATCGCATCAATCGTGCCTACTATTGAGGTTGACTCTACGACGGCCATGTAGAGGCTCCTTTGGGATCTCTGCGTTCTTGGGGAAAATTGGCTGTATAGACTCGAGGGACGGAATATGGGTGATACCCTGGTCTGATATATTGTTGCGAGCTTTCTGTTCTGTTCACGAACACATGTACGAGAGGGATAACGAAGTCGAAGTACTACATCATGTAAATCATCTGCTATACATAACACATTGGAATTCTGTGACTTGCTACTTCTCGTGAATAGTCTCTTATCGTACGCAAGCGACACTCTGCCGTTGGGCTAAACCTTGTTACCTTTGGCTTGCAAGCGCTGCATGAGATCACTGATCTTCCACACATCACCGAAGCCAAACTCGATGTTCTCCAGAGTTGCGCGATGATGCTTCGCACTTGCAGCAGCGCATCCATCGTCCAAGACCACCACCTCAAAGTCTCGGCAGAACGCCTCGCGGGCGGTGGTCTCGCAGCATAGGTTGGTGAGTGTCCCGGTGATGACGACAGTGGTGACACCCCTCGCTCGAAGACGCTCCTCCAGGGCGGTATTCAGGAAAGCGTCGTACTGGCTCTTATCCTCGAGTCGCTCGTCGTGAGCTGCTAGCTTGTCAAGTTCGGGCATAAGCTTCCAATCGTCCGAATAGCGCAGGATGGACCCTGGTCGTGGTGTTACCGTTCAGCCCAACCTTCTCCACATGGCAAGCAGCACAGACCGTTTCCTGGGGGGCCCCAGCGTCGCACAAGAGATCCCTTGTCGTCGGGAAGGTGTCCGTGCTGGGTAAAGATGACTGGTAGGTTCCGCTCACGGTACAGCTCGATCAGCGGTATTAGGCGTTTCACGATGTGTCCCGCGATACTGAAGAAGTGGTTTTGCATGTCGATAACTATGAGAGCTGAGCGAGCCAGGTTGGGGGCCATTGTGGACTGTGTAATGGGCGTCTGACAGCTATGCGATTGTCCACGATATATGATGCAGAAGAGACGAGACGGATGTTCTGAATGACATCGTATATGATCGCATTTCATTTCGCGTTCGTTTACCGGCGGCAGCCAGGGCCATGCTGTGGCATTTTTGTGGCGGCGACATGCAATAACCCGACCGGCTACAAGACCCTGGTCCGTTGAAGCTAATGTGAACAGTGACCTGCTATATACCCCTTGATAACAAGCTACTCGCTTATTCTCTGCAGTCCTCTCCGTGCTCCGTTATTACTACTGGTAGAGGAAGTCGTAATTGCACGTCATGGGCAAAGGGAATAAAGGTGTTCAATGTGCTTACTGCCTCAAGTGGGATAAGCGTAAGAATCTCCTAGCGTGCAAAGGTATGTTTCATATTGGAGCTTTGCGACCTCTAGGTCCTGGCCAGGCTGACATGCTTTTAACCCTCTGACTTCTCTTAGGATGCCTCGGGGCTTCCTATTGCGTTAGTGGACAACCTATCTCTTCAAATGCTGCGAACCAAGGGCTGAGATGATGCTCGGTATAGGATAAGACATGCCAAAAGGCGCACTGGCCAATGCACCGTAGCCTGTGCAAGTCGAACACATCGATCCGTGAGCAGACGGACGGTATTATTCTAGAAGTAGCGGATTCAGGAAAGACTGCTTCGGAGATTGTTATAGACATGAGACGTTGGGCAGACGTGAGCGTATTCTGCATAGCTCAGTTTTTCCTCGCTCACCGCAGTTGTCCCACTGCAGAAACATCAAGAAGTGCTGTCATGGGGCCTCACCCAGTCGATGGAGCTCTTCACTAACCCGTCAAAGGCGCCAGAAACCCGCGGCCTCATCTACCATCTGAAGTACAGCCCACTAGACTTCTTCCCCCACAAAACCGCCGATCTCTTCCAGCTCGAGTCGTGCGAAGTAGCCGACGCGTCGGAAGACCCAAGCGTGGCAGAATGGGTGCGGACTATGCGCGACCGGCCAAGTGCGCCTTTCCAGGCGAAGTACGAGGTCTCTGGGCCCGTGGTGTATATCCTGGAGTGCGAAGGCGTTGCGCTGACGAAAACCAATCGGTTCGAGGGCCCTGGCCCGGATGAACACCGGTTGTTTGTGACCGATTGGGCAACGCACGTGGTGAGAGTGGTGAACGGAGTGAGCGAGTTCAACTCCTTGTTTTCGCTCAGGGATGCGTTGCGCTGGGGTCCCGGAACACCGTTTGATTCGGCTACTGAGTGTAAGTCACTATTAGGTGTCCGAGACTCGGATAGTTCTTGAGCGGGTTTTTAGATGGCGTTGTTGAGTTTGGTGACCTGAACCGTTCTGGCATCGTCTATATCCACGGAGAAAGACGGTCCCTGATTGATCAAAAGAAGCAAGGTAACTTCATGTTCCGGACCAAGGTGAGTTCATCTGTCGTCGTACGCAAAGGCTGCTGATGGCTTCCATCCCAATCGCATGCAACAGTCAAAGGACCATATTTTCTTGCCATACTAGACGTCTGTGCGAGCTCAAAGTACTGACAATAGTTGCAAAGTCGTATGTGAGTATCTAACGCCGATCTGTCATGTGCTTGCGTAGCTGTCCTTGCTCTGCTCTTGCTTTCAATCGATGTTATCCCTGTAGTATATAATCTGATGTACATACATTTGTAATGCATTAAGCAAACTAATTGCTCTCCAAATCCGACTTCCCAGTACAATCCCAGGCCTCCGGAACCATTCATCTCGCGTGCTCGATCCTCTCTGCTACATAATAGGACCGATATAATGTGATTGATTTATAGTTGGCTTCCTAACCAAAACAACTAGGCAGATAACATCTTCATACACGCCCCAGCAGCGAGGATCGAAGACGCGAGACGGATGGTTCTGGGAGCCTGGCTCTAGCCATCAGCGAGTCTTGAGTAACTCATCTTCACTCTGTTACCCTGTTCCACCAAACATCAGAAAGCGCGCCGCATACCACCACAAGGGATGGCCCAGAAGTACATCCCGCCAGGAAGACGAGGCGGGGTAAAGTCACCTTCTTTCCCTTCAACAGCAATCTATTCACGAGAAGAGGTGGCTCGCTGCATTCCAGGAGAAAGTGCCCATACGTTCTGTCGTGAAGCTTTAGATCCAACTCGGGCGGATAGCCAAGCCCCGCCGAGTATGGATGATGGGACGCATTGCGAGGTGGAGGGGGAGAAGCATCTCTCGTTGTTCTCCAGCCAGTTTTGTCGCATCATGGTCTACAAGGGAGGCCACGTCAACCCGCCCTGCGAGCTATGGACTCGAAGCAATATCGGTGCCCTGGATGTCAATGTGGGCAAACCCATTCCATTATTTGAAGAATTCCCTTCCACTGGAAAGACGAGATTCGAATTCAAAGGATGGTACGAAATTGTCCGCTGGACAGTCTTCAAAGGTGGGAGTCCGGAGATAGTGGAGTTCATGCAGCGGAGGGGGGATAGCAAGCGGTCGAAGGATGCTTGGAGATGGAGGGAAGCTCTCGGTTCCAGCTGGGCGAAGGTGGAAGTTGTGCCGGTCCATGATGATGCCCTCGGTAATCCGATGCAGAGGGTGGCCACTTCTCAGGCGGCGTGACACCAAGTACGCATGCATTCCTTGTTATGGTGGACTGTGTGAATTGAGCGCGCGACTGTAGATATCAAGGCAGTTCCTCTGCTTCTTGAACTCCCATGTCATTTCTCGGACCGTTGTCTGGATTACAAGCATTAGGTCGTGTACGGATATCGCTTCCCCGTTCTAAAGGAATTGATGATGACTTCTGGCTTTGAGTATGGGGTGTCTGCGTGGACTCTGTCCTTATATCATTCGTAATCGGTTTGCGGACTGCCTGCGCGCCCTTGATATGTTCCTGTGCACGGACCTAGTATTCCAGAGCAGATTCAATGAAGTGAAAGAAAACAAGCAGCAGCAGTCGCCACAACGTCCGAATCGAGAAGAGGTCTCCGGCTAGTCCGTGCGGGAGACCGGGAAAGACGTGACCCCCGGCCGATCGCATCCGAGTTACATTACGCCCGGTGCCATTGGCTCGTCGCTGCCCATACCGTTCTTCGCCTCCATCCGTCATGTCCGCCAGCGTCCTCAGGAATGCAGGTAACGCCGAGCTGTTCAGAAGTTGTTACTTTGCTGACGTTCGCTTGCAGCCCTCGTTAACGCCAGCCGTAGGGCAGCGTTACGCCCACAATTGGGTGTAAACGGTGCGTTCTGAAGTCGATGTTCAGTTAGTTGTACTCTGACCTTTGGTTTTGGCACTCTAGCCGTGCGTTCACTACATTCCACCCAACCGAAGTCTGCACAAACCCCCGATTCTGAGATTCCCTCCTCGACGACGTCACCTTCGCAGCCTATCACTGCGTTGGCAAAGCAGGGATCCAACCAGTTGAGCTTGGAGACGCCAAAGAATGGGATGGGTGCGTGCCCCTTCTGCTACTATAATGCCGGGGTGTTAAGGGTTTATTAGAGTATGTTCTGTCGACGGTGGACAAGGTGGTGAACTGGGCTCGGCAGGGATCCATGTGGCCAATGACTTTCGGTATGGTTCGTTATTCTTGGGGAACGCACAGAGGATTGATGAGTACTGCAGGTCTGGCTTGCTGTGCTGTGGAGATGATGCATATGGCTACGTCCCGGTACGACCAGGATCGACTGGGTGTTGTGTTCCGTGCAAGTCCCCGGCAGTCTGATATCATGATTGTCGCTGGAACGCTCACCAACAAAATGGCCCCGGCCTTGCGGAAGGTGTACGACCAGATGCCTGAGCCTCGTGAGTATCGACATCTAGCTGGGTTTATGAGGTGCGCTGACGATTGGTTTTAGGCTGGGTCATCTCCATGGGTTCATGTGCTAATGGAGGTGGATACTATCACTACTCGTACTCTGTTGTCCGGGGCTGCGATCGTAAGCCTGCTCTCTTGCCTGGTTTTGTTCATGGGGATTCTGACATACAGTCAGGTATTGTCCCTGTTGACATCTACGTCCCCGGGTGCCCACCCACAGCTGAGGCACTGCTGTATGGCATGCTCCAGCTACAGCGAAAGATGAGGCGAAACCGGAAGAGTGTGCTCTGGTGAGCTCCTTCAAGGGATGCTTGAGTACCTTCTGCTTACCATATTGTTTCAGGTACCGCAAGTAGAATAGCTGCAGTATGGACGGAACGCATAGTCTATATTTCAACCGTGTGCATAATCTTGGCGTAAGCCACGATAAACCTTTTTCCTCGACCTCCACGACGACGATTCATCCACTCTTTCTCCATTCGCCATGACCGGGCAGGAGGGCAGTACAGTCACCCTGGATGATGGGCGGTATCCAGGTCTCCTCCACCTCTCAGAGCAAGCTTTCTGCACCTTTCGCGTAGACTGCCATATGTACTAGCGTACGAAGCGCGCAATATTGTAGATCGTTTGATTCTGTCGTCGCCAGTACAACAATCCGGGAGACTTGGTACAGCGGTAGTTTCCCGTTATAGCATGTTGTGAGGCGCTGCAGGCTGCATTCACGAGTCGGGCGACTAACACCGCCTGACAGCCGGCCGTATCGCTTGCAGCGATTCTCTTTCCTGTTTGTTATTCTCCGTTTCTCTGCTCGTCCTCGCTGCCAGTCTCGCCGACGACGGCTCCGGACAGGCCAGAACAGCGCCCGCCTCTCTCTTCCATTCATCTCTGTTCGGCACGACTGCAACAGCGGCAAGCGTGATCCCCGTTTACCTACAGCTTTCCGACTTCTTCCTCTCCTTCCCTTCCTTCCGTTTTTACCCCGCATTTTCGTAACTTGGAGGCTGTCTGACGACTGTTTGTTCCTGCCATGGCCACCGCAATTCCACCACCACCGGCAGACGGCATGGGTCTGCTCTCTTCCAACGTGCATTCTCACATCAACGGTTACCCACGCAATTTGGCTCTCTCCGAGCTCGACTTCAAGGATAATCGCTACCCCTCTGTTGCCCATCCGCCATCTGGGTCTGATCGAAGAGGTAGCGTGATGATGCAGAGCCCCGGGCCCAGCAGAGACGACGACGGTCGGGGAGGTGCTATAAATGGGCGCGGTGAATCGCCCAGGCCGAATGGCGCTGTCGACTACTTCACCCAGGACCAACAACGGCAGAAGGCAGATTCACCGCGTCCGTACGATGCTTGGGCGGATATCCAGCAACGGCAGCAGCTGCAGTTGAAGGAGAGCATTGTGTCGTATGCGTCGGCGAATGGAGGGCCCCGTCAGGTGGATGACAGGTACGCCAATAGTAGGGACGAGCATTCACCGCAGGCTGGTGGCTCTTGGGAGGTTAGGCAGGGCAGTGGTGAGAAGGGGAAGGAGCCGACGACCACGCCGCCGGACCAGTCAGGTCGACCGCGCTCGGCGGGTCAGACGCAGCCTTGGGGGGACACTCCTGCTGCTCTTCTCCCATCCTCACCGCGACATCCTTCCTTACCCGCCGCCGGCGTTGGTGCGGGCCCTAACAACAATAACAACACCAACAACAGCTCTACCCTCGTCCCCATGTCCGCCGCGCCGTCGTACAACCCTTCGAGCTCAGTCCCTATTCCAGTTTCACCTAAGCCGCGCGCGTACGCTCAGCATCCCACTTACGTCACTCCAGCGTCCGCGCCCAATCCTGTGAACCCTATCCTCTCCCAAAATCCTCCGGTGCCGCAGGAGGAGGTGTGCATCGAGTGTGCGATGCGTGACCAAGATATGGCCGACGTTGACGTGACCTCGCCAGGTGTTTGGGAGCGGGAGAGCGATGTGTACTACCTCGAGCTCTGTCAGAGGGAAGCGCAGGAGGAGGCATCCGGTGAGGTGACTCCTGATCCGGGTCGCCCCAGAGCGAAAGGCGACCTCTTGACAGAGTACAACCTGAAGATATGGATTAGCATGGTGCGTTGGGGATGCCAAAATCTGCTGACGGGGTTCTCAATACGTTATCTAGAACCCGAAGGAGCCCAGTGCTCGACAGCAGACAGTAGCTAGCTACGTGAAGAGTCAGCGAATGCTACTGGAAGCCGAGACGCTCGCGCGTGCACAAGCCCTGCAGGAGTCCCGTTTGCTTGAAGACAAAATGAGGGATACGTACTCCCAGTTGCGTCGATCTGCTTACGAGTTGGGTAGCAGTGCAGTCCCGGATGACGACACGGGCGGCATTCGTATCAAGACCCCTCGCTCGACTTCGATGCCTTCTGCGGGTCTACTTCACAACCATGGACGCGAGGTGACCTTACTGGAGAATGGCATGATCGTCGAGCACGTCGATGTCCGCAAGGAAGAGAAGGAGGAGCGGGAAAGGAGGAAGAGGGAGGAAAAGCGAGAGAGAAGTCGCGCACGGAAGTCTTCGCGCGGTTCTGTCATCGACGTCAATTCAGTCTACTCTGTTAACAGTCCACTTCCTCATACAGATGGCGGCGTCCACTCTGGCGCTCGCCCTGGGCCTCGATATGTCCAATCTACCTCTGGCAGGCCGTCGAGCATCCTAACTGGGGATAGACCTGCCTTACCCCGAGCGTTGTCCCAGGCGTCGTTCTCTGATGTCCAGAGCATCGGGTCCATGTCGCCTAACCGTCGATCACGATTCTTTGGTTTGGGTAATTTATCTCCTGGTTGGAGGAGCCAGAACAGTCTGGCACCATCGGGGATGTCCGGAAGCATGGTTGATATGCAGTGAGTTAATTGTTGTGCATTAGGCTGAAGTGTTCTGATAGCCTCTCCTAGTGTCGCTTTGCAGCGCGAGCATGCTCGGGCAGGTCATGGAGCTCATCCTTCCGTTGATATCAGCAGCAATGCCCCTTCACTGCGTCTCAGCCAGATGTGGCCAGGGGATGCGCAGTTGGAGCCTGCGGACTACCAAGGTTCCAAGACCGAGACTGTCAAGTCTAAAAAGAAGAGGAAGGGCCTCGCAAAGATATGGCGGATAGTGACCGGCGGCTCCTCCAAGAGCGAGAACGGCATTCCCACCAATGGTCATGGTCACCTGGTGGACGATCTCCCGCTAGCACCTCCCCCACCTCTGTCCTACCTTGTTGAGAGGGGTCGAGAGAGGGGAATGTCCGCGTCCGGGGATCAGGGCATGTCGTCCTCCCGTCAATCCATGCCGTCTTTGTCATCCTCCATATCTCAAAGCTATCCCGTTTCACCTGCTGGTATGTCTCCCCCAACAGCACCATCTAGCCTCCTGCCTTCACCTTCATCGTCTCGTAAATCTGTTCCAGATCATCGAGATGCTGGGTTCGATGGCCACAAGAGTGGTGGAAATGAAGACCCTGAAATGCGGCAAGCCTATCCCGCGCCCGACGAACCCAGGTCGCCAAACCCAAGAAACATGCAGCTAGGTCCCGATGATAGAGGCCGTAGCTTCCAAGGCTCCATCTCATCCTCCTACGGCGCCACACTATCGCCTTCCACCACTCGTCCCGCTTCCATCATGCAGCGCGAGAAGTCCCTGCCTCCCCTCCCAGACGAGGCCGAAGTACGATTCCCGACCGACACTCGTCCACAAACAGTGTTTACGTACGAACCTCCCATTCTTCCCAATGGGCTGGTTGCTCCTCAGGCGCCTTTCAGGAATGCCGAGGTAAGGCGGCAATCGTTCGGCGGAATCAGTTCTCGCCCTCACCTTCCTCTTAACCCGCCCAAGGGTGCGATGATGACTACCGGGCCTGCGGGCATAGTGGGAGCACCGTTCGCGAGCAAGTACAACGAGTTCGGCATTTCGCGTCGTTCTCTTGGTCGCCTCGATGATGCGAGGTATGAGCAGGAGTTGAGGCCCACCCCACGGGCTCAGACTCCCAGCAAGCGTAGGAGTCGGTTTGGACTCTCGACTCTGTTCGGCAAGAAGTCGCCAGCCATTCCTGACCAGAGAGAGGTTCACATCATTAGTCCGTCACCGGATTATCCTGGCTGGCGTTCCTCCGACTCCGAAGGGCGGCACGAGGCAGGATCCGGTCACAGCACCCTCCCCCGCATGTCCGTCATATCTCGAAGAAATCTGGACGAACTAGTGCAACAGGATCCAGAATTCGTGGCGTATCGCTATCCCTCCAACGACCAACGCATTGATTTGTTACGGTGAATTCACCGTCATGGGTGTATCATATCTGGGTTTGCGGGTAGACAGCTATGCATCTTACAGTATCTAGCACTCTGCATCCTGCTGTCGCTATTCGTCCTCAATTGTCGTAGTTGTCTCCACCATCTCTTCTTATACACCGGACTAATTGGCTATACCTCCATATCGCAACCCCCTCGGACTCCTTGCATACCACGTTCCTTAGCTTCATGTACTCCATAGGCTTTCTCATTTTTACAGCGTGTGCTTCCTTTGTCCTCATACATACTCTAATACAACACCGGTGTCCAATGATGCGAAGGCGAAGAACAGCAGCTAAAGTGACCCCATCAGGTCTTCAACGTTTACCAGCAATGCCAATCTTATTACGTCCCCGACCAGACTTCTTCGCGGCTTGAGACAGTGGTAAGTATGCGTAGGGGTCGACTCCGCCTTTCTTGACATCGCCCCCGGCCCTCTGGCATGAGGCATTAGTGATATGCGCGTAGTGAATAGGTAGGCCACTCTTACCTTGGCTTTGAACTCGTGTCCAAGCTTTGCTTCAGTTTTCCGTTGCTTGCTGCCCTTTTTCCCTTCTGGAGCGGCCGCGACGTCCTCCATCTCGACGTCCTGGTCCGCTTCGGCATTCTCTCTTCTTCTTTTCTTTGTGTCCTTGTTCGCTTTCATACGCCCGTTGGGACCGCGGGTGAATCCGTCAGCGGACGTCATGCTTTCTCGGTACGCAGTGCCGACAACGTCTTCAGCCGCCGGGGCGGCATCAGAATCACTCTCCTCGTCGATGACCATCTTGCCCGTATCGTCGTTTGTCTTGAAGCGATCGGCGTCCTTTCCAGGTTTACGCCTTCGGCCTTGTGAAGCTAGAAGGTACGAAACATTGGCTTCATCGACCGTCAAGATTTCGTGAAGATGACTCACTAGCAATGCGTGATGCAGCACCCTCCAAGAGATCCATGGGCTCATTACCGTCGAGACGTAGCCGTGCGCCGCCTTTATTACCTTTCTTCTTTTGTTTCGCGGGCTGAGAAGGGCCTTCTTCATCCGACGATGCCAGCTCGCTCTCGCTGCCATACAGGACATCCTCGAACGCGTCGCCGGCTGCAGGTTTCGCTGCAACACCCTACAAAACGACACACGATCAGCAAAAACGACTTGGAATGAGGACCGCACCTACCGTTTCGTCATCTTCTGCGTCCCCGGTCATGGCCTTCTTTCTCTTCGCCCTGTCCTTGCGTTTCTTGATGTTGAGCAGCACCTTCCTCCCATCCTCTTCCTGCGCACACGCGTATACGTGCTCCCACCCAAACCTACGTATCATCCGCTCGAAGATGTGTCGTACCTTGAGCTTGAAGTGGTTATTATGCTGGTGAGACCAGCCAAGCAGGGCCTTGACGAGGTCCGGGAGTTGCGGGCGAATGAGATCCGTCGGGAGCGTGTGGATGGCGAGCTTGACGTAACCGAGAGTCGACTTGACGATTTCACGGTTGGCGGAGGAAAGGAATACGAGCAATGTCGAGAATATCTCGTCGTGCATTTTAAGTGAAATCCAGTCTAGGTAACCAATGAATACGGTGCGAAGTGTACTGATAAGTGACATACCTTTGAACTCGAATACTAGTCTTGAGATGGCAGTGACGGTAGCGCTGACCATATGCGGGCTCGCCCCAGCGAGACCTCCCGCAACCATAGTCATGTACTCCTCAATACTCGCAGCAACTGTCAACAGATGGGTCTAACCTGCCAGATCAAAAACATGATAATAACAGCCCACCTTCGCCACTAGCATCCTCATCCATTCCATCCACCATATCCCGCTTAACCGTACCCCCCTCCTGCATCTTTTTGCCCATGGCCACCACGAGGTCGAACGCCGCCCCGCGCGCCTTCTCCGAGGGCTCCTTCGTCCCGAGCACCGCCTCTGGTATCAGCGAGGGTATCAGGTGCAGCGCGTTGGCCGGGATCCTCTCGACCACGACGGAAAGAAGATGGAAGCGCTCCTTCTTTCCCGCCGCGCCAAGCTTGTCCAAGACCGCCTGTAGGCGGCCGAGCACCTCTTCCGCTCTCACCTCCGCCTGTCCGCTCTCCGCGAGCTTCACGAGGATCTTGTACGCGCGCTTCTGCACCGCGTTGTCCCGGTGCGCGAGCACCTGCTCGCTCAGGCAGAAGTCGAAGAGCGCCGACGCGTCCTGCGCACTGAGGTACGGGAGAAGGATGACGAGCAGGTCCTGCGTAGTGGCTGTCACGCCGCCGCTGCCCTCGTCTGTGCTGGCGACGTGCCGCTTAAACAAGTCGAGCACTTTGGCATAGGCCTTCGTTACTTCCTGTTCTCGCGCAATGTATCAGAAAAGAGGATAAAAACATGGGAGTACGCACGAACCTTGCTGTCAGCGAGCGCGGCCCAAGCAGCGATGACCTCGCCCACACTGTTCCTGTCATCGGCCGTCGAGAACAAGTTGAACAGCACCGCAAGCCAGCTCTCCACCTGCGTCTTCAGATAAGCCACGTTCGCCTGCGCGTCTTCGGGCGGGATACGGTCTGCGTCCACAGATGCGGGGAGTTTCTGTCGCGCCTCGCTGCCCCGCTCGGTGGCGAGCGCGACGTTCGAGTCGATGATCACCTTCAGGGCTCGCAGGACCGCGGCGCGCAGCTCGGGCTGCGTGTACAACACCTGCGAAAGGAGCTGCGCGAACTGCGGGGTGAAGCTCTGCACGCAAGTCAGCCTCTACCTCCATTCACAAACTCGTAGAACCCACCTCGCGGAGGTCCACAGTGCCCCAGCAGTACCCGACGAGCCCGGCCCACACCTGCGCGACAAGCACGCTCCAGAGCTTCGCCTCCGCTGCGCGCCCCTCGCCCTCCGCGCGTTGCTGGTAGTCGAACATGCGCTCGCTGAGGGGAACAAAGTACGCGACGAAGTGGGCCAGCGGCGATGGGTGCGGGTGCGCGAGCAGCGGCAGGAGGAACGCGCGCGGCTCGCGGCCTGCTTGTCTGGTAGACGACTAGATTAGATACATGACTACTTGCAAGAATCAGTTACTCACCGGTCTGCAGGCTCGATGTTGAGCGGGATGGCCTCGAGAAGGACGTGCGCGCCGAGCACGCTCATCGCCGCGCCCAGCGCCGCGTCCGCCGCCTCCTTGAACTCGAAGCCCTTTGCGACGCGTAGCTCCGCGATCTTCTGCGAGGTCGGGAGCATGAGCGTCTGTGCAGCGGTCGGCGCCGTTCTCGACCCGCCCGGGCGGAAGCGCAGGTTATCGAAGAGCGCCGAGTTCACCGCGAGGACTTCGGGGATGGCTCGCGCGAACGCTAGAGCGTCGAGGCCTTTGCGCGCGTCGTGCACGATCTTCGCTACGGGGGCCTTGGGGTCCTCGACCGCGGCGGCAATTAGAGACGGCGTGAAGCACTGCGCGAGGAGGTGCAGGCTCTCCGCCGCCGCCGCCCTCGTAGGCCCGTCAGCCGACTCGAGGAACGTCCACACGACCTTCCACACGCGCGGGAGCTCGCCTGCGCACGCCTGGGCGTCGGAGGCGTGGTAGGCGAGCATGGCGTGCCCGAGGACACGCACCCATGCCGGCGCGAGGGTCGTGTCGGACTTGAGCGGCGGGTTGGTGATGATGGCGTGCAAAATAGACGAAGTTTGGTCGGCGATGTCGGGGGTGGCGAGGAGGGAGGAGAGCAGGGTGTATGCGCTGTTCGAGAGGTACGGGTTGGCGAGGCGGGGAAGGGAGAGGAGGGCGGATGCGATGGGGGGAAAGGACTGGGTGGGTTAGGGTTAGCGTGCTACTAGGTAATTCAGGAATCAAAGACTTACGGAGGGGGGCAGCTTGAGGAGGACGGGGCGTAGAAAGGCGAGTAGGTGAATAGCGGTCTCGGCAACATCCGAGTCGTCCTTTTTGCCTTTGAATTTCTGCGGTGCGCCAGAGTTTACCTCTGCCAATGTGTTCTGAACCCATTCTGCGACGCGCTCTGCGTACGGATGGATAGCTAGCGGGACGGGCGGGTTGTCAAGAATGTCCTTGACGACTTCCGCGGCCTTTTTGCGGACCTTCGGGCGCGGATCGAGGCACAAGTATAGAAGGGACGCAAATGACTGCTTGATGGTTGGGTTCTCGAGGTGCGCTCGGTCCAGCGCTAAGACGACGGCACCGTATATCGTTATTTGCGAACGCAGGGCAGGTGCATGCGGTACAAGGTGTGGAAAAAGCGGGGCAGTGAGGGAGAGCAAGGTGTTGAGGTGGGAGCAAATTACGGGCGATTGGACGAAGGGTACGACGAGCGACAAAAGATACAATTCTGCTGGGAGTACATCACCTTCGCCGAGCGAGAGACCCAAGTCCTTTTCTTTCTGCAGTGTACCGTCCAAAGTCGTCAACAGCGCCGCAAAGTATGCAGTCGGCGTCCGCTCGATCTTCTGCTCGTCCAGCGTAGCCTCGAGTGCTCTCAGAAGCGTCGCCGGCGCCTTTTGGTGAGCCAGCGACGAATTCGTGTGCGGTCGTATCTTGCTCAGTGTCTGTTCCATGGCGGCGACGTCGTCTTCAGCGATCCCGCAAACTTAGAACGGAAGGGATGTATTGCTCGTGCAAAGCGCAAGGTTTGAATTTTACGAGTGCCTGCCATTTCGGGCTGCAATTACTCTAGGCTTAGGTCGCCGGCCACGCGACGGTACGCGCCTCTGCGATGCGATCAGGGGCAGTCTCCGCGCTTTGCTTGGCCGGGGAGACACGTCTGGTCGTCGTCATCGTCGCTGCGCATGGCTTGTGAACGTCGTTGACGCTTGCCTTGATGTCTGGAACTCGACTGGGACTGGTATAGCGCGAAGGATCTACTATGCCTCAAGGGTCACCCACTCCGTGGTCGTATTTTCTAATACGGTGCGTCATAAATCCAAACGATGGGTGGGCGGAGTGACCTGATGCTCGCAAAGGCTGCTTTTCAAGTTTGTCTTGAAGATATTTTACGGGACTATCGTGGTAGAGAACGCGGAACATGTACCGAAGACGGGGGAGCCATGGTGGGCATGCCAGCTTGGAGGTGTTAGAGCGTTTTTGACCGCGTTAAACTAGCATTGTGTGTGCGAATCACAGCAATTCCCTCACGGATGCATTGTAAGTTAATACGGCGGCTATGATCGGAACCCCTCTAATCACCCTGTAGATTACTTGTAACAGCCATCCCTCAGCGGGTACGTCCCCCATGCATCCATCAATGACCCGATTCCGAGTCGAACTTACCCTTGCCATCGGTCCTCTGCGCTTCCAGCGGCGCAACATGCTCAGACTTACAGCCAAATCCACACAATTTGGCAAGAAGACATTTACTAGCTGGCTCATCGAGTCCGCCGGAACCGTCCCCATCAAACGGCGGAAGGACTTTGGCGACCAGGAGGTGGACAATAGCATGGTTATGGGTAATCTCATGGAGGTAAGTGTGCTCTGGCCGACAGATCACTGAACTGTATTGATCTGCAACCCTAGGCTCTGGAAAAGGGAGACGCCGTATGCTTATTCCCGGAAGGGGCGAGTAGGTATCATCCCAGTATCGCGCCCTTGAAAACAGGAGGTGAGGAATTTTGCTGACACCCGCGTACACATAATTCACTGTTGTTCCCTAGTTGCTCGTCTCGTGTCCGAGGTATTATCCAGGAACCGCGACAACCCGGCTTTCGAGATATCCATACTAAATTGCTCCATCACTTACATGTAAGAGTCACTCTGCGTGTTCGCGTGGAGTTTGCCCTCAGTCAGCTCGTGCGCACAGGCACAGGCAACACTGGCGCTCCGACGTCCTCGTTACCTTCCACCCGCCCATGCGCTTCACACCCAAGGCAAGTGTCCCATGCTCTTTGGGCGGTGCTTAGCTTAACATCCTCTCGCTCAGGCGCATCCGGAGCTGCTCGCTCCAGTCGACTATACTCACATCCGGCTGCTCACCGCGCGCATGCACCAGCAGATCTCCGCGGGCACGCTCGACTCGCCCTCGTGGGACCTCGTGCGCACGAGCAAGCTCGCCGCGCGCATGTATGCGCCCCTCGGGACGCGCATGAGCCTCGGCGACTACGTCCGTGTCGTGCGCACCTTCCTCGACGCGTTTAAGTTGACCGTGCCGGGCACGAATGGGGAGGGGAATACCACCGCGAGCGGGAGTGAGGGGGAGGGCGAGATGAGGGAGGAGATACGGGAGTTGGTGAAGCTCAGGCAGGATTTGAAGGTCAGTCCCCTCGACGACCTCTTGCGCTTTTCCGGCAATCATGAAATACTTACGTGCCCAGTCCTATCAAGACACCCTCTCCAAATGGGGCGTCAAGGACGACCGCATCCGCCGCCCGCTCTCGCGGGCCACCATCCTCCGGCGCATACCCATCCGCCTCGGCTGGTCGCTCGTCCTCTTCACGCTCTCCATCCCCGGGCTCCTGTTGTGGCTCCCCATCGTGCTCACCACCTTCATCGGGGTGCGCAACTTCACCAAGACGGGGCCGGTGTGGGACACTTGGGACGAGATCGCGCAATACAAGCTCGTGTACGGGCTGATCTCGGGGGTATGCGTGTGGTTGGGTAGCATGGTGATCACGTTCCCCGTTGCGCCCTTAACGGCTGTGGTCGTCCCTGCGGTGATGTGGATGACCCTGAGGTGGATGGAGGACGCAGTGAGCGCGTTCAGAGCGTTTGCAGCTTTGGTTCGGCTGTTGCTAGTTCGGGGCCGGACATTGCGAGAGATTGCGGAGGTAAGGAGGGACTTGTACGAGCGGGTGATGGTGCTTGCGCGTAGGCTGGGATTGCCGGAAGATCCGGAGACGTATTTTGCGCAGCTCGGTGGTAGGGAGAAGGGCAGGGTGAGGGGAAGTTGGGAGAGCCGAGTGAAGTATTTCTCTATCCGGAGAAGGAGAAAGAGGGATTGGAATGAGACCCTTCGGTTGTATGATCAAGTGGACTACCCGGAAGACTAACACTTCACGCTTGAATACTAATGGCAGCAAAGTCGTGCATAATATATATAATACAGGTGGAGGCGATATGAAAGCGAAATAGGAGTTGGAGTGCGGACGATACAGTGAATGCAAAGAATAATCGGAGACAATGTATTCGTCGCGAGTCATGAAGGGTTCGTTAAGCGACTATATGACCTGTGTAGTTTACTCTCCTCCACGAATCGGCTGGTACGCCCTGTTTCCAGCAGCCCATCTATGACCGGCGTCGGCGGAAATACCTGTGGTCACCACGCCGAAGACGATGAAGATGGAGAGCAGCCAGTCGACCATGTTGAGAACGTAGGCAGTGCCTGAGGAGCCCATTAGCACGATAGTGTAGTCGCAAATGCACAACATACTAGGTCGAGCGTGCTCGAATCCTGCGTAACGAGACTTGCGATAGGCATCAGTGATAAGTGCGAACGCGACGATTTGCAGAATGGCTAGTAGAGGGAGGAGTTAGCGTCACGCCCAATCTTCATCTCATCCATTTGCTGTGTACCGTGTACTGCGACAAGACCAGCAACAGCCCTCCAAATCCTCCTCCTCCGTGAATGGGTACTGACTCCGAACACGATAGCCAGGAGCGCGGTCACAGCGAACCCGATGCTCAGCTCAACGAAGTACCCCGCACTCGTCCACTCGACGCAGAGCGTCTTGTTCTCCGTCTCGCACTTGTCGGTCACCCGAGCAGGCCACGGCCGGCACTCGTACCGCGTGTAGTCGATTTTGCTCCCGTCAGGCCCCGGGATCTGCACCTTCTGGCGCTCGCAGACCTCCAGCAGGCCATAGCGGATGGTGGCTTTCGTGTAGGGGAGATCAGGACCGGTCTCTTCGAGCCTTTAATGTAGAAAGTCAGATGCCGTACAAGAGGCTACTTTCGGATAGCGAACCAGTCTGGTAGATATGCGGAGAACAGCGTCTGCCCGAATCGTCAGTAATGGCCCAAAACCAGACACGGTGGACGTACGAAGGCGAGCGAAATGAGGACTGCAAAGAAGGTCACGACGTACGACGTCTTCCTCATGGTGGTCGGTGACAAGATGCGTCGAACGAGGTATCGGACGCGCGGAGCGGTCGAGAACACACTGCCGGTCAAGCTGTCGAATGACGATAGTCATGATCAATATGCCATACAGTACATGGTTGTGCAGTTATATATGTTAAAACAAGACTCACTATCGGTCGCTGTCGATTAGTGGTTAAATCGCGTCGTTGTGGTTGTTCACAAGTCTATCCCGACGAGCCCCAGGTTCAATTCCTGGCAGCGACATCTTTTAGCCTTCAGTTCCAAGTGAACCGTGCTTCTTATCTAGGGTTAATCCTTTTATGCCTCTATTTCATGGCAACACAACTGTCTGATCTCCATGTTCCTGCTGTCCTTGCTGCGCAATGCGCCCGCTCTATGCATAGAATTGAGATGAAGGCTTCGCATGCTTTGCACCCACGCAATCCTCATGTGCGATAACGGACCGACGGCACCTGCTGATAGCTGTCAGGGATATAAAGAGGACTTGCCTTGGACCCGACCTTGGAAGCAAAGATGTCCGAGGTAGCCATTCGTCCTCCTGAGCATGGACCTAGCACGCTGTTGCAGGCTTTCCTGGATGTACTGACTCAGTCGATTATTCCTCTTACCCGCGGAGGTGTCTCGTCCGGTTCTAAGGTGTTCGGAGCAGCAGTCTTGCGTTCGAAGGATCTATCCTTGGTGGTCGCAGAGACTAATGACGAAGCATCTTGCCCCCTCTGGCACGGAGAGGTTAACTGTATCCGGAAGTTTTACGAAATACCTCGGGAGAAGAGAGGTGTTGGGTCCGACGAGTGCATTTTTCTGAGTACTCACGAGCCTTGGTCAGTGCACTGGTACTGCATCTGCTTGCCGAGTCTAATCATCCATTTCTCGCTCGGATATCGGCCCTGCAGTTCGATGTGCTTAAGGTCAGTTACGGTGTTATACGCCTATATGTACGCGTGGTAAGAGACAAGTGTTTAAGTGCCTTGGCTTGGTCTGGCTTCCATCACATATACTTCCTATTTTCCTACGACGACACCCGGGACACTTTCGCTATCCCGCATGATATCGATATCCTGACCTCTGTCTTCCACGCTCCAACTTCGTCGCCCGTCCCCTCCGATGACTTGTATAACCGGCAAAACAAGTTTTTCAGCGTCTACTCGATTGAAGGGCTTATGGGGCAATTGACCGACGACGATGCCAAACAGGATTTGCGTACCCAGATAAAGAGCGTGAAGCAGGAATACAATGTTCTGGCTGAGAACTATGCCCGAGGAAAGGGAGAGAAGGAAATACCACTTGCTTGATCAAGACCCAGGCCCGTACACGGTACGTCCCATCACCCATCATTTGTATGGACAATGATGAGGCGTTGCTCATGTGGGGGACAAGACCAATCACAAGGAGTGTAGCCTTGGTTGCGTTGCAGCACCCCAAGGCTCGATTATGCGGCAGCTGCAGCACTTTGGTATCCTAAAATGGCCCTTTGTGCTGTGTGTGCTCCCCCCGCGTCCCACAATTGCAACGTCTGTAATCCCAGTCCTGGCTTGCGATGTCTGCCGCAAAGCCCTTATCCCCGCCTCCCATGGTAACGGGCGAGAAAACAGCGTTTATCTGATTAGTCCTGCTTTCCTTCATCAGTTATGACAATTTTAGGATGCAATGAACTTCCCTGTTACAGGTTTACACGAATAATTCGTATAGGATGGATTCTGCGTCGAAATATTCAAACTCCCTTTGGCCTACTCTCGGGCGTCGCTCTTTACCTCGTGTATCAGACATTGTGCCTTATATTTTTCATGCTGTTTGTTTGTATGCAACGCAGGTGCGTAGAGTAAGACATTTTGATCCAGAGACTGCCGTTAGCTTTGGTTGGAGCCATCACGGACGACTCTACATTATAGCCCTAACCCTATTTGGCAAATCAGCGAGTGCCTCACTTCCTAGGCTTGATCCTGCGCCTCTTAAAAAAGACTTAGTAGACGAGCAACTCACTGTGTTTGTTGCAAATTAGCTCAACGCATAGATAGCTAGGATAACTGAGGTACCTTAGCTATCCCTCGAGCTTTCCGAACGTTAGATGACCAGCAGGTGCTGGTGGAAATAGCCGTACCTGCGCGCGTCTAGTTGCGTGTAAGATAGCCGATGCGACTGACATATCCCAACTTATCTTCCATGTCGCTAAGTTAAGTACCTACGTCCTTCATCTTTCACCTGTCAGCTTAGTTATCTCTAGCGATACTGACTAGGACAGCGACGCTATCTTGTTTCAAGCCACAGCATATTCGGCTTTAACCAAGATGCAGCAATCCGCGCTATCACTCCCCTTTCGTGCTCACGAATTATGCTCAAGTCCAACGTCTTCCGTTCACCTCGCATCGTACCTCCTCGACACAAACCGACGCGCCCTCCAAAGCCTGACCCTGGTGTAGGCGACTTGTGGTTGCAAACGGCTGACTTATCACCAGCAAACGCGTT